AAGCGGAAGTAATGCCGATGGGCAAATGGGCACGGGCAGGAAAAATGAACAAGGCGCCGACACATAATAATGCCATCATCATCATCATCGTCATCGGTCCCCCAAACAGAGGAGCTCGGAAATCGGCGGCAGTGGGGGCCATCGACAATGGGGAAATTGGTAAAGCCGGGAGCAACAAATGACGGAAGATGTTTCAAATGAACAACAAGCCGGAGTCGCATGCAAATACGGAGCAGGGAAATAAATTAGATCCGGGCAGGAGACACAGGACAATGCCGCGGGCACGCGCAGGATTACCCCGTCCTGCTCCGATAGCAACACCACACTCGACCCGCATTCCTTTGAATTCGATCAACAATGATTGCGCCCCGGTTCGCTGGCCATTTTGCGAAGGGGAGGGTCGTTGTAAGGTCAAATGTCAATAAGTTAAGTGGGCACCCAGAGCTACGCAACTTTTGCTCCATAAATATGATTAAAACATATTTCCCGAGCCATCGGGTGATAAATGCGCCGAACTTTCCCGGCTCTATCTGGATCTCTGGCTTAAAGCTCTCGGCGGGCGGCAGCAGATGCTGATATAAATCCAATTTAGTAGATCCCATAAAATGTAGCAGTAATGCCGCACACCCACCAGGAACACCCACACTCCGAGTCCCAACTATTTGCATGATAAAAATCTTTCATCAAGCGCCACCAGAAACAATCTCAGCCCAGCTCAGACTTGCGACTCAACTTCTTCTGCATAATTCGACGATTGCCGGCGGTGCGGGGTCCTCGCCCCTGGCCTTTTGTGTGGTAAACACCTAAAGTAGTAAACTGGGATTTAAGCATCCCGCCAACCGAGCCACCGCCCCACACACGCGCACTCCTCACCTACGTGTCTATAAAAATTTTACGTTCCTGGCATCGGCAAGGACAAAAACTTTTGCCACTCAAGAGCAGGAGCAGCAGCGCCAGGAGCTCCAGATTGGGTGTTGGTTGAACGGAAACGTCCTTATGCAGGATATTCCATTTATTGCCGTGCGAGCGGCACGGGAAATTGGGTAGTCCTAGCCGGAATACATACATAAATTCATCCTTATGTGCTCGTGCCAGGATGCGAGGCTGCCAGGCTGCCAGGCTGCCAGGACCCAATAGGGACATTATGTCGTGCGCCGGAATCTATAGAATATGTAAAACGCTTCTCGCAAAAAAGATTAAAAAATTGTACAATTTTAATATCCGTCCAAGAATGAAGAAGGATCTGAGCACAATTCCCAGACAAAGTCGCTGGGCAAACAAACAAAAATTTCGAAAGTTCTTTTTAAACAGAAGCCCTGAAAAAGGATGTAACATTTGGGGGAAGCTATACATTGTTTGTTTATCTATGCATGCCCCGTAATTGTTTTGCCAAAAAGTTTTGTAAGCCTCAGCTGCGATGCAAATATAAAGAGGAAAACTACTTTCGCCCAACTGTTTTAAATTAGATGGAAAACTGCCCGGCAAGCAAACGGGTTGAGCAGAAATGATTGGTAACTTTGAACTGAATAGAAGTTGCACACTCAAGTCGAGGCAAAAGTCCTTTCAAGAATGAACGAGTATACCTAGCTGACCCCCAAAAATTTGTGTTTGAACTCCGCTTCCGTTCAATGAATCAACTTTTCCGCCCGCAAACTTTTCCTTTTTAACTGCAGGATTTCCATTTCTTTCAAGGTTTTGACCATTACGGCACGATGGGTTGTCCTGTCCACAAAGCCTCTTAGAGTCATGAATTCCATCGTCCTCAAGGCTCCTTATTAGGCAGTCCGCGTTCACCTTGGGAAACTTCCGCCCTGTCTGCCGAGGAGGTTGCCTAGCACCCGGAAAACCAGGATGGGAGGAAAGCGGCGAGTGTACCGACTACCTGATACCCACTACAGAGGTATTGACATAACTAAATATACAAATTAGTTTCAATTGGCAAAGGAAACCGATACCTCTCGTCAGCCCACTTTGAAATGGAGTATACTATGCTGTAGTTAAACAAACCCAACATACCCCCGCTCATTACCCATACTGGGTACGAGAATGGGGCACCGCACAAAGGACTCCCCGAACCGTTTCCATGGCCTGGCATTTAAGATAAATGATCGCCTGCCAACAATGCACAAAGAGTCACAAAAAGTTTGGTCACGTTTGTGCTATTTGGCGGCCAAGGCATATGCTAGTCCTCGGATTCCGGGATTCTGGGATCCAGGGATCCAGGGGGTGGCTGTCTAGCTTGCATCCACCTTGGCGCAATTTTAATATGTTTATGTGGGGGTGGCCAGGGGCTTAAAATTCAAGACACATGCTGCAGCTTAAACGTTTTAGAAATCTATTTTTCAAAGAAACACATGACAGCTTGGAAGGCGGGCCAGGATGGCATGTGTGCGTGCGAATTGCATTTAATTGAATCGTCTGAGCAGCAGGTGAAAGTATTTTTAAGTATTTCCGTGCAGCAAGAAGCTGCGGAGGAGCAGGAGAACATTCCCACTTTATGTTGAAATGAAGTTAAAAGAGCCAGCCAGATGGTAAGCCTGGCTAAAAGGAATCATAACGGAATTTCATTCAATATTTTTGATATATTTGGATTTCGCTGTGTTAATAATGTAAGTTATCCCTGACGCAATCAATGGTCGACCATTATTGAATATATGGAATTAAATTTAAAATAAGAGCAGAGCAATAATAGCAGCATAACTAAACTTCTGACTTTTGATTGGATTTCCTTTCCTGCTAGTTCCTTCTCATACATTGAAGGTTCTCCGCAAGGACAAAAGCATTGAAAAAATGAATTCCGTTTAAATTTCAGCTTGGCCCAACCCTTGCAACCGCTTCCCATTTCCGAATCCGCCACTTGCCACTGCAGTAAATCGGTGCCACATATGGCAACTTTACAAGTGGCTCGCGTCGCCGTCTGCGCGCACAATTCAAATAGAAATCAAAGTGGGCGTTCATGAGTTAAACACTCGAGGAGGCACGAGGCACGAGGCAAAAGGACCAAGGACCAAGGACCCGGTACCATGGCGAAGGAACCAGCGGAGTGACAAAGTCGCTGAAGCCCAGAGAGCTGAAGGCGAGCACTTGTGGTTTACGACCTGGTTGGCAGGATACGTATCCTGGTGGCAGGAATAAAATCACATATGGATGCCTGGGCCGGATGGGAGTGGGAATACTCTGAAATGGCTGTGCCATTTCTTTTTCGCTGCGAATGCTGTTGCGAAAATTTATTATTCTCGTCTAGATGAGTTCATTATGCGAACAGCAGTTGCCTGTCGGGACGCTGCCTTTGAATGCCGAATGCGAAAACAATTTAATTTTATTGTTTTCCACATAAATTCGCTCCGAATTATGCATTGTGTAAAAAACATCATATGAATCTGAGTGGCACCCGCACACACATGCGATGGCAGAGATTGCTGGCCATATAATTGAGTCACGTTTGCCCAGGGATTAGGTTTGTTGTCTTCCCCGCTCGGGTCCCAAAATATTCAGATTTATGCCGCGAATGCAAACTTATTGGAAATTGCCATCGTGTGATTTATGGAGCGCACATGCATAGTAAACTTTTCAAGCAGAGGGATTCGATTGGAAAGCGGAAAACCCTAAGCCACGTTCACATCGCAGTTTCTGGGGAAAGCTCGTGGATTTTCCGGTCTCAAACCCAAGCTCATTGTTTCAGCGCTTTTCATTCCATCTTCCAAATGCAAAACCCCAAGAGCTGCAAGAGGTTCCTTAAATAAGTTTAGCTGAAAACGAATATATTAATATTGGGAATATTTACAGAGCGGAATTCATATTTCACATTTACAAACCTCCCTGTAAAATACAAACCTCCCAGATTCGAGTTCAAATTTAAGAGCTGTGTATCACATTTACCAAATTTTTAGTATTGGGAATATTTACAGAGCGGAGTTCATATTTCACATTGCCTAGCACAATTAAAAACATGTCTAAAGTTTAAATACAACCTCCCTGTAAGTCAAACCTCCCAGATACGAGTTCAACTTTAAGGGCTGTGTATCTCATTTACCAAATTTCAACTAAAGCCCGCATTAAGACCGCAAATAAACCTATTTCTGAAATGATATAACAACGCCAAGAGCCGAATGCATGGCTACGTGATTATAATGCCAATAGCCCGACAGCCCAGCTCCAGATCCACCAGCAATGTGGAACACACGGAGGAACGATTCCCGAAGAAAGGGGAGATTTGGATACGGATAGCAAGAAAAATCAAAATTCGTGTTGGCATTCAAGTTCGATGGCTGGCATCCAGCGACGGGCGAGCAGAGCGAACGAAATTAAATTTATCTGTATCAGTTCCACCGCCCCAAGGATCGGAGGAGGTCCTGGAACAGCTGCAGCTGGAGATGAACACATGTTCGGACAAATTCATCTGGCATGTCACAATGCGCAACGGTATGCAGAAACATCCCAGAGGGTAGCACATTGTTATGGAGAACCCAAACAGACTCTGGCATCCTAGTTTCTGGCCCGGGTGCAGATTGCACGTGACAGGACTCGACGAAAAGTGAAACTGGGCAAACATTTTGCTGAGACACTTTGGGGCCGGGCGGGGAAACTTCAACCCCCGGCTCACTGGCTCCAAATTCCCCTCGCTGGAGCGGTAAGTGTCATTAATCAAATGCCGCCCAATAATTTGCAACCCTTTGTGCGGCAGTTGCTGAAATATGAACTTTTTGCTGTGATGAATGCCGGCAGTCATTAATAAATTAGGGGTTAAAATGCCATAACAACGCCGAGGGATGCGGGGCACAAGGCGTTTTGGCAGCCGCTGAAAAGTTGTTTATTTAATTGAAAGCGAAACGAGGGGCTGCAGATTCGCTTAACTCAATTAAATTGGTAGCAGGGGAGCGGGAAGTGAAATCAGTTAAACTTTGATTTAACGATCCAAACACTCGCTGTCATGCCCATGTCATATCAAGCGAAACTAAAATTAATTTTGGAAAGTTTATTTTACGCCAAAGAAACCAAAATTGAAAAACATTACTTTCTTGCTTTTTACTTCACTGGCATCGATGACTTTACTTACTTATATTTCCCACGAATAACACAAATCCCAGAAGTTATCAAATCCCGAGGTGAGCGCCATGTCCACATCGAAAACAGGCCAGTGTCGAGCACCGGGTATACTCCAATTGGAAGAGCAGGAGGAGAGCGATCTGCTGACCAGCGGCAGAGATCCCAGCGACGCAGAGGAGGAGACCGACCTGGATGCCGCCTACGATGAACTGGAGGAGATGAAGCAGCGCCTGATCGCACTGCGTAACAAGGTGGTAATCACAAATCCAGATGTTTGCCAGGAGCTGAAAGTTCGGGAGGGCGGAGCACTGCAGCAGTTGCGTGACCAGAAGTGCCAGCTTATTTGCCGACTTCAGGAGGTAACCCAGCACCTGGAGGACTCGCAAAAGGAGCTCAAAGAACTTGAGACTTGGTGCTGCCAGCTCCAGTACCGCATCCAACAGGCAAATCGGCAGCTTGACCAGTTCGAGGACTTCAAGCTTAGGGTCATCCACCAATTCGGGCTGTGCATCGAGCGTTGGGAGCACCAGAAGACCCACAAAATAGACTGCGCCACCTACCGCAAGGAAATGGAGGCCCACGTGCATCACGCGGACAACTCCCGGAAGAGCGTGGTGCCCCTCAAGTGCCACAAGTCCTTCCGACGCCGCATCCGCATCGAGCTCCTGCTGCTCCGCGTTTTCCTGCACAATCTCTTCGAGACGATGGTCAGCGACTTTAAGTTCTTCGGCCGCCACATGAGCATTAAGTGGGTAACCTCCAGCTCTCGCATCCGTATACAACTATAGTGCTCGCTCCGTTTCAGCTTCTCTATTGAACCCGTCCATATTACGTCCACCAAAGTTCCGGAAACGCCAATCGACCAGGAGAGCCACGAATAAAAGTTCCAGCAATTAATGCTTTAATTTACATTTTATTTTCGCGGGCCCTCTGTTTATAATGGCCTGGGAAATGTCGCCCAATTAAGGTTATTGAGGTTCCGCGGACCTAATGGCCCTTTTGTGGCCAATAATAATTACAGCATTTCAACTCGAACGCGGCCATTATTAAAGCCAGGCTATCAGGGACTTTCCGGTTGCCTAATCCGACTTTCGACGTCAGCCAAATGTGCTGGCATTCCCACCAGGATAAGATGGCTAAATACGAAACGGCATCAGATAAAAACAAAAGCAGATTTGTCTTTCCCCATCCTCGCTGGAAATCGACGCAATCCGCACCACACACTGAAACAGAGCGGAGCTAAGCTGACTGCCTCGGGCTGGGGCCAGCAGCCAAGGCTGAAATCCTTATCCTGCTCCAGCTCCTGCTCCAATTCCTATTCCAGCTGCACATCCTTTTCGGAGGTTTCGAAATGCGTAAAAACTCAATTGCTGCGCATTTGACGAGGAGGCTGGCGGAGGGCGCTGGAATCCGGGATCGACATGGGTCCCGGGTTGAGTGAGATGCTAGATAACGCCGAAATAGAATGGCGGGGAGCGGTCGCCACTGGCGAAACGAATTTATTGGAGTCATGTGCTAATGCCAATGCCAAATTGCAAGGTTACAAGCGTTTAGAGGCTGGCTGCTGCTTCCAACTTTACCACGAACGTAGCATGCTCTGATAAGTCTTACAATTTATTCTTAATATTAATATATTAAGTCTTAATATATCTTATTGAAAAGCCTTTATTAATTGAATGTAGTGAAAATCCACCTACCCACCAAAAGCAAGATTTCCTTACGTCAATAAGATTTTCATTGGAATGTGTTGTGTTGAGTTTATTACTAACTAAAGTAAGCTTATTATATTCCCAGGTCAGTGTACCACATATTGTATTATTCAAATTTATAAAAACCCCTTCTAAATACCAATAATCACCGATACACCCACAAGAGTAGAGTGCGCGCAGATGGAAACATGTAGATACACGAGTACAGACACCGGCACAGGACAACGACATCGGACTGCTGGCTGTTACAAGGCTAGAACACAGGAAACGCATTAGATACCTCCGATTCGGAGTGGTGGTGAGTGGGGGACTCCCCTTGCCCGAGCCCCACCGATGGAGCTGAGTTGGCGCGATAAAAATCTGCGTAAAGTGATGCGGCAATTTGATGAGCAACTAAGTTGGGCAATTAGTTGCGAGTTGCGTGTCTGGCTAAACTGTTGCTGGGAGTTTGGACGCAGATGCCCAGCTATTTGCCCGAAAGTTTGCAAAGTGATTTATTGGGACAATGGCAACACGCAGATACAGATAGTGCCGGATTGATCGGAAAATTTCCCCCAATTTCCACACAATTCCCATTCACATGACCTCTGGCACCGCGGTGACATTCGCTTCTAACGGAACCCCGGATACTTAGCCATCGCCAGCGTTTGGGATTCGTGGTCTTGCTGCTCCACTGAACTCTTTGACAAGCCCGAGCTGCGGAGAACAAAAAGAAATAACGCTCGCCGACTTGCTAATAAGCCGATGCCAGAAAAGAGCAGAAAAGAATGAAAGGAGCTGGGGAGCAGCGGGCTGCCCTGGGCTGCTTTCCAGCAATTTCAAAGATACATTTCGAGTGGCCAAGTTTGCTCTGCTCTTCGCAGAGCTAGCGCGAGCTAACCGCAAAGTACAAATAATTTCCATTTGGCCAAGGCGGCGGCATTTGCATATTTCTCCAGCCCAGCCTCGAACAGACAAACATGCCCGTCGGCCAGTATTTAAATAGCTGGCAGATACGTCTACTTATAAATACTTTTGTCGTCTTGGCAAACGATACGGCACAAGTTGTAGATAAATATGGCATAGATTACATAACTAGTTCTGCTCTGCGCCGCCAGAAACTCTTTCCGCTCGCCACGAATACATACACGTATTTCGGATATCCCCAGCACAAGCATCTACAAGCATAAGTATCTGAGTATCTGTTCACATGGCGGACCGTTTATTTATGAATTTGTCCGCAGACTCGCACGTAGCTTCAATGCGCCATTCTCACCCACAAGCTTTCGAGGGCGCCGTGGCTTAGTTGGTTAAAGCGCCTGTCTAGTAAACAGGAGATCGTGAGTTCGAATCTCGCCGGGGCCTAACCCTTGAACGTTGATTCTGGGGTGTTTATTTTTTTAGCCCATTAGTCCACCCCTACTGATATTTACTGTGAATGTTTGTTCCTTCCCTCGCCAGATGGCACTGTGTTGCAGTTGCAGCAATAATTGTTTCAATAATCATTAAAATACATTTGTGCTGGCAGGGTAGTTCACCATCCCGAATCAAGTACTGTGCGTATGGAAAGCTTTAGGAAAGCTCACCGAAGGACGGACAGGGTTGTGTATACAAATTTCCATTGAAAATATAACAAATTGTTATATGTTTGTATTAATTATTGTAATAGTTTGCTAATTCTGATGGATGTCAGAAATTTAGTCTAGATAGCCTATGGAAAGTGAAGAATCTTCTAATTCCGATTAAAAACCTGTAAAATGGTTTCTGTCCATTCTTTTATAACACTTTAGTATAACAGTTAGCTACTTCCAGTGTAACCGTGTTAGAACCGTAGAAATACAGTCCGAAAGCTTTTCCATTACCGTAAAATAGAACTTTAGAATCTGAAGCTCTTCCGAAAGACGTTTTTCTACGCTGTCCAATCTCAAGAGTGCCGACCATGTACAGACCATATCTCATATCATCAATTATATTGGATTTGAAACAACTAAACACACAGCAATTTCTAAATTAAAAATTCCAAAAAGTTCGAAATGGGCAGACATTTTTTCTTAAATTGGGAAGTTCAACGGCCGTTCCCACAGCGGCGCCGTGGCTTAGTTGGTTAAAGCGCCTGTCTAGTAAACAGGAGATCGTGAGTTCGAATCTCGCCGGGGCCTATAGTAGAGGACGGAGTTCTGTTCACTTTTTTATCCAATTCTTTTTAATTCCGAGTACCTAAAAAGTTATTTTAATTCAACACTTTGCTTAACCTAAGCGTAATTAACAAGCAACAGGAGACAGTGCAACTCCCATCCGTTTCGCGACTAATCCTTATAGACCAGATACAGCACCACGATCATGAAGTACGTGGGCCGCTCGAAGACCAGCTGGGTGAAGTTGTCCCGCTTCTCGTCCATCAGGTGGCACATGCGCTGGTAGACGCCCTGGTTCTGCTTCTCCACAATCGACAGCAGACAGACGATGCGGTGGCTGCGGATGCGATCCAAGGGTATCTTGGGGCTAAGTGATTAGGTGGCAGATGAGGTGGTGCCCCCACTTACCGCCTGTGGTTCAGCTTCTTGACCCGGTCGCGTATCTCGGCCGCCAGGCCTTCGGCCAGCTGCAGAGCCCGCCAAGAGTCGTAATTGCGGCTGAAGCGGTCCCACAGCAGCCGCTCCTCGATGCAATCTTCGATGATCTTCTGGGCACGTTCCATATTGAAGTTGGTGTGAAAGAACTTCCAGTCGTTCTTGGGCTTCTCCTTCCGTGGCTCCCCGCCCTCTCCGCCAGCCGCCTCCCCTTCCGGATTCTGAGCCGCTCGCCTCCTGCTCAGCATCGACTCCGAGAGCAGGGCGTTCATCCGGTTGGTGGTGCGCACCGATGCGGTTATCCTGCGGATGGTAATCGCGGTAATTGATTAGTCCCTTGTTACCAATCATATTTCGATCGAAATAATAGTCCCGAGTCATACGTACACTCGGAGAAAAGGGGTTGGGGAACGGGATGCGGCGCTACTGGGACCTAAGACATAACTTTCTGATTCTTATGGTATATTTACAGGATGATTCCTCATATTTAGTATTTAGGTTGGTCCCAGTTTAAACTTTGTTCTTAGGCATTAATGAAAAAAAATGTTTTCTCCTTGTTCACAATATGTACAAATTTACAAATATCAAAGTAACCAAATATCCATAATGGTTTCTGTGCTCTCACAACGCAACATGCTCTTCAATTTGAAGCCGTGTTATTGTACTTCATTAATGTTCCACTAGCTTTATAGTTTTCCCGATTATTTTGGTCACAGCTGATTATTGTGTTCACTATAGGCATCTTATAACCACGATGAAGTTGGTGTATCCATAACTTTGCCGGCGATTCGTACCGCGTTTTCATGGTGGTCCAGGAGGTCATGCCTGGAGCTGTTCCTGCAACCGAAGGGCTTCCTTTCTCAGAGCTCGGAGCTCTGCCAGCCGGCAGCGGAAAACAAACACCGGGCGCTGCTATCTGCACACTGACAGGACCGACAGGACCGACAGGACCGACATGCCGACACGAGTCCTGCTCATCGACAGGGCCTCGTGGATACCGCGGAAAGGGGTGTGGATGGGGAGTCCACACGTCGTCAAAAGTTCATTGAAGCTTTGTTGGTTTAGGTCCGCTCTCCAGCCGGACTGGGGATGGCATAGTTTGTATATTTTCCCTTTAACCATCAAGGGTTATCCCACAAACACGTCACGCTGCCATCGCCGACTTCGAGTTGGGCCTCGGGCTTCCGGCTTGCGTGCCGCTTATCATAAATCCACTGCCGGGGCGCTCCAATTGCAATCCGCCGGATGGCGGCGGAGACGTGGGTGTCATCGCCACCAGCCACTCGGCAGGATTTGCACAGGGCGCGGGCTCAGTCAAAGGCAAAGTGTTGCCATATGGACGTGCGGGATGGGCGAATTACTGGGACCCAGGCGGCACGCGATTCCCTCTGAAGTTGATGACTTCTGATCGGCTGCCCTGCGACACCTGGGCGCGGTAGTCCCGGCCAGGTGAGTGTCTTCGTCTTGGGCGCGAACTTTCAAGCACCTTGATTACTTTTATCGCAAAAGTTTCGCTCGGCGGCAGCGTATGCAAAGTTCGCGTTGGCGCGGCATATTCAATCTATCGGCATGCATCTGCAGCCCCATATATATAAAGTTATTAAATTGAAATAACTGTCAAGTCACGTACATGGAGCGCGGAGTTGATGACTCCTCATCGCGCCCAAATGGGCGATACAAGTGGCTGGAAAATGAAGAGCAGCTGAGCATTCCTCGGCGCAAGGATTGGGGTAGGACATGTGGCATGCAGTGGGCGTTGTGGCCGAACAACGGCTCCAACAGCCCAGGCCACGAGAATAGGAGCAGTTGCTGCGAGTACTGGAAGGAAACAATTGACTTACTTACTTACGTAATGCTTTCACGGTCATAGAAAGCAGCGATTAAATTAAAGTATTAAATTATTTTAATTCAAAATTATTTAAAAATTCCCATTTCGAATATCCAAATGCGTTAAAAATTATTTCAAAATTCGTTGCCAATATTATTAGAAAATGTCGGATACTCTTAACCACTAATACTCCATGTTATAGTCAATTCCTAAAGTTGAGCCGGAAATATGACTATCATATGACTATGCATAAGCTACATTTAATCTCTTAATTTAACACAAAAGAATACAAAACAGAAGAAGAGTAATAGAGCGTTTGACTAGTGTTCTTTGCGCTAAAACAAATGCAACTTTGAATATTAATATTACGATCTTCACGGTTTAATCTTATAGACGGCTGATTATCATCTCCTTTTCCGTTTAATATATGTATATACATAGCTATTAAGCAATATAAAAATATTTAAAGCCATATGAATTCTTTTTCTAGCAGCTTTTGAGCAGTAATCTGAAACTGATGATTGACTGCAGATGTCGTTCATTGGCTTAGATCTTCAATTTGCATATTTAGCCGCCCGGCTCACACAAATCCATTTCGGATGAGCCCATAATTTCCCAAGCACCCATCCTCTAACCGCCAAAACGAGGGGGCGGCACGAACCCCCAACTAGTAACCAGGTTAATAATTTCCAATCACAGAACTTTTCCCGACTCATGCCAAATGGATGAGGGATTCGGAACGGAACGACCAAATTTGTGACAGTTTCCGTGTGCGTGGGCGAAAATTAAACAACAGCTAAGCGAATTAAGCAATTTGTACCGCCGTGCTCCCCGCAAACGGGCGGAAATCGGGGGCGTGGCCCACGAGCGGCTCGAACTCATTAGCACCTGAGTGCACGCGACCCGCGACCCGCGAAATAGAACTTTGCATAGAACTCACGCCTGCATGCGACTCATGGCAGCGGCGCCTGGAAGTATGCTTCACTTCACCAGTCAGTGGGGCTAGGATTTTCGGCGAAACTGCACGAATGGAACTCACAAATGAAACTGGCTGAAGGCTCCGGCTCCAGGAGCTCGGAAGCATAAAAGCGCAAATGGCATGCAGGTGAAAGCAGAAGGCGAAAGGGTTGAGCTGAGTGCGCCAACAAGGTGTACGATTTGATGGTGATTGGCGATTGGCTCGCGACCCCGGAGTTGGGCCAGGGGGTTTGGGCCAAATGGAGGACTCCTGTCACTCGTTAGCTGCCTCGGCAGCGATTTGCTTTGAGTTAGCATGTCTAGGGACAACTCGGCGGCAATTTTCGGGCTCGGAGCCGCCGAATGTGTGCCAATGTATTCTAAATTGTGTTTATTTTGAGTAATCTGCAATCCGGCCAAGGCACATCTCGCCTCTACACACAATCGCCTGACTCCGCCAGACAGTTTGGCAATTAAAATTGTAGGTTGCCAGCTGTCGACGCGCCGCATGCAAACTAAATAGCTTCTAAGTACGTAGAAGGCGCGAACAGGAGATAGATTCTATCTACACGGAGAGAAAAGGGCCCCTGACAAAAGTCGCGATATTGAGACGGCACATCTGCACTTATATTAATTACTGCAAATTTACGCTACTTTTTATTTTGTTCTACTACTTTTTAAATTTTACTTTAAATTTTACTTAAGATAGTATGTTTCAGGTATCAAAAGAGTGAATCGGTTTGACAATCGATTGACAAGTGTGTATGTACATATATACAAGAACTTCTGTATCTTAAAAATATCATAAATCACGCTACTGTTCAGTAAGCAGAGCGCCGTAGCTCGTTCCTTAAAGACACTCCCATAATAGTGGAGAAAGTGAAGGCACCGATCTATAAAAAACGAAGTACTTCAAGCAAATGAATGCAAAAACTCCAAGAAACACGCACCTCCATGACCATCAGCATCCAGCCAACTATCTTAGGACCCTCCAGAAGCACATCGTACTGGGTCTTCATTTTGTCCAGACAACCTTCCCTGTAGGGCGAACCATTTTGGTCATAGCAGCTACTGGGAACAACTATAAAAGCCTCTCCATAGTCCTTTAATTTGTATATGCCACAGCATTTATACTGGAATTGAACAAAAGATACATTGGCTTCTACTTATACTATGATTATTATCTGTTAAGTTAGGCACTATGATGCAACATGAAATATGCAATCTTTTAACCACATATCTACACTCATACTTCATCCCTCAGGGATTTCATCCCTACTTATTCATTCGTCAGCACTTTGGGATTAGTGCAACTAAACTTACTTGTATCTGGTACTCGGCCATTGCGTCGTAGGTGTTTGTCTGCTTGGCAAAGGCTTGTTTCAGTTTGGTAAAGGAGTCTTCTTCGAAATGCATGCGGAAGGCAAAGAGCAGGGCTATGGAGACGATCAGCATCACCAACATGGAGGTGGCGTACTAAAGCGCGGAAGAGTTAATTAGTAAATGAATAATGGCGCTTACACTGTAAAACTTACTGCCCAGGTAACGCAGATGCTTTGCTTGATGGCCCCGAAACAGCCAAAAAACGAGAGCACGAACACGATGGACCCCACGGCGATGTACAATCCCAGGATGAGTTGGTCCTTCGGGGCTATCTGATCGATGGCTATTACATTGACCACAATAGTGGCGATACCCAGGACCTGCGAATGAATTGGGTTTAAAATCATTAAGATACTTCTAGACAAGTATCTGTACTGAAACATTAACAAATATGCGTGGACTACTTAACTACTGCAATACATTATATTCAGTTCCCTCTGCCATTAATCATTCTAGCCAAGCAAATTTGCCCAGATAACGTCGGCTGACTCATAATGTGGGCTTAATAAGTTAGATTGCGGCGTTGTTAGCACGTTGTAAATATCTCGTTGTTACCAAATGAAAGAAAGCTGAACATTTCCCAACAATGCTAACCATGTTAATATGCAGTGTTTTCAAAAAATATCCGTGCTCTCTCTATTTAAAGTGTAAGATATAAGATACGGTTTTATTACACTTTCGATATTTGTTCTGACGAAACCTCTTAGACTAGTGCAATCAGTACCTTAAAGTTGCAGGGTTCCACCATTCATTTCGTAGAACAAGTTGATTAATTATTAACTCTTTTTGAATCACCACCACTCACCGCACAAAGAAAATTGAAGAGGAATGCCAGATACCTTATCACCAGCGGTGACCAACCCATGGCGTAAGAATAAATTCGGCTACCGTAATTTTTTCCAGAAGTCACTAACTTGTTTCGATGCTTTCTTCTAGACGGCTATTGCTGTACTAAGTAGGTGGGCAAATACGAGCGGCGATTGGGTTTGTTTGGGTTTGCCATCCAGTGTGAGAATGCACTGGCAAAAGTGAATGCGAATCACTAAGGTGCTAGTCCATTTCAACAACACAATTTTAATAGCACTTATGGTATACGAGTGAAGAGCCGGCCACTATCAGTGTACCGAGTAGCATTTTAAATAGCTTGAATACGCTATCACTGATTTTTTCAGGTGCAACACATGCCATTGCTCCCAGCTGATTACCGCCCAGATTAAGTTCGCTTTGCTCTCTTGGGGAAACCTCGCTGACCATGAAACCAAACGGACCCACATCTGATAAGTGTGCTCTCGCCCGGGAAGCTATCTATATTGCACTTCAAGCTATTGCTGATTAGGGTGGACTCTATTCATGGCGCGATAACACTACTTACACTTCATTTCTCGCTTTAGATACGTATAAAGTAACCAAAACCTGGAGCACGTACGCATGCTCAATTTCTGCCCTGAATCACCCGCTCCCGTTGATTGCTCCACAGCGTTTTGGTGGGTGAACCAATATCGAGCGAATTTCCATGCTCAAGTGCTCATCAAATACAACAATTAGGCAGGGCGCTAGTCTCTCCGCTCGGCAGTGGATCTCAGTGGAACCCAGCTCTTATCAGGCCGATGGTCGGGTGCTTTTGATAACTCTAAGCCTCATTGGACTGCGCCGTTTGCCGTTCCGTTTGGCTTTTGGTATTGGGCGCTGCCTTTCAGTTGATTTTCGATAGCGAGTGTGGCCCAAACCGACAACTAGACAACTGGAAATCCGGCAAAATGAGCTGCGGCACGAAGGCATTGAAGGTGTCCTCCTTTGTATTGGACTTTCTGTGCTGCGTGAGTTGTTATCATCGAATCGCCAACTGATAGTAGCAAAGTACTCTCTTAACCGCAGGTTCTGGCGGCATTGACCATCGCCGCCTGCTCCTACGCCCTCATAGCTCTTAGCCACAGCGTGGCCATCCGGGTGCCCTGCATCCTGGGCATCGTCCTGGGCGCCCTGCTCTTCTTCAGCACGATCTTCGGCTGCATCGCCGCCCTGAGGGAGAGCATTCGCATGACCTGGATCGTGAGTAGTGCTCTATCTGGTAGCCAGATGACCTCCAGTATTAACACAGCCGTCTCCCTTCGCCCAAAAGTATGCTGCAATCCTGCTGGCCCTGGTTTTCGGACAGATCACCGTGATCTTCGCCCAACCCATCAACTTTGAGTTGCTGGCCAACGAGACCATATACGACGCCTGGCAGGGACAACTTTACCATTCGGGCAGCATGTCCTACTATGAGATCAAGGTGAGCTATGCAGGGATCTTCAAGACCTTCTCATATATAAGGAACAGCGATCTTATCTGGCAGGGACCTAAGCCGCTTGGCATATAGTAAAGAACATTGTTTGCACTTTTTCGGAAAGGGAATTATGAAAATATTATCAGTGCAATTTTATCGAAAGTGTTTTGCAAGCCTTTTATCTTTGTTTAACCAACTTTCGTTTAGTATCACTGCTGTGGCCAGACAGGGCCCACAAACTACCCGGATAGCGGCCTGCAGATTCCGCAGAGTTGCTACTTCAACCAGAACGCCACGGTGACTACGGATCTCTATACGGTGGGATGTGACCGTCAGTTGGCAGCGGCCTTCGTCAAGGGAACGCGCTGGGAGAGAATCACGGATTGGTCCGTTGTGGGTGTAGAGGTAACTGAATCTTAATCGCTTCGATCCTGCAACTCATATTCCAAATGCTCCCCAGATACTCACCGTCATGATCGCCGGACTCCTGGCTATAACCCTGCAGAATGCGGAGCGACGCCGTCTTTACCGATAGGAGCTGGTCCTAAGATTCCGCCCACAGTATTAAGAACTGTACAAATGTGAAAGTGTTCCTATATTAAGAAGTAATTGCCAAACCATTAATAATTTCGATTCGAAAATTATAAATATTTAAATGTATTTAAATGTATTAAAATATTAATGCAAAATATCAAATAACTTTAGAAACAATAAAATTAGGCACATCTAACATTTACACTTGGAATGTTGTATTGCTCTTGTCGTCTACCCTAAGCAGTTTTTATATACTATGTTCAATTTCTGATACCCCTTATACCCCTTATACTTCTATAAATGCAGACATCAAAAAAAAATAATAATAATAAATAAATAAACAATGTTAATGCATAGAATATTTAAAATAGCACTTAGATTAAATTTGTTATTCAACTGACTTAAGTTCGATATCAACGCGCGCCGATAAATTTTTTTCAGCATACCTATCGAGCCAGTGAAAACAGCTGACTGCTCACAAGTGCTGCTAAAATCTAAATAAAGCTAAATACGTGACTTACATTTCTTTTAATTTCTAAACATTTTTTTAAGACATTCAAACAACTGATACTAAAACACGTTTTTCTCCCTAATTACATATTTTTAAATCACATTATTTAGTTACTACCATTTCGGAATCAGCTCATTCAAACGAACAAGCCGTGATCTATCTGAAAAATAGCTAGACTCACAGCGCAGCTGCGTTCGAGAAACTGGTTCCGTGAACTGTTGTCAAAGTTGCCGAAATGCTGGTGAAAGCAGTAGAATGATCCGTTTTGGCCGTATTTGCACAATTACTGAGTAACTGGTGACACCCGAACAAGCGCCATGTATTCATAAGCACCTGCCGCGCACCTGCCAATTTGAATTTAAAGCGGCCGCGAAGCAGAAGCGCCGCATTTCTGCGCCGAGCGTTCCGCGGAGTCGTCGGATTGGATCGGATCGGATCGGATTGGATTGGTGACTAAAACAGTGGAACAACAACAGCGGCTTGATTAGTTGGCAGTAAACAGAGCTAGCGATTGCACCGGTCATTCACACCGCACCGTTTTGGCCAGAAGCAGTTCCAGTATTGGTAGCAAGCCGCAGCAATGGGTCTCCGGTTCCAGCAGCTGAAGAAGCTCTGGCTGCTCTACCTCTTCCTGCTCTTCTTCGCGTTCTTCATGTTCGCCATCAGCATCAACCTGTACGTGGCCAGCATCCAAGGCGGAGATTCGGAGATGCGGTGAGTAGTTGGCCGGTAATTAGCAATGGGCCCATTAGGACGCGCCGTTTGTATTGCACAACTTCCCCTGGGGCCCAAATAGGTTGCAAAATGCAAGTGTTCCAGTCGAGTGCCTCGCCTCCGCGTTTTGTGCTTCGATTGCCGAGGCACTTTGCATTTGATTTGGGTCTTGAGTCTCTGTTTGTTTTGCCATCGCTTCGCGTGATTCGATGGGCTATTGTAAATGCTAAGTCTTAATACCACTCCATTGTCACATCTTGGCTCATTTGGCTTTTGTGGATCACTATGCCGATTTCCCGCACAGTCATCCGAAACCACCGCCCAAGCGCCGCTCCCTCTGGCCGCACAAAAACATCGTGGCCCACTACATCGGCAAGGGAGACATCTTTGGCAACATGACAGCAGGTGAGTGCGATGGTACATCCTGATCGGCATCAGTTGAGATGGTTCCTTGGGGTAATAAAACAGTTTATTCGTCTACCTTTCCCAGTTACCCTAACCATCAATAATTTAAAGTGTCATTAAATGGTTTCTTTTTGCCAGCACCACTGATTTCAATTTCTGGACATGGGGCTTAGGCGTTCGGGAAAATATTCAAGACTTATTTTATTACCTTGTATCTTAGCTCTCCATCATTTCACTTTCGACGCATTAGTTTGTAAGGCAGCCCTAGCCATCCATATGGAAGAACTGACGAATTTTGTTTAGTTTTGTTGGTGAAACAGTTGCACCATTGAAAGCCATCATTGATGGAAAATAACTAAAGAGAGTTTCCACCAAATGACACAACGTCGAAATGCATTAATGCCCACTCGCTTGCAGACGATTACAACATCAACCTGTTCCAGCCCATCAACGGAGAAGGTGCCGATGGGCGACCAGTTGTGGTGCCACCTCGAGATCGCTTTCGCATGCAGCGCTTCTTCCGACTAAACAGCTTTAACCTGCTGGCCAGCGACCGCATCCCACTGAACCGCACCCTCAAGGACTATCGCACACCCGAGCAAGTAGAACCCATAGCTTACTGAGAACCTTTCCTCATGCATTTCTCCTCCCGCACAGATGCCGTGACAAGAAGTACGCCAGCGGTCTTCCCAGCACGTCGGTGATAATAGTTTTCCACAACGAGGCCTGGTCCGTCCTCCTGCGAACTATCACCAGCGTCATCAACCGGTCGCCGCGCCACCTGCTTAAGGAAATTATTCTGGTTGACGATGCCAGCGATCGCTGTAAGTCTGCCTAGTATAATCACAGTAACCTCCACGTATTCCCTCGCGATTGTATTGCCGACCTTGAGCGAAGCTTACCAACTTTATTGTACCCAAAGGACATTTTATTCTATTGCCAGCGTGCTTCTCGCGGCTAAGGTAGACAATTTTCAGTCCACTCCGCCAAAGAAAAGTCCGATGCTTTAAGAATGAAATATATACATAGTTTTGGGATGATTCACAGTACTTGTTTCTTATCTTGAAAGCGGTATAAGTATCGTAACTGATTCATTGACTGTCGATTTCACCCCCACCATGCCAGAAAGTTAAAACTTATAAGAATGTAGTAAAGTGCGTACGAAGCAGTAAGCCAAATTCATGTGTAGTAAAATACAAGTACCAAAAGACCGCATTAAAACGACAAACCCTATTTTATTTATGCATATCTCTGTAATAACAAGGCTAATCAAATGTTTTTCCAAAGCGTATTTAAAACGTCAACTGGAGAGCTATGTGAAAGTGCTGGCGGTGCCCACGAGGATCTTTCGCATGAAGAAGCGCAGTGGCCTGGTGCCCGCCCGTCTTTTAGGAGCCGAAAATGCTCGCGGTGATGTGCTGACCTTCCTAGACGCCCACTGCGAGTGCTCGAGGGGATGGCTGGAACCACTGCTTTCCCGCATCAAGGAATCGCGCAAGGTGGTAATCTGCCCGGTAATCGACATAATATCCGATGACAACTTTAGCTACACGAAGACCTTCGAGAACCACTGGGGCGCTTTTAACTGGCAACTGAGCTTCCGTTGGTTCTCCTCGGACCGTAAACGCCAGACAGCGGACAACAGCTCCAAGGATAGCACTGCCCCGATTGCTACGCCCGGAATGGCCGGCGGATTGTTTGCCATCGATCGCAAGTACTTTTACGAAATGGGATCCTACGACAGCAACATGCGCGTTTGGGGCGGCGAGAACGTGGAAATGTCCTTCCGCATTTGGCAGTGTGGCGGTCGTGTGGAGATCAGTCCCTGCTCCCACGTGGGTCACGTGTTCCGCAGCAGCACGCCCTATACCTTTCCCGGCGGCATGAGCGAGGTTCTCACGGAAAATTTGGCCAGAGCCGCCACCGTGTGGATGGACGATTGGCAATACTTTGTAATGCTGTACACCTCCGGCCTGACTCTGGGGGCCAAGGACAAGGTGAATGTTACGGAGCGATTGGCGCTCAGGGAGAGGCTCCAGTGCAAGCCGTTCTCCTGGTATCTGGAGAACATATGGCCAGAGCACTTCTTTCCTGCTCCCGACCGTTTCTTCGGCAAGATCATCTGGCTGGACGGGGAGACCGAGTGCGCCCAGGCCTACAGCAAGCACATGAAGAACCTACCAGGTCGTGCTTTGTCCCGCGAGTGGAAGCGAGCGTTCGAGGAGATCGATAGCAAGGCGGAGGAGTTGTTGGCGCTGATCGATCTGGAGCGGGACAAGTGTTTGCGCCCGCTCAAAGAGGACGTGCCGCGCTCATCTCTGTCTGCGGTAACCGTGGGCGATTGCACATCTCACGCCCAATCGATGGACATGTTTGTAATAACTCCCAAGGGCCAGATCATGACCAACGACAACGTCTGCCTGACGTTCCGACAGCAAAAGCTGGGCGTGATCAAGATGCTGAAGAACCGCAACGCCACCACTTCGAATGTGATGCTGGCGCAGTGCTCTCCCGACTCCAGTCAGCTGTGGACCTACGACATGGATGTAAGTGTATCACAACAACGACAATTGCATTCGTGTTAAAAATGTATTCCTCCGCAGACACAGCAAATTTCTCATAGGGACACAAAGCTCTGCCTCACTCTCAAGGCGGCGACTAATTCGCGTCTCCAGAAAGTCGAGAAGGTTGTGCTCAGCATGGAGTGCGACTTCAAGGATATCACACAGAAATGGGGCTTCATACCGCTGCCATGGCGCATGTAGAGAGTAGGATGCCATGCCGGTGCCAGGACAGTTAATCCAATAACTCTGCCAGCAACTTTTTAACGCAATGTGATATTTATTGAAATTGTTTTAACGAAGTTCGCTCGTTAATTTGTTTATGTAAACAGTAACGAACCCACAAGCACACGAACTTCAGAAACCGGCAGACCCGCAGACCTGCTGTCCAGCTGTCTAGCATAGCCTGATTTCACTGCCGCAATTTTACTTTTAACTGCGCGAAAACACAAGCAGTAGCAAAATATGTGTGGCAGTGGAACCAAGCCATACCAAACAATCGTACACCGATACAGACCCACATGAATTGTTTTTAAAACACTAACCGAGTGCGTGGAAGAGCTTTTCTCCCGCCACGCATTGCGACTCTATAGATCTAGATAGCATAGTTGTATGCTATACCTACGTCATATACATTAAGAAGAATTAGGAAATTTTTAGCTGTACTTACTACCTTTGACCTTAATTTTTATATCACTTGAATAAAGCAACCGAATGTAGAAAGCGTCCATTTCTGTGACTTCTTATCGCTGGCCCCCGGGAAAGGTCGCGATGCAATGGCTTTAAATTTGGCGTGCCTGCCGCAGATTACACCACTCTCACGATGAACGGCTGCTATAACACAATAAAGTACACGGGCCTGCTCTGCAATCTGCTCTATATGGTAAGTCTGGTTCCTGAAACTCCCTTTTCAATTGTTGGTAATCTGTGGTATTGCAGCTTCTGGGCATAGGAGTGATGTCTGGAGCAGGACTAGGACTGCAGATAGCGGAGCCTAACACGCCGGAGCACACGTATTTCGTGAAGAGTCTGGTCTTGGGCGGCGCCATCTGCCTGATCGTGATGTTCGGATGCTATGGCATGGTCGCCAACTTGCTGTGTGTCAATCTGATTGTAAGCGAACGGAAACACCGTATCCTATTCCTACTAGTCCTAACAAACTGCCCCACAGTTCACCATATTCATACTGATTGCTCTGGCAGCGGAGTACCTCCAGCTGCACCACTATCACAGCCCGTCCCTCAGGAGCTCTGGTGGCGCCTGGCAGCAGCTGGAACTGGCTTGGCATGGTCTGGACAGAGAACCCGAGCTCATGCACCAATACGAGGCCTCCCAGCACTGCTGCGGCTACAATGGAGCCGACGATTACAAGCGGCTGCATCTGCTGGTGCCAGCGAGCTGTTATCAGGCCACTGGTAATGCCACCGCCCCGCAGATCTATCCAAGCGGCTGCCTAGAGACGCTGAACCGCAGTCAGCGGTACATCCAGCACCGCGATAAGCTCTATATGTGGGTCATCGTTGGCCTTGAGGTGGGAAATTGACTTGCGGCTGAAAAGCAGTTTCTTGAATAATTATCGATCTCTTCATCTGCCGCAGATCTTCATACTGCTGCAAACCATGACGTTAAGTGTGCTGCTCTTCCGCCTGCGGCAGCGGCAGCGCATCGCTCGAAGACAGGTGCCTCCAGGTGTGCGGCGGGAGCCGCGCTCCAACCATGTGTCCGCCTCTCGGGCGCACTTACTGCATGACGCCTGACTTAAGATCTTATGAAAACTTGGGTTTATTGGTTATCCACAAATGCTTAGCCATAAATGTCATTCGTAATTAGTAGGTGTAAAGACGGGTCTTGTTGGTCAGCTGGCAGCACAAGGTGATTCCCAAGATGATGCCTACGACCTGTAATAAAAGAAACAAGGCGTTGCAGTTGGCATTTACAACGTCTCAGTTCTCAACCATTTTGTTTGCAAACTGACAGCTTTGCCCACCTCGTAGCCAATAAGTCCGCAGTGAACCCACTTCTCGTAACGATACATCTGCAGGTAGGCTCGCTTCACGGCGGCCATGCAGCCCTCCGCATACGGATACAAGGCGTGAATGCCGTCCTTGGTGTGGAAACAGCTGCGCGGCTCCTTCATGTTGAGGCTCGTGTAGTCGGAGACGCCCTTGTCACCACAGCACTCGTACTGGAAGAGGGAAAAGAGCGTATTTAGGGGTCGTAGGGCGATCGCATTGGGGAGGAGCCACCTTCTGCTGCAAGTCCTGCATGGCGCCTTGGTGAACCAGCTCCTTCATCCAGAGATCCATCACGTACACCTCAGTGGCGTCCAGCTGCTTGGTCTCATTGTAGTGGGACACTTTCCAGATGTGCAAGACTATCAGAACCAGGAGCACAACCAGGTTCTGAAAACCAAGGCGTTCAAAGTTCCCACCAATCGACAAATTATCTGCTCTGGTTACTCACCACCACCATCACCTTGATGGAACCGAATATGGCTCCCAGGCAACCGACTAAGCCGGCCAGGATCAGCGCACCTGCCATTCCCAGTTGGATGAACTTTTCCACGTGCTCCGCGGAGCCCTCGCTGAACTGATCCAGCTCATAGACGCCGGCCAGGGCTGCCAGGATGCCAACGATCTGGATGGGTATTAAGATTATGAATTATGCCTGCGCACACTAAGCGTTTGTTAATGGCCCATGGAATGGGCAAACAAAATCTTCAGAGACAAACTTTCGACGCGCGGCATACGTCATCGGGCAGCGAGAAGAACCAAAATAAAAACAAAACGGACGCAGATATAAATTAAATTACTTTGGGCTTTATTTTTAAATGGCACATACACAGCTTCCTTTCTTGTTGCTGTCGCTTTGAATGTGCCGAAAATGCGCCTGCCCAACAAAAGTAGGCATTACGGGCGCGGAGTGACATGTTGTCTGGTGGAAATGGAAAATGGAAAATTTGAATGGGATTTGTTTGCTGCCAAATTGGCCAGCTACTCGGCAGCAAGAAATTACAAGCGGCAATGAAAAACGGGCCCAGAATGCAAGACACTTTATGATCGTGCTTTGACAGAATGCCAGCGAGTTAATTCTGAATCGAGATTTCCATCGGCAAGTGCTTCATTACTCATACGCAGTGTGTGCCTCAAGAAACATCTGCATTGAAATTATCAAGGCACAGTGACAATTATCGCTTGGCCAGAGGCTATCATGGAAAGTTTATGCTGGCTAATGAGGCGCATTTCCCGGAGATATCTCCCTTACCAACGTCAGCGCACTGAAGACAACCGAGGTCCATTGCAGGCACACGCGAACCGTGGGCATTTTCACTTGCGAGTGCAGCTTTGTCCTTAAATCAATCTCATTCAGAGCTCATTCGAGCGGCGGGTCCAGGCGGCGGACGCGTTTCCCGGAAAATTCGCTTTCCACTCTCGACCGTCTGTGCGTGGCGGTGACCGAACCGTTAGTGCCGTCGGACGTCGGACGTGGGCCGGGCCAAAATAAAGCGAAACCCGAAAAAGCGCTAAGAAGCTGCGAACTGTTTACAAATCCGCCGAGTGGCCGTCCGTGTCCGCATCCGTGTCCGCCTCGGTCTCGGTCTCCGTTTCGGCGTTTCGTGTGCCGGTCGTTACTCAGGAGACCGGCGTTCACCAGACCTCGTTGGCCCCCGCCTCTTCCGCCCCACACTGAGAGAAATACTTAATTGCTAATTATATAGTTGAACTATATCGCTTAAGTTTGCAACACACTGCAAGGCAACCTAAGCATATTTATACATATGTGTTTCTGCCTCTGCAAATGTCTAAGAATATATAGCTTCAATATTTTAAATGTAATTTTAAAGCTCTTCCTCGCACTCCCATTAGCCGAGGAACGGGTATATGATAGTCGAGGCATTCTTTAAGTCATTCGTTTTAAATTACATTTTCTTTTTACTTTACTTTTTAAGTGTTAAGCTAAGCAAATAGGTCCTTTATGTTTCTGTTTATTAAAAAGGTATACTTCTAAAATGTAGTAGATTTTCTTTGAGTGCACCCGATGGATCGTATATATTTATACGCATCTTTATGGGCAACATACATCCACTAGCAGGCCCGCCGAAATTCCGCATAGTGGGCACAAACAACACTTATTGAATATTATGACTCTGGTTTGTTTTTTATTCTACGCTTCTGTTGCCTCCAGATCATCCTAAACTGCTATAAACATCCATAGATATCGAATTATGCGCTTCCAAGAGACCTGTTAGAATCTTTCGCGCCGTAATTTATTGCGCACCGTGATGCCCAAGTGCGTGGCGGCTCCCAGGGCGGCGAACTGCGAGGAGAGATCGGAATATTTGATTGGAGCATTAGGGCGTCTGTTTGTGCGCACCGCCCTTGGCCCACCAAGCCCACCAAGCCCACGAAGTATGTGGCCAAGGCCGGCATGGAACCTACCTCCACCAGCAGCAGCAGCCACTTGATGATGAGCCCGATGGTCACGTTGTCGGTGGCATGAGCCTGCACAGCCTGCAGGCAGCCCGCGGCGAAGAGGCTGTTCTCGCGCCGCTCCTGCGCCCTGTAGCAGCTCAGGGGTATTCCCCGGCCCATCAGGACATAGTCACGGGCGCCCGATTGGCCGCAGCAGGAGTACTGCATGCAGGAGGAATGATTATACAACAACGGGGTATTGGAGTTTGGTTTGGCACTTACCCTTTGCTCGAGGAGCGCTATCCGCTCCACACTGTCCCTTTGATCAGCCCAGCTGGCCAGGAAGTCCTTCCTGGAGCGCTCTACGTAGTCCGTAGAGTGGGCTGCGGCGATTATGTAAATCTGCAGGCACAGCAAAATCAGCAGGCAGATCACATACTAGCAGAGAATTAAAGATTATTGCATATTACTAAATACTATTATTATCCAGGCTTCACTTACGCTCCAAACCAGGCCCAGGGAGACCCGAGCCGAGGCAAAGCAGCCCAGGAACGAGGTCAGCACCACGAAGGTGCCCACGAAGATCTGCACCACGATGGCGATGTGCTCGAAGGTGCCCGGCGTGGAGCTGTTCAGCTCGTACACGGACAGAGCAATCAAAGTCACTCCAATCAGCTGGCAATAAAGTCACATTTAGTCCATTGGCCCCAGTCCATTCACTCATACGCACCGATAGCAGCACATTGAGAGCGATAAGAACGGCTTTCAGGAACGACGTGCGGCAGGCCATGTTGCCAATCAATAATCCCTATAATTAACCACTGCGTTATCCTTGCTGCCGCACCTGTTCTCCGCTGCGCAGTTGACCCGATGCGACGACCACCGGAAAAGCGAACACCCAATGAACTCCGCCAGCCCTATTGCCGTAGAGGTTGACGTGCGACTGAAATGTGGCGCCCCCGAAAGCGCCAGTTAGTGGGTTCCGCCACTCGACAGAACTCAACTATTCCGCGGCGCTTCGCCCTGCTGCACTGAGCGAAAAGCATCGAGGGTAACTGGTAACTAAACTAAAATTGTAAAACTTATTCCAGGGTAAAGCATTCAAACAGCGATTTTTATTATGCCCGACGCATTTGGCATGCACTTGTACATATCAAACACACGAATTGGATTTTATTCTATTACTTACTCTTCAAGACCTTCTAATTTACATTCAGAACAAGATTCTTGAGCACTAATGTTTTTGGCGACTGTATTTACACACACGTTGGTGTAGTGGATTCTTGTGGGTGGTATGATGTCAGTGGCCAAAGCATTCACCGCCTTTTTTATTTAGGAATTGGACAGACCCACAAGAATCCACTCAGCAGTACACAAGCATCGTGGTCATTGAGGGATTTATGCGCAGCACTCTTAACTGCATCTTGGAGACTCCAAACATGCCATTACGCGACGAGCAACAAGTCAGTTGGCAGCCAAAGCCAGTAACCAAAAGTTTTGGCCATGAAAGGCGCGCTGGGACCACGCGTCGTATGCTTAATATTTCCATGGGATGAGCATGCAAACAAGGTGACAGGCGAGCAAATCATGTGAAAACAAACACGCGCACATTTATTATGATACTTATGATGGGTAATTACCCAATTGAACTATAAATATGTACTTTAATTACAGGTTACTTTAAGGTAGGAGTGAATAAGTTATGACTGTCCATTGCGTTTGGTTATGAAATGTTGAAGCGTAGAATATCAGCGAGACCCCGATTCCGAGTTTGTACTGTTGGATAGCTCGAGATTAGCGAAGACTTAGAACTCCATCCGCCGCTGCTTGTTCTTAAAGCTAATGGCCAGAAAAACGGCCAAGGCACAGCAGATCAACTGAAAGGAAGTCGGGTAATAAACATTACTTATATAGAATACGAGTACATATAACTTTAAGCTTGGCCACCGAAAACCCACCTCGAAGGCCACTAGAACCCAGGACACTATGATGAAGCGCAGCTTGTCGCTCTCGTAGAAGCTCTGCACCTTTCCAAGGCACCCTGCCAGGTAGAGGTGGTTGGGGGTCTGCTGCAGATCCGCGTAGCAGCTGGGCGGGATCAGCTGGTTGAGGTGGATGTAGTCCAGGGCGCTGCTCTGGCCGCAGCACTCGTGCTTCTGCTGCAAGGCATCCATGTTGTTCGCCTGCCAGGCCACCTCCACTATGTCCCGGCCGCTCTTCACGTCGAACTCGTGGATGAAGAGGCAGGTGCTCACGATCTGCGGGATGGCCAGGATCAGCAGGAAGACGGCACTCTAAGGGATAGGCAACAGCTCAAATTCAGAAACAGTTTCGGCTTCAGGCTAACTGCCTTACCGTTGCTGTCAGCACCACCGATTCCCGAATGGCCGCGAAGATGCCCAGCAGCGCGAAGACCAGGATGACTGAGCACGCGACGTAAGCAGCTATAACGAACTCCTCCGTCTCCGTGTCCGCATTGTAGGCAATCCAGCCGATGGCCCCAGCAGCTAGAACCTGGAATTAATAACAGTGAAACCTCTGCGGTCGACTACTTACATACATATGTATATCTAAGAACTTAATCGGATGAAACGTATAGATTTTACCAAAGTTTTTATAGGATTAACCTAAAACCTTAAAGCAAATCGTACTACTTTCAATCCCCGGTTTTATTTTTAGATTTCACAAAACTAAAGTGGACCTGGTCTCGCTGCTAATAATGCTTAATGTTATAAAGTTTGGTCTTGTGGAAGATCGCCTGTACAATATGATACGGTTGCAGCTGCAATTACAAGGGCAATTGCCATTCATTTGTGAGGCAATTAAGAGCCGCAGCTGAGTGCATCACATAATTTGTCGTTCGGGAAGTTTGCCTGACTGAGCTGTGATAGTGACATGAATACTCCCCGTCACTCCCGCACCCGCCCTTCCGGGGGTTGGCACCCACCCTTGCTGGTGGCCCAGTTTCGGGAACTCCAGCGTTCGATTGCGATAAATAGGTCAGACTGCAAACCAGAGTGCGAATACTGGGCGAGGGTACGTGGACATGACATCATCCTGCGGGAGCGGAGGTGGCAGCAATTGAAGACTCTGGCGGGAGGGGGACAGCAGGGAACAGGCGGCACTGTAAACATGGCTGTCATGGCAGCCAGTTACCAGTGGTGGAGAAATCGGAGCAGCAGCAGGAGGGGCAATGGCCACCTTGAGGCCAGGTCGTCTATCTCAGGTGGGCGCGAACCGGACGAACGAGCGACGTCGCTTAAAAATACACACCCAGCAAGAGCGGAATATTCGAAAATATTCAAAAACATGCTCTTTCCGACCGTGTGTTTTCAAGTTTATATGGTATAGAATAGTCAAAAATAATTCACTTGGGGCGCTTTTGAAGCGCGTTCACTTGTGCACCCATTCCACATGACATCACGCTATTTTCCTTGCACGGAACATGGATATATATGCACAATATATCCGGCGCAGTCGAGGTAATTAGTAGTCCATGTATGAGATGACTTACCCCTAAAACGGCATTCAGCACGATGGAGGTGATCTTAACGCTGGTCGTGGCACAGCCCATGTTGTTGGATCTGAAAACATGATCCAAACGCATTAAGTCGAAACTCTCGATCACGTATCGAATCTCAAGTGTGTTAACCTTTGACTTCTCTCTCCGCACACAAACAAAGTTCGTTTTTTGTTTATTTAAAAAACCGTTGCTGGGCTCGAATAACAATCAAATATATTTCCGCTGGACGCTCGGCGGGATTTCCGCTCTCGGATCTGAGCTTTTTGGTCTGGCGCGTTCTGCGTACGCTGGCGAACTGAAAGCGGGAAAAGTTTTGTTTCTCTCTCCCCCTGAGGATTGTTGTTTCCCCATCGAAATAAACCGCAAGAGCACTCTCGCTCTCGCGAAAGAGAGCGCTGCACTTGGGTCAGCGCTCCAAGCCATGACGTCATGTCGGCTTGGGTTTATACGGTGGTGTTTTCGAATTCTTATCGGGTTGTGACAGTACACACATACGTGATTGAATGGATTCGCGCTTAAGCAATTAATTAGCTGAATATCGATGTTTCCAGAGCTTTTAGGGACCAATGCAGCTATTAAAAAGCACAACCAAGGTTTAATTTCGAATTAAAAGTCTAACCTAGTCGTTGAAAGCCATTTTTTTTTTAAGTTTGTATAAGGATACTAAAGGTAGTTACCCTCTTTGAACTAAATGGCTCAAAAATTCTTTTGTATATCATTACCAAAATATTAATTTATAAATTGTGACTTTAAATTGATTATATTAGGATTAATCAAACGTTATTTGCTAAATTTTGATTCCTATTGCAAACATTTATGATATTGAGCCGGAGTTGGCGCTTATTCAGTAGTGACTCACATTCACAATCCTCAGTCCAGAGTGTCGACCTCTCCATTGATACTGTCTCCCCTTCCCAGATTGTAAACGCGCTTTGTTTACAAGTTTTGTGGTTGTTATGTCTGGGTTGAGCAATCCCCCCTTTCGCAGACAAACTCCCAAATTCCTCCCACTCCTACACAGACACGTATGTATGTACATATGTATACAGTCAAAAATGGCTTGACCGCGTCACTTGGACTTAATTATGTTTTTTTCCGGCTCTGGTTTTCCAATTATTACAGTATGCATACACCAGTCCGCTTGACTGTTGTTTGCGCAACTCATTTGAAGAGCCCTCTAGTGGTCAGTTTTCTCCAACGCACAAGATCACTGAGCGAAACGATCATTTAATTTCGTAAAGTTTTTAGAGAGGTGACTCTAAACACGACGTGCATGTTTTTAAAAGAATGCATCTTTTTATTTTACGGTGGATGTGCACACAGCAAGGAAAATGCATGGATAGAACAAACGAGAAGGCTTTCAACTATTAGATACCCATTACTTGAATCAGAGAGAAATAGCGAAATATATAGTTGTTTGCGCAACTCATTTGAAGAGCCCTCTAGTGGTCAGTTTACTCCTACGCACAAGATCACTGAGCGAAACGATCATTTTACAGAGGTGACTCTAAACACGACGTGCATGTTTTTAAAAGAATGAATCTTTTCATTTTACGAGAAGGCTTTCAACTATTAGATACCCATTACTTGAATCAGAGAGAAATAGCGAAATATATAAGTAGTAATGCAATTGTTTCCAATTTTGCAAACGTACGTTCCTATCGGCATTTCCATATGTGCTCATAATTTGTTTAATTAATTAAAATCATTAATATAATAAATATTTAAAAGTCTCGAGAACGTTCAGACGGACGGACAAAGGACGGTCATTGATAGATCGACTTGCCAATGAACCCAAACAAGATTATACATATGTATGAACATTTGTATATACCTTATACTCTTCCTTCTATCTTTTATAAATTTTGATATTTAAAGGAAGGAAAGCCCCAATTTTACTGCAAAGGCAAAATTTTTTGAATTTTGCACAAGAAAGTCGTTATTTTGTTCTTCATAAAGTTATTTTCTGGTTGAAACACTCAAAATACTTTCTTGCACAAAATATTTGTAACTTATTATTGAAGGAGAACTTTGTTGGAACTACTTTTCCTATATTTGGTATTTTAAAACAACATTTGGGTGTGTCTTGTAACAATGTACATATTATTTTAAAATTCGACTGTGTTAAAAACTGCTTTATATAAGAGATGTTCGATTGTTTAAATAAAGACGAAATCAGTTGCATGGCAAGTAAAGCTGTGTTTTCGTATCAAAAATCAAACAGTACATTGATGACTCTTAAAAATGAGGAGTTTGGCTTCATAATCAGTAACTATTCACTAATAGTTATATCGCCTCTGTTGGTTGGTGTAGTGAATGGCCAAGAAGATGGCCAGCAAGAGAATGGCAGCCTATAAAAAAATATATAAATGAGTAAGTAATTTCCTCTACAACATTTTCAAGACAGTTCACTCACGTTCAATCCGAGCAGACCCCACTCTAAATACGCCAGAGTGGTTGCCTCATCCGCATAAGCCTCCTCCACTTGGCTGAGGCAGCCTTTCACGTAGAGATTCAGGGGATTCACGCAGCTGCCTCCCTTGCAACAGCTGCTTGGAACGGTGTCGTTCCAGAATTTGATATCCAAGTAGTCTTGGGCACTGTCCCGGCCACAGCATTGGTACTGGAGGAATATAATAAAATCACTAGTTAATAAACTGTTTACATAGATGCACATATTACAAGTAAGCCCATATTAATAAACTTTATAACATCTTCCATCGCTTTTTGAGCGCAATAGCACTTTGTGTTAGCCTTGGTTAAATAATAAATGGAAAATTGCTATCCTAGCTTCAGGGGGTTTCTGTAGATGGGTTGTAAATTTGACTTTTCATCACGAACATGGCACTCACCGTCTTCTGAATATTGTCCATACTGCCAGGACTTGTCTGCTCCAGCTCCCACTGATTCTCGACCGTCTGAAGGGCGTACTTCTTAAAGACATCTTTGGGATGCAGGATGATAAAGGCCACGATAAGTAGGAGCAAAACCAGCAGCAGTGACACATACTGCACGGCAATCAGAATTATTAGATCATGAATGATTCACGTTTTTGCCATATTCAGTGACGTACCGTCCACAGCATGCGCGCCGATTTGCGAATGGCTCCGCAGCATCCGAACAGGGATATTACCAGGATAGTACCGCCTAGAACCAAGATGCCGATGGCATACGCATTCGACATTGCTCCCCAGCCGAGGCCCCCAAGGATGAGCACCAAGATACCCAGTATCTAAAAGTCAGAAAGTTAGATAGTCAATGAATAAATATGTCCAGCAAGGAGATTGTAAAGCAGCGTATAGTTTGCATATTGTTTTTAATCTTAGACTGTCTGGAATGTTTTCATAAAGCACATATTGAGTCTTTAAAGCAACGTTGGAAAACAGATAAAAAACAACAAAGTACGCTAGCCGAAAGCTGTTGCTCAGCTAGTGGATATGCACATCAAAATGCAAGTCGATAAAAATTGGCAAAACAAATAATAAAATGAATATATTTTGATATTGTATGGGCTTGGCAACGTTCTAAAGCAAGCCAGTACAACTTACACTGGAATCTGCAAGCTTAATCCTAACCTTCTAACATGGCTTGAATAGTTCCCGAGAACTCGAAGTTCATACGGACGGACAGACGGGCGGACAAACGGACAAACATACGGACATGCCCAGATGGGATCCATACGGATCAGTATATTATCTCCTGGGATTGGGCTTACATCAGAAATGCAAGTTTTTTTGACTAGTACGAATTAATTGCTGTTCATTATCATTATAAGCCGAAAAATCCGGTTTCCATATTCCGCTCATATTAGCTTTTTAAACGAAATCCCAATGCATGACGCACTTCAGCAGCCTCGTTTCGCCGCTTGGCTGGCAAGCGCCCCTCTGGCTCAAGGAATTCAAAGGCCGAGCTGAAGCCATTAACAATAGACACTGGCTAACACACACAGCCAGCCGCGAAGTGTAGTCATAAGCCAAACACGCACCCGAGATGATATCATCCACTGACCAGCTGGACGTGGAACATCGGAGCTCCTTAAACAAATTTCAAGCCACCGCAATTAGCTGGCTATTTGTAGAAAAGAACCGGCAGATACGCAGATACATCCCCATATGCCAACTCCAATTCGTTGCTCTACTTACCGCCCATAATGCATTGAACAGGAACAGCGAGTACTTTATGGTGCCCGTTGCACAACCCATTTCGAATATTTTTCCACTTCAAACTATAGCCTTTGGCTAGAATGCCGAAATACCGAAATACCGAAATACCGAGACGCAGTGCCACACGTGCGGCAGCTAGCTCTGCCGCAGATAATTTTCAAACTTCCGAAACTTTATCGGCGGAACCTGACTGAATCGGTTAGCAGTGCGCACTGGTGCGACCACGGTCACGAGCAAACTGAGCTACCCGAAAACTCTCTAGCTTGGAATCCGATCCGAGTCGAGCGGTCCGAAACTCGCACAGTGGGACGAGCGGCCACTTTTCTGGCCAGAATCCAAAGAGCTGTTCGTGTAACTACCAAGTTATAGTCACGAAGACTTTGCTCGTAATGCTGGGGGAATGCAGAGGGTATGGACTAGTTGTGCTTGCAAAAATTTACATATTTAATCATTTTTTAAAGAAATATCTAATTCCATTCCCAGTATTTTTCACACTTAATTGAGTTAAAGTTATGCGCCCCACAGTGTTCCGTTGCCGTCGAGCAGGGTTTGTTAATGCAAACAAAAGCAGCCGAGCACACATATTAAAATACAGTAGAACCTCAGTGGCCCACACTGATTTTTGTATTTCTTTTCGTAGATAACGTACACGCCTAATTACATATTAAAAAATATATAGCTTTTGATTTTCAACTACTGCCAAAAGATGCATTAGTTTACAAACTATGAATAAAGTTCGAGTTCCCCGACTTCAGATACTCGTTACACAGCTAGCGGAAGTGCGAACGAGAAAATTCAAAATGTTCTGAAATATCTGTAGAAATTGGGGAAAAATAATAAAATGTATAACATTTTTTAAAAGCGTGACAGTTTTGGGCGGTTTGTGGGCGTTGGAGTGGACGTGGCAAAAAGTTTTTTGGCAAACATAGAAATTTACAAGATATATAAAAAAATTAAAATAATATCATATGAGATCGAGGCGTTCATACGGACATGGCCAGTTCGACTCGGCTATTGACCCTGATCAAGAGTGTATGTATATACTCTATAGAAGAAACGCTTCCTTCTGTGTTACATACTTTTCAACGAATCTAGTATACCGTATACTGTACAAGTGACGGGTATAAAAATGGAAATGGATATACGCCTATTGAGAGGTTATTATCATCTTAAAGTAATATATATATATATATATATATATATAATTTAAATATATATAATATATATATATTTTAAATATATCTGTATATATAATATATATATATATTTCCAGTGAGGGAAATTCGTCTGCACTCGCAGTAGTCAAATCAAGAAAGTTAAGTGGTGCCCTCTAGTGGTGTCCCATCATCCGGAAGCCAAACAGAAGCTGAGGCGGGAAAGCTCGAAGCGTGGAGCTGGTTATGCTTGACAGAACTGAAGCGCTATTCAAGTTGGGAACTCTATATGGCTCCATTTGCCAGATGTTTAGCCGCGGTGTGTGTCTTATCGAGAGCGGAGTAGGGTCTAATCGTCTACCGCCTTTCGAAGCAATTTACCAGCGAGCGTATTTAAGGCGATGAGATTGATTCAGCTCGATTGCGTCAGACACTCGGCACTGAATGACGCCACCACCACCGGCGGAATAGCTCAATTTCCAGAGCGGGGAGCAGGATCGTGCCTTCCACAATCAAAATGGAAACCCTACATGCTCAACATAGAAGTCTCAAATTAAATTAAAAGTATGTGTTCGGATTGCACTGCTTGCATTTTCAAGTGCACTTATTTGAAAATATTCGATTCATCGGGTATACACTTTTATTTCTCCGGCGAGCATCGAAAAGTCTATACATGATTACTGCAACGGTATACTGGCGTTCTAAAATACGAGTACATCCAGATCCAGAAAGTTAAAAAATAAGTACTTAGTAGCTGTAGCGAACGCGCTGCTTTCGGAATCTTCCGACCAAGTAAAAGGCGGCAATCATCATAAGAATCTGCAAGAACTCAAGCGATTAGTGCCTCCAAATGAATTTCGTATCTCACTTACTGTTATTCCCACTGCGATCCAGTTCGTGTCGTGGGCGTAGCTGAAGAGCACCACAAAGTTCTCGCTGGACTTTTGGACACATCCAGCTAGATAGTGGGGCATCTGGGAATCCTCCTGGGGATAGCAGCTGGGCGGCAAGGTTTGACGACCGATAGCCACGTAGTCGTCGGGGCTGTCACGCCCACAACACTCATACTGCGGTTAGGATGGTTGAAAATATTAAAATATATTAAAATAGCTTCGCCACAATACGCACCACTGCCTGGTAAATGTCCATGGCGCCGGGTTCCACCAGCTCCTGGTCCCATTTCATCTGAACCTCCTCGGCGGCGAACTTCTCTATGTACTCCTCAGTGAACTTGAAGCGGAAGATGCCCAGCAAGCTGATTATTAGCTGAGCCAACAGCAGGAAGCCGTACTGTTGTCAACATAGCGTCAGTGAATTGCCAATCGGATGATATAGGGATTCCACTCACCGTTGCGGTCATACACACGTTCTCCATGCAGATGCCACAGCATCCCAGAACAGCCGAAACCAAGATAATGCCACCGAGTCCATATAGGAACAGAATGTACGCCAGAGGGGCTTTGGAAAGGGCCAACGTCGCAATTGCTATCAGGGACAGACCCAACAGCTAAAGAGGGAGCATGGGGTCGCCAATGGCAGTTCAGATTAGCTTTTGGCAATGATACCGGAATGAAATGTCAGTGACTCCGACTGTATTCGGAATATTATCAAATGCCACGGGGGTAAACTAGATTTTCCCGCTTATCTAGGCACTGGAATCTGTGATATTTGATTGGTTCTCTCTGCACATGGCTAAATAATGAGTTATTTTTAAAGGGGCAGGGCTACATTTAACCAGGACGTAAGAAAAGTTTTTTAAAGCTAAAAACTTGATTTAAACATTCCCCAAATTGTAGATGTGGTACACACCGCAGCATATGGTAGAGTCGTAAAGCATTTTTAGATCAAACAAATTTGTAGAGCACAAATTGGAATGTGTTGGGGTAATCATTAGAGTGCGCCAAATGTTTTTCATACATATCTGACAAGCCAATAACATATTCATTACGTTTACTGGCCAAACAACTTGTCAAATTCTTGGGGAAACACACATATAAAATTCGCATTGCGGATTTAAGTTTGTAAAAGTTTGAAATCCATAAAGCAATCGACTTACGCTCAAACATACTGCTATACTGGCTTATCATTTATAGATTATGTCTAGTTTAAGAACTTACCGCATTCAAAGTGTTCAGAGTGTTAAGGAAACACTTAACGCAACCGGAAGTACAGCCCATCCTGTTGCTGTTTTTAAAATTCAAAACTAACAGCTCCAAGTATGAGTCCTCTTGTTTTATGATCGAACCAGCCAGTTCGGAGCTCCGAAAGACAATGAATTTCAGATGCAAATACTTGCCGGCAGTACGTAAAATCGCAAAATCAGATCTTCGCAGCCGAATGCTGCCGAATTCGATGGGAGAGAGATACAACTGCGAGGAACGAGTTTAGGCTATGGAAAGTATTTATTTTCTAATGGCATTCTGACTAATTTGGTTAATTTTATTATCAGTAATTATGCGGGGTGTCCTCATCATCAGGCGTTGATGGGGGTCTCCTCGTCCTTTACCTTGGTTTTGGCGTACTTGCGAGCCTTGCCCAAATGGTAAGCGGTGAACAAGCCCAGGAACTGCAAATAAAATCCATGCAAAATGAAATCCGGTATAGTATTGATGTGGGGCCAAATATGCGTACACCAGCGAGTTTAATTTACATAAGAAAAAAGTTGTTAAGTTCGGTCATCGCCAAAGGCGTGAGCTAAAAAAATAAATTTTGCTTTTCAACCACTGTCGAAGATGCTTTAAATTATGAAAATGTTTTTTTTTTAATAAATAGTAACGAATGCACTACATCTAACATTCCAAAGCTTACGGAACAACAAAACAAAAATGATTGAAATAAAAAACACACTTCTTGGGACTTCTATTTAGCGTGAATATAACTAAAAATGCATTAATTTAGTTGGGTGTGTCGATAATTCAAAACAATTTAGCACCTCTTAAATAAACATTTTCCCTGCAATAAATTACGTTAGCGTTTGGGTCTCACCTCGAGGGCAATGATCGCCATGCAGCTATAGTAGTTAAGCTCCGCCTGCATCCTCAGATTGGCGACCGCCTTGGTGGAGCAGCCCTCCTCGTAGACGTGGGCCGGCTTGGAGCAGTCGAAGGCGTAGCAGCAGCTGCTGGGCAGGGCGCCGTGCTCCTCCTTGAGGTAGTCCTGCGGTCCCTCGATTCCGCAGCAGCCGAAGAGACTGTGCACCGGCTGCATCTTGTCGTCGCTGTGGGTCTTCCGCTCAAAGAGGTCGCGCATGCGCTCCTCGAACCTGCCCATCAGCTGCTCCCGCATCGCCGTGAAGGTGAAGAGGTAGGAGCCCAGTGCGGCTATGACCAGGCCACTGAAAATCAAGTACTGAATGTGAGGTGTTAGGAATGTGACTTGTGAACGAGTTTTGAACGCAGTCTACTCACGTATATAGAATACTTGTACGACACCTTCAAGGCCACGTACATGCCCAGGAAGGCGACTCCGAAGACTGCTCCTCCACAAAGGGCTGACCCATAGCTGCCGTAGACGGAGACAGCCGAGCCCCAGGTGGTCACGCCGCAGGAGAAGAAGAACACGTTGCAGGTCTAAATGAATAGGAGTAGAATAGTTAGTTGGGTTCATAGTCATTTCTTCTTGGGCGAGAATCTATCGCGGATTTAGAATGAAACTGCATTGGAAGGTATGTTGGAGATAGATGCTCTTCTGACCCCAAAAAAGTATAAATTTCTGATCGGGATCACGTGCCGAGTTAGTCCCTATGATCTTCGGGAACTAGCTTTATAATATATAATGCAAAAATATCCATAAAGCGCAACACCTTTAAGTGCAACAGGTATTTTTGCTGTGGATAGTTAAAAATAACTTAATAAATCGTTGGCCAACGAGCTCCACTGTCTAAAAATACAATTTATACTGAGCTAATACATTTACCTTAAAAGATAAATTGCACGTGTAGTGCTAGGGCGCCAAATAAATAAATACAAAAACGATCATTACCACTTTACTCAATGGACAGCGTCAATTTTACACTACATTTGGCAGTTAGTGATCCATGAACTGCTTTCCTAAGCTGGGGCTAAAAGGTCATTAAGCATTTGGCACTTCTACTTGCCAAGCACCAAAATGAAAAACTAAGAGAGTGTACTTCTTAAATGTAAAACATTTAAGACAATAAACACATCAAAAAGTTGTGTGCTATGCTTAATACATATATGCAACATGAATTTGCCTTGATATAATAATGCATTTAATTGGCGTAAGCCACCCAGAATTGTGGTGCCATTAATAGATATGGCAAAAACTGCAAACAGCTGGCCGGCGAAATTACGTAAATATGTGAACAGGTATTATGTATTTATAAATATTTTTAAGATTGCATCGATTTGTTTATGGTCTTTATCGGCTCTTTGCCACAATTTGGCTCTCTTGCGAAAGATGTGCACTTGGGCGCAATATTGATTTTTCGATTTTGGCTCATAGTTCGCATCACCGGGTGTTGTGCAAGATACTCATTTGGGTCAGGTTTGGGAAAACGGGAAAACGCGGAATGGAAAAATGCGCATCTGTTTCACTTACCACAATAAGAATGCAGGTGACCAGCAGGCCGTACTTCCAGGGTGTTATGGGAAACGACTTCTCCATGTTGCCTCGCTGTTGCACGTGAGTTTCCTTGGTGGTTTTACTTTTGAGGCAAGGTCTCTGGCTGGCGATAAAAGGGAAGAGATGACCTCTCGATTCGCACTATGCCACTGGATTGGGGCAGGGCATTGTTTACTTGCAAGTAGGTCTATGCCCACATCAAACTGGGCTCGCAGCTCTGAGCCCTCTGTTGGACTTGAGCTAGTGGTGTGGATGCCGCAAAAGCTGGCCTGCGACTGAGCCAAAAACTGAGAGACCCAAGGGCCCCAACACTCGCCGGATACTCACCACTGGCCAAGATGAGAACCAAAACAAACGGGCAACTACCATCAATGTGGTGACAATGACGCAGGCGCGTTTCTGGCTCAGCGTACAGGGTGCTTCGGTTCCTACTGCTGGATGAGCTGAATGTGGTAGGGGATGTCCAACGGGTAAGGGTAATCCAACCTAAAAAATTAGATTTTGCCCTACTTATATGCATAATTACAGAATTTTACATTTCCCCTAACATTTTCCTCCACTCACTCGTCAGTGACGCGACGTCACCCTTCGTCACTACGCGAACTACAACCAAGCGTAACTTTTGGTTTCAATTGCAAGGAATTTAGTAGGGCGCTAATGTGTTACAGCTAATGACGAACAATAGCTCCAATTTTGGTGAAATTCCAAGCCCTCTCACGAATCTATTAAGTGCTTAGCAGCGCTATCAAGCCATTCAAGCGATCAGTGGACAGCAATTACCATGCAATTACTGGAAATGTGGTCTAGTCCTCATCACGAATCAGCTCATCAGCTGGTTACTATTGAAATACTGCATTGAAATAAATCACTTGTTCTGTGACAATCGATGGGTAGCGCTGCAGTAAATCTTCTAGGACTGTTGATGGGCTTGCAATGTCTGATAGAGTTGCATGTAAGTACAGATGTCTGTTGGGAAGAAGGCTCACTGCTGATGGAGGATAATCTGGCATTCAGGCAGTCTTTATAAGGTTCAACAATGTGACCTGCGAGAGCACCGACCTCAGCATGTGGACCGTGGAATACTGTAAGTTGACCAATCTGAGCAAGGATAAAAACAGAATTAGCCTTCGGTACACTATGCTCCAGCCGATGTTGAGAAATATAGAGGTAATCTATGTATATATAGGGTAATCTCATTTCTAGTTTGTTGTGCCGTGACTTTCCTCCGCAGATTTACTTACAGCTAATGACAAGGCGCAGTGAGAGTATTAACGTGGCTTCTAACTGGCAGCCCTTCCTCTATTCAGTGAAGCTTGATTATTGCAGATACTTGAAAAACCACCACCACAACTATTTGGCCAAGATGGTGTTTGAATTCATCGAAGGCCACTCGAACCTGAACCACAGTTGCCCCTACACGGTCAGTTGAACAGGCTAAAATTAGGGAAAATGATATTTTCATGGGTAATATTTCCTTTTAGAAAGAAAAATACATTTGCATTGATGACGTTACAAACACCGAAGTCTCTCGCAAGATCCGCGGAGTGCCCATGCCAAAGGGTTTCTACGCCTTGTTCACCAAGTGGTCCACTGAAAACATAACTCGAACTGTGACCAACTATTACTTTGAAGTCGTGAATCCTTAAATGTAAATGTTGTGTAATTAAATGTGTGAACACGGAAAAAATGCTTAGCAACCAGATAAAAAGGTGTTCTATGGGTGGGGGTTTTAACTGCCAAAATACGAATAGATGAAAATTGTGTATTGGTTTTTGGAAATAATAATGGTAAGAAAAGCAAAAAACGTAAAATTTGGGAACAAAAAATATCTTTATCAAAAAACCAGTATATGCACATTAATCCCTGTATAAACTTCGTGGAAACTGCTCTTAAATGTGTTAAGTTCTTTGTACAGATTAGGTTTGCCTTTAGCAATCAGTTATTAAATATTCAAAAAGTAACACTTGATTAGAAAACAGATTTAAATATATTATTAACTAAGACTAAGCTGACTTAGAACCATCCCTACATCCAGACGGCATTGTTGCGGCGGCTTTGGTTCTTCACGCTGCTGTAGAGCAGCCAACCGAATACAGCTCCCACAGCCTAAAAGGGAATTAAGCAAGGCGTATTAGGCAAGTCCGTATTTGGGCAAATGATCTAACCCACCTCGCCGATGACGAGCAGCCAGCAGACGATCTTGAACACCAGTAACTTGTCGTCCAGATACTTGACAAAGGCGGCCTTGCAGCCGGTCTTAAAAACCCTGCTCGGCGTGTCCAAGCACTTGTTTTCTGGACAACAGCTGGACGGAATCCCGTGATGGATGACCCAGTAGTCCTCCGAACTGTTCACCCCGCAGCACTGCAGCCAGGACTCGTAGTAGCCCAGGGCGCCCGTTTGGTTGCGCTCCGCCTCCCAAAGGCGGTCGAAGCCCTCGTTGATGCTGCCCGAGATTCCGTCCTTGGTGCCGTGGGAGGACATGCCGAGAAACATCAGCTGGGCAAGGATCAGCAGCACCACGGCGCCCACATACTGTAGAGGAAATTGGAAAAAAATATATCCAAGATGCTTAGTAAAAGCATTCCGGACCACCTTTTTTGGGTGGTTGTATTACTTAATCACAGAGCTCAACTTTTAGAAGATTGACAGCTTTCTAACTAATAACTTTCTAACTGATCCTACAATTAGTATCTAAGCTGACTCAGTGATTCGGCTAAATCTAATCGTCCAGAGTAGTAATACTCTAATACTCTCTCTAATACTCTAATACTCCGTACAGGGTACAGATATTTAAGAGTGCACCGTGCAAAAAACCACAAGCCAATCAGGATAATACTATAAAGTGCACCTAAATAGTGAAGCGTTTGTACCGAATACAAGTTTTCAAACTGTCTGGGATCGGTGTTACTCAATGAGTCAATAAGGCGGAGCTACTTACGATGAGGAGCCGCACAGGAGCCTCGTGGATGGCGGCCAGGCAGCCGAAGATCGCAATGATCAGGATGACCACGCCCAAGGCGATGATGAGGCCGCCGGCCACATTTTCCCCAATGCTGACTGCATTCTCAGCGGCGGAGATCAGAAAGAAAATTCCGAAGGCGATCAACGCCAGCCCGAGCACCTGCGGAAAACGCGACATGTGAGGTTGGCCAATACTAGAGCTCCCAGGTGTGCTACTCACGGAAAACACAAAGTTCAGCAAGAGCAGCACATGCTTCACTGTAGTGGCACCCAGACCCATGATTACTGGGATCAATCAACCTGTAGATGCGGCTGGGGACTGACTGTTGAGGTATACGAAGGCAGCGCGCAGTAGACTGCAGCAGAGGCCTTCCATATATGGCTATATGGCCAGCAGCCTGTTTCAGATACGTATCTTTCGGATACAGCGGTGCGGCCAAGATCGCTCGACGTCCGACCGCCGTGGTTCAGCTGTGCGAATCAACTGGCATCGATGTGAGATGGGAACCGAAACAGTGTGTTTTGTTTTGACTTAGGCAACGACCGACTCACCGATCGCATATTCTATCTATAAATCGGTGAGGGAAAATCGAGAGCGAGAATCGCCCACTCGTGTGCGCTTTTCTTGTTTATCGCAGATCCCCACACGTTTACATTCCTGCTTGCCCACAAAAAACTCTTGTAAAAGTTAAGTCAATGGCAACGGGCCCATTTATTTTCGTTTCGAATTATTTCTAGGCGTGGGTGCCAGTGTACAGTTTTATGAATGAATACTTGGTATCTGTAGCCTAACTTGGTTAATCATCGTAAACTACAATCACAATTCGCCAGGGCCGCAAGGCTAGGAAATTATTCATAACAAATAACGATAATACGGTTCGTGTAAGTCTCTAAATACTATAGATACTATTAATTATAGAATCTTATGCGGTCGCGGTCGTTGCGAATGCTGTCCACCAGGTAGCAGGTGGTCACCGAGCCGGCGAACTGCAAATATAATAAGTCAATATGTAGCCATGGGTGTCAAAAGATATAAGGACAAAGGCAATTAAAGTAGGGGTGAGTAAATCTATTTCAAGTATTGGAATTTGGGTTGATAATAATGATTTTGTCGAGCAATAAGTTAGATTCGAACTACTACATATCATAGATAGTTATGGATATAATTCAACCCATCCATTTGACATCAGAAACTCTGAAATTTCCACCTACCTCGAAGAACACAAGGAACCAACTGAGCGAGTGCAAGTTGGCAGTCTTCGCGGTGACATACTCCTTGAACTTGACCTCGCAGCCCGCCATGAAGAGATTCGTGGGCAGGGTGCAGTCCCGGTCGAGGCAGCAACTCGGCGGGGGCATCTTCTCCAGGTGCAGGTAGTCCTCGGCGCTGTTGCGGCCGCAGCAGTGAAGCTGGTGATATTCATGTTCACTTATGAGCAGGAAATAGGTAATCCAAGGGCCTGCGAGCTTACCCACTCCTCGTACGAGTTCAGAGTGCTGTTGCCCTCGTGCTGCAAGTCCCACAGATCGTCAAGTCCCTGCCTCAAGGAAGCCGGCAGGGAATCCCGGCTGGCGGCATAACTTATGCTGACCATTACAAACTGAACGATCAAGAGGAACACCAACAAAACTGCGTACTGAATATGGGAGTAAGAGGAACCTAGTTTGAGGAAGCCAGGTGAGTTATATGATCAATGGCGAGTGCTTACGCAGATCAGCAGCGTCCTGGAGTCCTTGGCCACAGCCAGTGATCCGAAGAGGCTGCCCACTACGATGACGCTGCCCAGAAGGATGCACAGAACGGCGGCCAGCTCCTCGCCGTGATCCATTCCCAGCACGCGCTGCTCGTCGGAGAGGCTGTCCAGCAGCCAGGCGCCGTACCAGATGAGCAGGCAGCCACCTAGCTAAACAAAGGCCACAATCCCTTCAATGTCAGCCGATCGGGTCTATTTCGGGCACTTACGGCACAGACGCCACTGATGACACACAGAACGTATCTGAGCAGTCGGGTGGTGCAGTACATGGCGCAGCTAGCTTTCGGTTTTCCCAATTTTCTACAAGTTTTTCCGTCGGCGAGCGCACACCTTGAGCAGTGCCATCAAAATATAGACTAAAGTCGCATAATCTCCATTTGCCTGGCTGCGGCGACTCGCAGAACTGTCGCTGGGAGACGATTAGCCCACAGATTCGTTCTCCCACTGCTTCGGATTCTGTCGCCAGCCAGTCCGGTCCGGTCCGGTCCCACCCGTTGGCCAGATGCAGTGGCCAAATAAATGCCAGGGGGAAATCAAAGGCGAGCACGAGCACGAGCGCCCACGCGCTCCACAAAAATGAGCTCTATGAAACATGTGGCCACCCTCACCTTTTGGCCGCCACTCCCCTTTGACTCATTATCATAGGAATGATGTCAACAGACTGTCGGATCTTTGGCTCTTCGGCCAGATTCTTTATTTGACTTGGCTGTTACAAAAAATGTGTGGCTTAGGTCGAGCTTAGTGTAGATTAAATTACATTGTAAGCGGAGTAGAAGCCGCTTCAACACTACAGTTATCCCAACTGATAAACAGAATACCATCAACGCACTGCTTTCGGCTTGCATGGCTTAAGTAAATTTGTTTCGGCTTAAGTATTTCTATGGAGAGTTCTTTGGCTTAAGTATGCACAACTTAAACTTAAATGTTCGAAATGCCGCCACTTCAAAAACCGTACGTGAGCCTATTTTTGATAGTACTTGGAGCGTCGCCAGCGGTTCACGATGCTATTGGCCAGGACATAGGCCAACAGGGCGCAAATGATCTGTGGAGTAAGCATTGGTTTTCACTAGTGAACAACATGTAGTTATGGCATTCTACACACCTCCAAGCCCAATAGCACCAAGGAAACCAGGTTAAATGTCGTCCAGGAATCGGCGATCACGTCCAGGAACTTTTGCCGGCATCCTTCCAGATTCAGTTTGTCACTCTCGCCGTTGTAGCAGCTATTCGGCGGCAGAATGTAGTCCGACGGACCCACATTGCCGCAGCAATCCAACTAAGATGTCAACAGATCTTCACTAGCACCACTTTCAATGGATCTCTTTGGTACTTACCCATCGCTCGAGGCTGGCAATCTGACTCTGGTTCCCAGGCTTGATTGGCACGGGCTGGTCGTTCCACAGATCGTCGAACGTTTTGTCCAAGTTAATCAGCAGCGAGGTTTGGAAAACCCACAGGAAAGCAACTACTAAAACTTCCAGTACGACCAGGATAATCAGAATAACAACGAACTGAGCAGGGAAATAGAAAGAGTATTCGCAATTGTAATGTAAATTCACTTAAAATTGTTCGGGAGTAGGATCAAATATATAAGGCCATATTATTAGTTTCTGAACAAGCTTGCGTATCTATAATTTTGTAAATTCCGGGATGAGTGCAACTTCTAATTTCGCTCGTAAGTTTTTGGACCAAAAGTACATATTCAAAAGAATTTGATTTATTTGGCATTTTTTAGTTTTACTAAGTAAGAGTTATGAATTACTTTTTACTAAGTATAAGTTACAATTACACCCCTTACTCGTAGAGTTAAATGGCTAGTTTCGTTGAAAAGTATGTAATTGGTAGGAGGAGGAACATTTGGGCCACGCCCACTCTGAGACGCCTTTACTTAGTGTAATTTTTACTTACCACCTTCGATGCGGCGCTGCTCTCCCGCGCTGCTCCCAGAGCCCCGAAAAGGGCGGTCAGAGCGACGACCGCGCCCACCGCGATGATGACGTAGCCGTCCACCTCGAAGTGCTCGATTTTGTAGATGTGCACGCCAAGGCCAATCAGAACCAGGCCGAAAAGCTGTGGAGAAGTGGATGATTGAAGGGGTAAATAATTCAGCTTTGGCCGAAAGGTGATAAAACCGTATCGCCCGAAGGCTTTCGCGTTGAGTCAGTATGCAAATGAGGTTTCTCTGTCGAGAATCAATGGAAACAAGCCAGGCGTTTGCTTCTGAGCTTAAATCATAGTTCTTACAACTCGTTTCACAATGTAGTTTGGTCATTAGTCATCCTCGCCGTCTAATGCCATCATAGAGCTATATTACGTATGCGCAGAGTTGTCTCGCTTTTCGAATGCATTGCAGTTGCATTTTAAAATTACCACTATGACTCACTAGTTCCACAAACAACGCGATATTTCGCACTCTGCTGCCAAATGTAGGCTCTTCGTAATTTGGCAACTTGCCCAGAGAAGCGCAAAGAATTCAAAACTCAATCTCCCACTGAAAGTAAGTTTTCGAAATGAGTAGTAATTACAACGCGATGATGTTTGCGCACGGCAACCTGTTGTCGCCACCAATTTGTAAATTATTTATACAATTGTCGGCGGCAAACAAGCAAACCAGTCGCCAAATACGTTGGCTTTGTCGTGCCTTGTTTGTTTGTCACCCCTTCTTAATGGGCCCGGCTTAGAAAAAGCTTACGAATCAGCCCAAAGCCCAAAGCCTACGAAGTGGCTTTGAATGATTTAGAGTGAAATCCCCGGTCAAAAACGTTTTGGCAAGCCTAAACTGGGCGTAACGCTGGTTTTTGGGCCTGGATAGCAGGCAGTTAAATAAATATTCACTTAAGGCCGAATTTAATGAGCTGCGTTGCCTAACAAGGCAGCGGGAAAATATCGCTTACATTAATAGAGTTACAATCGACACTGGCCCATCAATTAATGCTTATGAGACCATAGGGATGAGCCAAGAATAATTACTCTAGTGTTTTTGGATGAGCTGTAGTCCAGCAGACACGTACCACTCAGACATCTGGCACTGTTTTGTGTATTGCGCGCCACTTAATTGTAATTGTAATTTATTATTCCTAGGCGCCCAAAATCATTCCGCTGGGCCCGCGGAAATCGAAAACAAACAAACTTTATTAGTTGAGCGAGCGAGCAATCTGAATTCACTTAGGACCATCGACCCATAGTTAGACTTTGATTGAGTGCGGCGTTATGTGACTTAGTTCGAAGCAGCACCTTAAGAACGCCGTTTACAAGAGAACCCACTCGGTGATATCTAAAGCGGCTATTACGCTTGTTAAGATTATTTAGCGGCCTAGGAAGACACTTAGGTGCTGTCCCATAAACGCGATAAGAAACGCCATGTGTTGGCAACAGAGGAGCACTGAATTCGCTCTCATATCCCCACGCAGACAAGCAATTAAACGCAATTATCACCAGATCACCAGATCACCAGACTGGCCAAGGTCGGCCTTCGGTGGAGCATTGCGGCCAACTAGTTTGCATATCCGTTGATAAAGCGGACTAGTGCACTGAGTAGGCAGATCAAATGCCATTGCCAGAGCCCCAACAAGCAGGGCCCGGATTTTTGTGCTCTAAAGGCCGAGACACAAAGGTTAGGCCCTACCCTAAAACACAGTGAAGTAGTTTCAGTTTCTGCCTGGGCTGCAGCATAATTGAAATCCCTCAGCGCGCAAATCAGAAGTTAACTCGCCTGGAACCAAACGTGGAAAATCGCGCATACGCCATGTGGCGCGCGCTGGCATTTCCTCGGCCTTCAGCCGCATTCCATTGGAATCGAACGGCAGAAAGATGCCCAAAACGTCTGGGACATGACATCAACAGAAATACGTAAACACATCCCAAGCCAAAATCTGGTTCAAGTAAATCCAACTAAAATAACAGCAGATATCTAAAAAAAGTGTGTAGATTTTGTTCAGGGTTAAGCGATGGCGTGGGTGACCAAGTTTCGACTTGGCAGCCATTAAAAGTTGAAATTGAAAACCAAATAAAAAGCTCAGTAAAAAATAAACAACAGACGAGCAAATTTATAAATATTATATCATATTAAAGATATTTTTGGGCGGATAAAATTCGCTAGAACGTAGGTATTTTTCAGAGTTTCTCTCTTCCTGGCTGAAATAGAATTGGTTTCTTCAACAGCTAATAACTGTGACCGAATTTAAAAACGAAACAAATTTGAAAACTAAGAAATACACATTTCAAAACAATATTTGTGTTTAATGTTGTGCTCCAACGTGTGGTTTCTGTGCAATGAAGTAAACAAAAGCTGATGAATCTGCACGAACTTGGGCGAAGCTGGAGAACGATTCTTGGCATTTGGCAAGAGCTGGCATTGGGCCAAAGTTAAGTGGTGTCTCTACAATTAGCCTTGGCTACAGCTTCAGCATAATTAGTGTCGTCGTGCTTTTGGGGTCACCAATCTTGGGCCACAAAACCTATTCCTGCCTCGCAACGCTCAACTTGTAATGTGTAATTTCTATAGATGCTTCTACTCACGGCGAGGATAATATCCCAGAAGAGGGCAAACCCCTTCGAAACGTTTGTGGAGCAGGCCATCTTGCCAATCCAATGTATGGACTCTTTTTTTTGCGAGTAAGGCACTTGTATTATTTATAACACTTGGCAACTCGCGGCTTGTTGACAATCGGAAAATATTTATTTGGATCTAACGGTTGCTGGGGTTACCCAAAACCGGGTTCATGCTCGCCGCTCGACTGTTAAATGAAAACTGAAAACTTTTCCAAACGTTCCGACTTTGTGATGGCGCGAAAAGCGTTTGGCGAACAACCGGAGGAAATCGGAACGAAAGCTTCGGCACAACGCGGAATCGAAACGTTTTGGTGCTCAACTAGGTATTTACTTATGTACGTATATATATTTGAAGCGTGTACATGTATGTACACAGAAATAGATGACGATCTATTTGAATAAAATGGGAGACGCGGTGGCCTATGCTAGTTATACCCCTTACTCGAATAAATAGGGTATGTTGTGTACGTGTACATAAGCAAGAAAAAGGTACCGATTTTAAGAACACCTCTGCCTGGCTTGACTATTAAAATACAGAACTTCGATTGTATGTTCCTTCAGCAAAGAAATCATGTTTAACAAAAAACAGCACTGAAAAGTATCTCATAGTAATACTTCTCTGAATACGGCGTTCTGCTTCTTTATTTCATTTTTTCGAGCACATGTTTAGGATTATAAATCATTTCCATTTAAAACGGCATTTGTGTGTATTTTTTGGATACCAAAGCTTTCTATGTGTGAGCTGCGTGTTTTATTTTTAAATATAATGTCGATTGACGATATTAAGATACAAGCGAACGACAAATGTGTGCGACTATATTGATATCTAATTAGGGTATAGTAGTAACGATACACAACCCATTTGCTAACTCACACGAATCCTTATACAGAACTGAAAACTATATGTATATAGAATGTTTTTCAATAATGAGAGAAGAAAGTAGGTGCTTGGTTCAAATAAATATAATAATGCATAAATACATAAATCTAACTTTATTTGTGTTCATTTTATTGCACTGTGCAGATTAAATGAGTTTCCTCAGCTCGACTGCCAATCCAACTTGAGTATATTCAGGTTCCACTGTCTAAAAGTAAGAACGACGAGCATCGTTGCGAATGCTGTTGCACAGGCGGCAAGAGATGACACTCAGCAGAAGCTGCAAGAGATGTAGACATTTTAAAAACACCGCTCAGAAGTTTGCTTTTGGGCTCCCACCTCAAATCCTATGAGTACGAGGGCAATGATGTTAAAAATCCTGGTCAAGTGCTGCCAGTAGTTTTCGAACTCCACCCGGCATCCGGTTTTGATCAGTTTCTCCGGATTGCTCTTGTCGTGGTTTAGGAAACAGCTTTCCGGAGGCAGTCGGTCGTTGACGATGTAATCCTGGGGACTACCACGACCGCAGCACTGGAACTACGCGCAAAACGGGTAAATAAGTGGGGTTATTTTGGGGGTCATCCAACTAAGGCCCTGCTGCAAACTCACCCAGTTCTGGTACAGCGACATGGCGCCGGGGCTGTTCAGTTCCTCCTCCCAGGTGGCCTCCAGGGCATTGGCCAGGTTGGAGGACACCGATTTCTCCTTGGTGACCAGCAAGTAGACGACGGCGAACTGGGCAATGATGACCAGGCACAGGAAAATAATGAACTGCAATGAAATAGCACCATGTAACACCAGTTTAATAACAGCCACCCATCCTTCACTTACTGTGACTGTGCAGCACACGTTCTCGCGCCAGGCGGACAGGTATCCCCAAAGGACAACCAGAAGGGTAGCAACCCCGATTGCCACGTAGGCGTATGCCGACAGCTCGCCGATCTCGTTGAGGTCGTAGGACGCCACCACATAGATGCCAAAGGATATCAGCACCAGGGCCAGCAGCTGTGGGGATCGGAAATGCAGTGTTAATAGGGAATCTTTGAGAAATGGGGACTCTGACAATAGTTTATATAACTTTTGTTCGTTTGGCTTAAGCAATGAAATTACTAATGGCAAAAACTTAATGGAAATGTGATATTATATGTGCTTCATACTACACGATTTAAGTAGAAACTAAAGACTTTCAAAGAGTTTACAATAAATCAAGTTGTATTAAATCTAAATTTTGAAAATTTGTATAAAATTATAAATAAATTATATGCCTATTTTTACGTAGATTATCATATTTTTGGGGATTGGCTGATAGCCAATCAAATTCATACACATTTTGTCTTAGAGCGTGTAGAGTTTGTTATGTTATCGTGCTCATCTTCCCTCTCGAGTAAAACTCGCTGAACGGCAATCGCCAGTTCCTCCACCAGCAACCCACCACGGAACTTGTGGTACTCGCAGGAACAAGGAGCACATGTGGCCTAGTGTTCTATTTCCAGTGTTCTGACCTCGCACAAGGCGTTAACTGGGGAACCCAATCGGGGGCGTCCTCCAGGCTAGCCCATCTGGCGACAGGGATAGACGCCAAGGAAATTGTCGGCAGCGTGGAGTGAGAAACTGGGCATTGGGAAGTTGAAGGGGCGCCTCCGGGAAGGTCACCCACAGCAAACAATGCGGACAGGACTGCGCACCCAGACAAGGTCACTCGATTATTATTCATATCTGATACCGCTTCGTAGCTTAATGCCAACGCTCTTGTTTGGGTGGCTTTGCATTATTCAAATTCAGTCTCAGCAGCATGAGGTAAGTTCGAATGGTGACGTGATGCGCTTATCCAGCGATGATGTTTCGATTCGCTTAATTTCCTAGATAGGCTATCTTTGAGGGGACTGTTTTCCGATTGCAATGGATTCGTCCGAAGTCATGAGTAAGCGGTGCGATGGAAAGCCAAGTCCGCGCTGCAAGTCCAGATATCGATTGGGAATTCCGAATTGATGAGTGGCCGCTGGCCAGCGATCGTATTATATGTGCTGTGACCTCTGGGGCCATCTGGTCCTTCTCACCGCGGCTTGCAATTAAATTGTATAAATAAACCAATAAACTACCATCGGGAAACAGGTTCGACCATTAGACGGGTGCCTTACACTCCTGGCCAACAAAATGAACACATGGCGGCGGTTCCCATGCTAAAATATGCCGCGCACATGTAGCATACATATATTACACACACAATTGGGTTAAGTTGTTAAGTTAAGTGATAAGATTATATATTTTTTGCTATGCTTGGGATGGCTGGGAAATCGACTCAAGTGCTCGCTGCACCATACTTTTGTTTACAACGCCTCAATTGACGCATTAGCTGGAGTGGGCGGGAAACTAGCGAAGCAACTCACCGTGCAAAGTACGTCCAGGGCGTAGACAACCAGCCGCACACTCGACGTGGACGCCATGGCGGATTGTGCTCCTCGGATTCGGAGTCTGGATTCCTTGAATTCCTGGGTTGCCGCCTGTAGGGAAAGCCAGCTGCGCGAAACTTGATTTCTCTCTCCTCCGCTCTCTTTGAGATCGGATCACTGAGTGGCCCGTTGAATGACTCACTGGCTTCGACTACCGATCAGATGCAGTCTCACCGCCGTCTAGAAATTTACTGAATGCCGCTTTCTACCTTCAGCCGGCTATCTCTCTCCTAAAGCTTTCGAAGTAGCTTTTGCAATCAGCGATGCCAGACTGACAAGAAAAGCTGACTGGCGGGTTTCAAGTGGCTTTTAAAATATAGCATAGTCGTCCCAAGGTCGGTTTTAAACTAGTTTAATGTTTGCTAAAAGTAAAGATATATTCATTGCTAGCATTCAGTACAATCCTTTTCCTTATTACTAGCAATCAATTCAATCCTTGTTCATGATATACAGTGGTGGAAAAAATAATAGAAACAAGAATCGCTCCTGCATGTAAAACAAAATTACTAATTATGTACGAAGTGTGTGTGGATAAACCGTTAGCACATAAGCCACTCATAAGTTTACTTTATTGTGCTCTTCTTTTTGAGTTGATTTCGATCTTGTTATTTGCGGTACATAGCGATATTTGAAGTGGTCACCTGTTTGAGCTGGAAAAAATAATAGAAACAAGCTACGTTTCTGCGATTTGTTTGAGTTTTTCCCTGTTAATTTTGTAAGTAAATCAATATATTAAATACTTTCAGGTATGTTTAGCTCATAATAAGTGATTTTGTAAAAAAAAAAATGTTTAATTTCACCTTTATATTCAGAATGGGGCGCGGAGAGCACTGTTCACCTGTAGAACGAGATATTATACAAAAACTAAAAACGAAGGAAAAACAATAAGGGAAATTGCTGAACTAATGCACTGCTCTGCAAAAAAAAGTATTTTCCGGGATTTACTATGAAGATACGAAGGAGAAACGGGGCAGGAAACGAGCCACATCCCAAAAGTTCGACGGCCTTTTGATTCGAACATCCAAAAAAAATCGTTTTATGTCGTCGACGGATCTGAAAAATATAGTTTCCAGACATCAGTGTCAAGTCGAACATTAAGAAATAGACTAATTAAAAAGAATTTGAAGGCACACTCGGCTAGGAAAGTTCCACTGCTTAGTAAAAAAAATATCGCTAAAAGACTGTCTTGTGCAAAGCGACACCTAGACCGTAAAAACTGAAATAAAGTTCTATGGTCTGATGAAACTAAAATTAATTTGTTCGTATCTGATGGCAAAATACGTCCAGACGTCCAAAAAATACCACATTTGATCCAAAGCACACAAAAAAAAAACAGTAAAACATGGTGGAGCTAACATCATGATATGGGCATGCTTTTCCACGTCTGGAGTTGGTCCGATATTCCGGATAAAAGATAGGATGTGTGCTCCCGACTACTTAAACATATTGGAGAATGTTATGAAACCATATGCTGAGGAGGAAATGCCCTTAAAATGGGAGTTCATGCAGGATAATGATCCGAAACATTGCTAACCCTTGCTAAGAAATGGTTTCAGGACCAAACAATTAATGTTATGGAGTGGCCTGCCCAATCCCCGGACTTAAACCCCATAGAACATTTATGGGGAATATTAAAAAGAGGAATTGGAGGTTTTAAATCAAAAAATAAGGAAGAGCTGTGGGAAAAAGTTAAGTCAGAGTGGTATGCCATTAACCCCGAAATTTGCGCCAATTTAGTGAATTCAATGCCCCGACGATGCTCAGCAGTTATAAAAAATAAAGGAAATACCACTAAATATTAATATTACAACTATTTTTATAGGATAATTCATAAAAATTATGTTTTTCTTAGTTTTACGAGTTTTGTTTCTATTATTTTTTCCAAGCGCCAAAAATGAAGTTAATTATTTTTAGTTAATATAAAGATGAAAAAAATATTTTTGTTCCTTAATGTAAAATATACTTATATATGAATTTTAAAAAATAAAGATTAAAAAATATTACTTTCGTTCTGAGCACAAAATTTAAAATCAATGATTCAACCAACGTGTTTCTATTATTTTTTCCACCACTGTAAATATAAGGTTTAAGAACTTCCAAACACAATCAAAACTTTGTCGAAATATCAAAAGAACATGCTGCAATCAAGTAGCCTGTTAGGACTGTAATTAATATTTACAGTAGGTTTATAAATAGGTTTTAATTATAAATAAAGAGTGAACGGGACAATACATTGCGGTCGCTTGACCAAAATTTACAAAAATCCGAATTCAATTTTAGCAATTTTGTGACCCTTTTTATATTCTTACTCGTTAAAAAAACGTCGAATATGTTAATATGTAAACAAACATGAATTTTTGTGGATATCCTAGGTTTAGGAACCACCCTAATACATCAAAACGTTTGATGTTTGATAACATCTGTGCCTTCCGTTTAGCTAAGTCAAGGGTATCTGCTAGTCGAGGTGATTGATCACACTTTCTATGTTAATCTTTTTATACCCGTTACTCGCAGAGTAAAAGGGTATACTGGATTCGTTGAAAAGTATGTAACAGCAGGAAACGTTTCTGACCATATAAAGTATATACATACATATATTCTTGATCAGGATCAATAGCCGAGTCGATCTGGCCATGTTCGTCTGGCCATGAACGCCTCGAAACTCTCACGCCCACAATTTTAAAAAATGTTTAAATTTGATTTATTTTGTTATTTTTCCCCAATTTCTACCAAAAGTCCAGAAAATTTTGAAATTTCTCGTTAGCACGTTTACTAGCTGAGTAACGGGTATCTGATAGTCGGGGAACTCGACTACAGCATTCTATCTTGTTTTCATACGTTTGTATAAACTTACCAAAAAATCACGAAAATACGTAAACACAACGTACAATGTGCATATACTGAAAGCTGAATAAACGAATTTTATTATAATGATTTCGTTAAGCCCAAACAAAATCCTTGAGCCTTATACATTTGTATGCTTACCCACCAAATAGGCAGATGTAATGGCTTCGACAGCACCAAACTGGGAGCTGTGTTTCTGGCAGTATCCCAAAATCCAGACAATATGGATATAGTTTACCCATGAAGACATCAAACCCCAAGAAAATAGTATAAGCTTTAACTTAATTAAAAAAACAAATTAATAATGTAATAAATATTTGATCGCAAATGGTGTCAAACCTGAGACTTAGCACAAACCAAAACGAGACCATAGGCAGAATTAATCAATTGAAAAATACCAAGTAGTGTCCACAGATCTAGACATTCTGAAATATTAAAAATTATATAATAATAATAAAAATATATAGTATATTATGCAGCTACCTTCAGTTATCGCGATATTGAAATCGGATAAAAGTAGAGCTATAAGCTAAAATAAAACATTTAAGACAAGATGCATGCAATTGTATTAAACAAAACACACCAAATACCCATTACAACACACGAACGCAATATGCAAAATTATCACCAAACTGTTACACATCGCAAGAAACTACGACTAGCTCTGTTCAAACTTAAACACTAAGGTAACATTTATTAATTGCAATAACCATTCAGAATTGCCCTATTAATAGCTAATAGATAAAGATAGCAATGTGGATGGCAGAACACAAAGGGTACGAAAAAATAACAATCGAAAGGTATGGTACCATTACAAGATATGGGACAATCAAATTATCACACTAAAAATTCTGAAAATGATAGCTGTTTGTGTTTTTGATCCGCCTAAAATTTTTTTCAGAAAATATATAGATCCTGGTCCTATTATTTCAGTTTGTTCTAAAGTTATCCATGTTTCATATCAGGATCTTCCATACTAATAAAGCTGTAGTGTTGTGGGTTTTTTATATTTACGGTTTTCGAGAAATATATCGGCTCTCAACATTAATTCTAAATTTGCTCTCATTCTGTAACGTCGAAAGACTTAAATGAAAGACTGGGTAACAGAGGTACTAACTGGGTACCAACAGGGTATACTAGACTCGTTACAAGGTATGTAACGGAAGTCCTTTGGCGAAGATGATCCTGCCATATCCGCGCGTCGAGAAGGTCGACGTAATGTATGTAAATGTAAATGTACGAAAATGTAAATCACCCCTTCGTGATTACCAGTTAATTTATGCATGTACGCAGAAAATACGTAAGTGAATGTTTTTGGTGCTGATATGCTGGTTCATTTAAAATTTTTATTTTTACACAACAATTGTACAAAAATGTATGAGAAAAATCCAAGCAAATACCCCAACATATAAGCATATTAATATAATTACCGATCGGCTTTTCCTAAGCCTAAGTCCTAAATGTGACTTAGGTTAATTTATTAAAATTATTGAATTAATTCTAACTATTTCCACCTCCAAGCTCCAGCTGAACTTCTTTTGTAGGACAATATTTCAGGCCTTTGTAATTCCTATAAACTAAAACAAGAGCATATATGGCAAAACCTAAGAAAATGGAAGTGAAATTTTTATATTTACTAAAATACATATCACATATACCCACAGATGTGTAAAAAGTGAAAAATTGAAAGGGCATTAAATTTTTTAGCGGTTTCCCAGAAAATTAAGACGAATACCTCGGCCTCCAATATACAGAAAGTTACAATCCAGAAGCAGAGAAGAATTTTAACCTGTTAAAAAAGAATGCTAAGAAAATATAGTAATTTATTTTACCTCACCCACTTTGAATTGCAGGTAATTCAAAAAGAGTCCAGATCCCGCCAGAGAAAGTGATACAAATTCCAAGATCATCAAAAATTCTTCATTTTTGAACATATTGTGAAAATATTCTGGTTGAAATAAACGTAGAAATGCATATGAAAATGCAAAATAAAGCGATGATATGCCGCTTAGCAAAACTAAAAGTGATGCTAAGACAAGGCATAGTGGTTTGCACATTTGAAAATGTTTCACTCTGATGTTGCGGTGATGTCCCTTTCAGTACTCAAACTAATAAGAACAACAAAAAATTCTATTAGCCGCACAGCAATTATAGTTATGCTTAATTAGTTAATTCCATTAAGCTAGCTTGCAGTATTAATGCTTTCAAGAATAAAATACATATGCATACCAAATGATATATAATGTAACATTTATTAAACTCTTGCAGGCTGTATATTCTTTTCAGTCAGACCTTTGCAACACAGTGAACTAGACATTTGCTAACACATAGGGAATATGCATATATTCTTTGTTAGTAACAGCCGATTCGATATAGCCATGTAATAAAGAAATTTTCCGACAGGAAGCTTTAGGATATAGTGGTACTATCAGATACCAGTTACTCAGTTAATCGAAGTACATGGAAGATGGAAATAGTAATTTTATAACTTTGGAGATTTCTGCACAAAAGAATTCCGTGCAAGTCTTTGATGTCTTACCTTCAGAAAATAATGGCAGGTACACCGCAAAATTTAAAACTGAATTGAAACACAATTTTTAAAAAAATTGGATACTGAAATTAGTTATTATATTTTAATTCGATAGGAAGGTTTATAAGTATAGTATATATTTATTTAATGCTCCGTACTAGATATCAGTGTTATCAGGAACCACCCTAAAAATGTTTTCGATGAAGTGGTTTTTTACAATCTTATTTGCTACCAGAACGTGTAACGAAACCAAAATAAAGCTGACGACCAGGAAACCTTAGGATGAAAGGCAAAGTAATCATATTTATACACGACTTTGACCTTTGACTTACCGAAGAATACAATGTGCCATTTCCAAAAATGATTTCTTGATAGAATAATAGCATAAGCAACATAGGAAATCTCAAGCACTATTAATTCAAATGTGACAATTATCCAGTTGAACAGAAAGTGCAATTCCTGAAAGATAATAAAATTAAATTATTGATTTATTTAATACTACATTGTTCAGCTCCCTTACTGTGCTATTCGCCGATACCCACAACAATCCAGTGACGCCGACCAAAGCCGACACTATTAACAAATGTTCAAACTTAATTTGTTCACATTTCTCCCAAGAAGCTGTTGGTCATGAGGAAATCGATTAGTTTGCATCATTTAAAGCCAAGTTAAATAACTTACAGTATTTGATGCAGTGCTCCAGGCAAGGCAACAATGTCGAAGGTAAATAATAAGTGAGTGGAAAATATATGCTAAGTCCCAAGCAACTTAGTAGTTTCGGCATCATAGTCGAAAGGGCAATGCAGACAATAAAGTTTTCTTGAAATCAAATGATAAACTTCAATTTAGGGTAGTCCCTTAGCCTTTCGATTTTAATTTTACAGCGCAAAAACCAATGTATACAAACTCTAATTTCGAATCCATCATCGTGAACGGCTGTCCATTAGGTGACGAAGCACACCATGGGAGTGTGTGAAGGCACTACTATGTATACTATGTATCATAACTGATACACCGATCGCAAGGTCACACAAAAATTAAGGGGTTCAGGAGGAAACAAAAAGTAAAAGTACATATTAAAAACAAACTAAAGATTTATTTAAAAACAAAAATGAATTAATTATATAGTCGACTTGAATCTTCTGGTGGCCTTAGGGTTCTCGAATAGCTTGCGACTGTTAGTAAGGAAACCAACATAAGCCCTGGAATTAATAAATAGAATGAAAGAGCAAATTTTGCAATAATTATATTTACCTACCGAGGCCAAAGTAGTTTAAAACTTTTCCAGTGGTGCTAAATTGTTCTTCTTGAAAGTCGAACAGAAACAAGTGTAGAACCAAGCCAGCTAATATAAAGAACGAAGTCATCAGAAGCCACCAATGCAGATAACACAGATCCTATACGCGAAAGTTCGACGGTGAGTTTTAAAAAAGAGAAGGAGCCTTCGCAAACCTTTATCTTGATTACGACCATTAGAGTTCCGCACCAGCTCTGCAATGTCCAGAGGGAATAATAATGGTCTATTCCCGGAGTGAAAACTGAGCCAAATAGTTAAAAATATAACTCCTTAGAATTGTCTTTATCACCTTGCGTTCCATTTAATTTAATATTGTAGAAATGGAACACTAAATAAACTGTTACAAGAACGTTCATTAGAATTGCAAAGATAAAGACCACAATTTTGAAAATGTGCTCAACCAAACAGCACATGACTGCAATTCTAAGTGAACTGATCTATGTTGGCTTTTATTGCTACTGCCTAGAAAATTAAAAAAAGTGTAATGGGTCGAATCATCGAATAGCATAAAGGGATATATTAAGAATGGGTATCGAAAGTCTATGTCGATGCGCAGGCAATTATGTTTGCATAATGGCAATAATATCGTTGACAAGTGCACACAAATTTGTAGTAGTCGTGGGACCTTAAAAGGTTTCTCGTAATTGCAGTCCAAATATATTGCTTGGTAAGCTGAAGTCGCTGCCATGACAACTTGGACATAACAAACCGTCTGAAGCCGACCAAGTTATTACTAGCCACTCGGCACATAAACACAACGGTATTGGTATATAAATACATAGTAAATGCTTTATTCATAAATTTCGTATGCAATTCGAGCTCTTGATTATTGACGCTTTTTCCAAATTTAAATCTTACACGGAGATTCTCATTACAAATATGAATAGAATGAACAGTGTACTTACAAACATATATACGAGTATATACATGTTTATTACAAATTTATATTTCTTTTCGCATTCGGACTCTTCAACAGTTTATAGATTATATCCTTAGTTTTAAACAAATATACCATTATTAACGTGATTATTTTGTTATTTGCGGGGATTCGGTTTAACAAGTAAAACGTTTGTACAAAGGCTTTGGAAATAGCTTTGTCTGCTCGTTCGATAGGTACAAAGCGAATTCTACCAATACATAGGATATAAAAGTTGTATGCGTTTCATATCGCCTTAAACTAAGATTTTTCTCGATTTTCCATCATAAGTATCCACTTAAATGGCTTATTTCAAGGTGTTATTGTTTATCCCTTTGTGTAAGTGCGTTCAACGACTGTAAAAGTTAATGAGAATGTGAGGAGTGTGTACTACTGGATGTGGGTGTGCCTCTAGATGTGGTTGATGAATGCGCACCTACAGTTTAGTAGGCGTTCCGGCGCTTGTAGTTACGCACATTGTTGGCCAGGCAACAGGCAAAGATGAAGCCAATCAGCTAAAATTGATATTTGGTTATTAAATCGGCTTTACAAGCCAATATTTGGGGTAGAATTCTCACCTCTACTCCAATAAGGCCGATGCCCACAAATTTGGCGTTCTCAGACCCAGCGCTCATTAGATCGATGAACTTTCCGCGGCATCCTGGGTAGTAGTTAGTCGGGATTAAGCACGAGCCACTGCAACAACTGGAGGGCAGGGGTTTTCCATATGTTAAATAATCTAGGGCAGAGGATGATCCGCAGCATTTCAACTAAAAGATTGCGTAGTGAAGTCAGAAATATGGAAAATGGTTCTTTTTTTGAGCACTTACCGATTTCTGAATGGCATCGAAGACACCTCCCTCTTGAGCAGTGTCAGACTTCCATGCGTTCTCAATAACCTTTCCCATTGCGTTATTAAACTCTTCCTTGTTGGTAAACAGCAGAACAACGAGTGTCAGCTGCAGGATCAGCAAGATCAGCAAGAAGACTGCATAGCTCATGGTCATGCAGACGGATTCGCGAATGGCACCGCAGCATCCCAGAAATGAAATGAAGACCACAATCGAGCCCAAGCTGATCAGAATGAGAGGCATGAGCGCCTGTGGCGGGAAGCCCTCCATTCCATTAACTTCGATAGTACCGATACTCTTTAGAATCAGTACGCCATAAACAATGCCCAATATGCCGATAACCTGCGGATGAGGAAAAAGAATCGAAGGGTCAGATATAGTAAGTACAGTATAGTCAGCAGTAAAATTAACTCAATGGGCTAATGACAAATCGTGTCAGATACGTAAGATACACACTGCACTTGCACGTCCAACAAACAGCTCTAAATATAGTTCAAATTAATCAGCTCGCTCTCGTTTATTTTAATTGAAAGTGGCGGAGTGGAAGAACTTTCGCAATTACCACGCTAAAAAGACTTAATTACCACAGAACCCAGTAGCTGACCTTAGGGATTCCTAGTCAGGCTCAGGCACGCCATAAGCGACGCTTGGTTCATGATAATTAAAATAAGTAAACGGGTTACGTAATTCCCCACTAAAATAGTGGGCTACCAACATAATATTGGTCCAAGAGTATTTGCTGGCCAAACAAAACGAAGACCGTCTGATCCGATCGGATTAGATAAGCCAGCCCTAGATGAGAACTGGAAGACGTGGAGGCATCCCGTGACATTCACACATGACAATGCCACAGAAATCTCGACGAGGTCGAGTTTTTGATTTTACGGTGGGGTTCAGTTCAGCTGGTCAGACAGTGCAAATCAACTTTGATCTTTCGGGAGGAACGAATGCCCGACTTGCAGCCCCAATTACGCGGTCATCAATTGAATCTGCTTTATTTCATTATGTGTATATAATGCTCGCGGCCACCGTATTTGTATTTATATCTACGGGGCGTGTGGGCTGCCTGGCTATAGCTCCGCACATTGAGAACTCGAGCGGCTGTGCGCGAGGAGCTTTGAATGAACGTGGGCGGCGGAGGCAGCTGGATTTGATTCAAAAATCTACCCAAAAATATTTCAAGCCCCAACAAAAGAAAGCAAATCCCCGACACTCTGCTAATTGTTGCATTACTTCAGCATTAAGAAATGAGACATGAAAACAACAGTGTTCGGTTGGAAACCTGTTTGCAGCCGCCAACTTTTCCTCTCCAGCTTTTACTTATTTCAGCCCGATTTTGGCTGACGAGGACGTTACACAATCCACATAAATATGGCCGAGACAATGCTGTTGGCCATTTTTCGCCCAAAACTGTCGGCGACAGCTTCAATGACGTCACACTGGAATGAGAATACAATGCAAATTTGCTTTTGCAAATACCAGAAAGCCCGAAGCAAGGGTCTGAGATCATATTGCCGACCAAAAAAAGCACAAAATTAAACAGAAAAACAACCCTCAACGGAAATGAAAATAGTTGGGAGTTTTGCGTACCGCAATAAAAAGATAGATATATATTTATTAATGTGGGGAACCACACCCAACGATGTGAATGGGTCGATTGGCGCCAAACTGCCTGCATCATAGAATCAAACAAGTAAACTTGAGTGCGTTTAGGTGAGGGAACAACAATTTTGAGCTACCCGATGAGCAAGAGGACATATGCGTGATGGGAATGCTCAATTACAAGATTAAAGTGTACATTTTAATTGGCGTAGGCATGCTATAGTTATCCGTCACGCTGCTGAACTGTGTACACTTTTTAATACCGCGCTCAAAGTTTTTTACATTAAACGGATTTTTTGTATTTTTTCAAAAAAAACTTCATATAAAACCTTGCAACTAAGGTCAAATTTAAAAGAACAACTATCTAAGCTAAATATTTGATAATAGCAGCCCATCCAGCCAGCTGACTAAAGCTATACAAGCCACTGGAGTCTGAATCACTCTTCCAAAAGCACTCCAATACGAAGACTTCAAACTTGACAAATGACACGTCATCGGAAAAACATTCGATGCGATTTTTAATCAATGTGTTTCGCTTCGGCTAAACGGATACGTAAATATTTACTTCAAAATTTGTTTGCACTTCGGCTGTGGCACAGGAAACGGCTATCGACGAGCTGAATGCAGGTCATTCAATATCGGTCGGCCTTACATTCATGGGCGGCACTGCACGCCCTTTTAGCAGCCAGCAGCTTGACTGACTTGTTGCACTCTTATGAAAATACCGGTTTGTCATATGTTCTAGCTCACTCATTGCAAAACTGCTGACACAGACTGGGGAGTTACTATAGTAACTTAAAACAAACGCCTAATTTGAACGAAAGTCCTTGGTCAATGGATACACCATGCATCAACTTTCAATAAAAATAATACAATTTTCTTAGATGAGAGGAAAACAAAGTTTTTATCGTTTCGATAGTATTCGAGTGGTTTTTCTCAACTTTTTCTGACAAACAGCGAACTGTGGTTCTGCCTTTTTGCTTTACGTTGCTGTTTCTCAAGCGTGGCGCAGCTTTTTCACTTTTAGATGTAGTGGTGCTTGGCGAGCTCTAAAAGCGGCTTGTTAATTTATTTGGCTTGTCTGTCAAGTGTGCTATGTACTCGGCTATATACTCGATCGGGCCAGATAAATATCAACACGGCTCGCTGTAAGTGCAGACCGTGTATACTACAAGCTTCGGCTCTGCCAACCAGTTGATTGGTGTTGCCTTTGTTTTATCGCTCTTCTCTAGAGCAACAAGTTTTTATTTTTATTTTCGTCCCCGCTTTTGTTCTTTCTGCTCATTTACCTACTTATGTGCAGGTATGTTTGGACCACAGGTGCGGGCAAATCAAAAAGCCAGACGACGGTCCAAAAACTACAACATATTGCACCAGTTGTACACGAACTTATTAAACATAAAATTTTTTAACCAACAAAATTTAATGGAAAGCTATAGTACTCCGTATATAAATAATGATTTCCATTCTTAGATTGTGGGATTTTCCAGCATTGTTGATAACATTTTGACCGCCCTTGTATCATTTTTATATTTAATATTCGCATCGCTTTTCGTTTGTTGTTTTACGTTTGTGACTCATTTTGGCCGTGTTTTGCAGGCGCCTTAGCGAATGCAAAGTATTCAAAAATTTACGATGAGTATAACATTATTTGCTTAGTTATTATTTTAACCGCAGTTTACAGGGTTTGGCCTGGCAAGGCTAGCTCGTGTGTGTTGATGAGTGTGCTTCAATGATTTAAGCCCAAAAACTCTACGTCAAGAACGCGCTGAGGGCAAATCTGCAATCGTGTTTATAATAGTTTAATATTACACAAACAGGAAAAATGAATCGTATCTCCACAGAAAGTGTATACGTGCTCATTTGCACAGCATAGGGAAAATAACAAAATTATAACCTTTACAAAACATGACTCATTCTTTGAAAACTACTTGTGAGCATATGTACATACAAAAATAAATAAATATAATAGCTTTCAGTTTTACAACATTAATTCATTGATAAAAATTTTAATTCAAAACTAACTAACAACTACCAACTTTACTAACAATTTTAATTAAAAAATAAATACTCGCATGTACTTCCAGTTCTATAAAATTTATTCATCACAATTACTAAATTTACTGATAATTCTAATTCAAAAGTTGTATGGAACGAGAGCTTGCAGTCGCAGGAAATCCCTATCTAACTTAGGATATGCGAGTCTTTCTTGAAATGTCGGAAATCATTTATGTAAAAAATTTTGAATTGTTTCTCGGGCTAGCGATAAATTTTTCTTAAAAATCACAGGACTTTCTGACTTCTTGGGAATTTTGCCCCGAAAGTGAAAAACCCAGTTGCTGAAATGGGAGATGAACAGAAAGGCGTCGGCGATGATATCATCACAGTTCAATAGCGAGTCTGAAGCTGAAGCTGTTTCAGCAGTCGGACAACAGAAAAGCACGAGTTCTCGACTTCTGACTGTACACATGTACATATATGCATATGTACATACATACATGGATTTATCGGTGGATAACACTGTTGAGTATAAACACTGCATGCGAATGAATTCATCGACTCTTATTTCGACAGCACTTTCGTAACAAAAGTCCCATTTGGCTTTCACGCAACTCTTTCGTACCGGTTTTGTATCGGTTTCGATTTCGGCGGTTATAAACCAGAAACGTAAACATAATCAAGACACATACATACATATACTTATGTACTCACCGACACAATGGTGTTGAATATGAAGAGGATGTATTTGACCATAGAGGTGCCGCAGTCCATTTTGAAGTTGTTTCACTGTACCGTCTGGAAGGGGAAACGAAAAGAGCGCAATTGAGTGCGTCGTATTAAAACGGATGTGCAAATTAAGCAATCGGCCCGCTAAATGTACATTTTCAAGCGATAATCACGGATATAAAAATAAATATGAAACACATCGATTTCTCGGAAAACAAAACAAACAGAGAGGGCTTCTTTATGTGGCCAGTGGCGATAAGGCTTCCGAAGCATCCCATTATCACCTCCATCTCCTGGACGCGAATCTCGAATACGTTGCCCGGGCAACAACAAGGGCAACAACAAACGGAACGGAGCTCTCGCACTGCAGCAATAACAATACGGACAACAGACAACGAAGGACGCGTGAAGGGGGCTCGAAGATTCAAGTGGGGAAATGGGAAAAGTTCACTGCACTTTGTCAAGGAGAAGAGGAAGCGCAGCATACGCTTTCCCATTGCCCCCACTTTTCTTCGCATACTGCGCAGTCTTTTGTTTTCCCGCCTCTTTCTCCTTCGCCAACGTTTCCTCTTCTTCTTCCTAACCACTTTGTGCGGCCTGCAGCATCATCTAATTTTGTTTTTGTGCTCCTGCAGGAGCGCCAAGCGAAAAGCACTCATTCCCGTATGTCGAACTCCGAGAATACCACAATGTTTAACAATCTAGTTTACACCGCATCATTACCTTCGCTTTTAAATTATCGCCAAATTATACTTCCACGCACGTCCGTTCAAGTTGAACAACTTTTCAGAAATCAGTGTGAACGTAGTTGGGGCGGCCTTATAAACCCCGATTCGCCACAGCAAGCCCTAAATATGCCAGCAAATGCCAGTAAACGAAACTTTGATAGGAGCGAAACTTCGGTAGCACTTAATTCCGATAACAGCCTGTTCCAACTGAGCCGCATTAATGGCAACTTACAGACGTTAACCAACCGTTAAAATCCCTTGAACGGTTTAGAGTTTTAAGACAATATTAGGTCATAATAACCCATTTTCTCACGTAAAATTATGGGTGTTTCATCCTTAGCTTGTTTAATATGAAAATAACAATGTTTTAGGAGCGGTAGTAATAGTAACATATCAAGAGCTATTTGAAATATTATTACTGCTGCACAAATGAGGACATCGAGACTTGGTACCCAAGGATTGACACCAACATATAACCGATACTAAACGATACAATATTGTATATAATTACAGTAAATGCCACATACTTTTCGGGAAAAGCATTTCGATTGCCGTTAACGCTTTCCTTATCGCCTATTAATTTTTAGCGAAGGTCGAACCGAGCTTTCAGCGAGCGATAAGTAATGCGCTCATAAAAATATTGTTATATATCGAATTTGTTCAGTAACAACCGAACCACCAAAGAAATCGCATCGAATAACTTACTATTTAATCGAAACCAAGTGAAATAAAGTATAATTCAGCAATGGATTGCGGCGGAGTCTTTGTGAAATATGTGCTATTCATATTTAACATTCTGTTCGTGGTAAGACCGCTTTCTCAAGAGATACAAAGATCTCCATTAGTCAACAAGCGGGCGGTATCTTATCTGGCAAACACCGACAAAAGAGCTCTCGAAGCGCGAGACTCCGTCCAAAGCGCCCTGGATACTCATTTCAAAATTTATCTTATCGAAAAATACTGGGAAAGTGGGTGGAAGTGGTTAGAAACTGGCATTCCTTAAATAAATCATTGCATGCCTATAACGAACGTAATTACGGCTATTGAGCCGAAACAGTTGTCGGAAAACACATTCTACTCGGAAAGATAAGTGCATGAGTAATACTATACTATACGTTCCATCCCCCTCAAAAAGATCTGGGAACCAGCAGTGTTTGTGATGAAATTGTTTACAGACTCCGCAGAAATCACACTGAAAAAAAGCACCAGCTCAGTTATCTCAAATGCCAAGTTGGTTTAGGATTTTACACAGTGCGGTTTTAGGATTATCAAACCGCTTTGGAAAGCGGCAACTAACGCTTGGCTTTGAATACAATCAAAGTTTATGACACTGACTTATGATGTGTGTTTCATACATCTATCTTTTTCGTTACTTTAATTATATCCCTCATTCGAAGTAAGTTGTGCGGTCGAATTGAATACTTGGGCGGGTGACTGTTATTCAATAGGCCTGATTCACCATCCCCATGACTGGTGCCGAACCATTGACTAACTAGCACATTCCGGGTTCTCCATCGTAGATATGCGGCATTTTGCTTATCATCTTCGGCTCCCTCATGGTGTCCACCATAAAGGACTTCTCAGGTGTCGGCGAGACCTTCACGGCCAACAGCGTGGCCATCATCATCCTGGTCCTTGGCTGCATCGTCTTCTTGGTGGCCTTCATGGGATGCTGCGGCGCCATTCGCGAGAGTTCCTGTGCTCTGACCTCGGTAGGTTCCCATGATGCATGCCCTGCTGGGTGCAGGGTGCAACAAATGAATCAATCTCGCCTCCTCCTTTCAGTACTCTGTGGTCATGCTGGTGCTACTGGTCAGCCAGCTAGCCCTCATTATCTACGTGTGGGTGGACCATGTGCAGATACAGCAGTCCCTGGAGAAGATCGTCCAGACCATCTGGGATCAACGAAAAACCGATGCCCTCCTCATGGACACACTGCAGAGATCGGTGAGTTCTTCTCTTCGGTTTCGCTGAACTCCAAAATGGATGGTCAATGTTACTTACTCCAAAGACACTAGAACCAATGAATATAATTATTCTAGTGTCTAGCCCTAATCTACCTATTGTACACTGCTTCTCTGAGAGAAGTGTTGTTCGATAGAGTTCCACAGATTGCATAACCGAGTATTTACTCTGATTCCAGTTCAAGTGCTGCGGCTTGAACGGCTTCGCTGATTACATCCTTACGTATCCGGCCTCCTGCTGCGACTCGCCCTCCAATGGAACCTGCGCACTAACCCAAGTTATGACGCGATCCAGTTGCCTGAAAGCCGTCGATTCGTTCTGGGACACTAACGTGAGCATCATCAAGTACGCTGGCCTGGGTGTGACTGCTGTTGAGGTAAATATCGAGTCGCATCTTTTCGAACTCGTCGAACTGATTGGTACCGATTGGTTCTTCCAGCTTGTGGCCTTCATTTTCGCCTGTTGCTTGGCCAACCAGACCCGCAACTCTCAGAGACGCCAGAACTACTAACGATGGAGCGGCAGTAGTAGTATAGTATTAGGATTATCTCCCGACCTCTTAACGTTATAAGGTCGATATGAATTAATAAAACAAAGTCCTTCGCATACCTACTATATGATTGCGGCATTTAATAGTTTAGCAAAGAGCATTTAAAGCATTTTCCAATGGAAATGTTCCACGAAATGGAACACCTCGACTGTTAGATACCCATTACTTACGTAGTTAATAAGAGTGCAAGGGAGATCGGGATGTGGATAAAAGTGACTGCTTCCGAGATATCATATGAGCACCAGCGAGCCGTGGTACATTTATATATAGAAGCAGGGCGTTGCTACTTTAGAATCTAAAGAAGTGGATAATGGAAATTATACCCTATACTCGTAGAGTAAAAACGTATACATTCGTTGAAAATTATGTAAAGTATATTAAAAGTAATATGTAAAGTATAAAGTATATATTAGTATATATTATTATGTATATTCTTGATCAGGATCAATATCCGAGTCGATCTGGCCGCCCACTCTACCGTCCAAACTTTTAAAAAAGGTTTTCCTCTTTTTTAATTTTCCTATTAGTCTTGTAAATTTCTATCGATTTGCCAAAAATCGTTTTGCCGCACAAAACTGTCACGCCCACACTATTGAAAACATTTTACATTTCTTTCTAAAATATTTTTATTTCTTTTCGCAATTTCTACCGATATTCCAGAAAATGAAGAAATCTCTTGTTCGCACTTCCACTAGCTGGGTAACGGGTATCGGATAGTCGGGGAACTCGACTATAGTATTCTAATCTTGTTTTAGGTCTGGACCTTATAAATATACATATACTGGCAAGAAAAAGCCAGTTTTGTAATTTGGGTGCGATTTTTAAGCCCAAAATAATGTTTTTATTTCTATTATCCTTACATCGATAATTTAATATAGATTTGATATCTCTGAGAAACAAGTACTTCTCACTAATTAATAAATCAGAAGATATTCTTTAATATAGACAAACACATTTTCTTTTAAATATATTCTTTACATTCTACATTCTACATAAAGGTTAAGTAATAATTTGTTCAATATTAGTTCAATATCTCACGCCCACAAACCCGCCCAAAAATGGCTCGCCCACATTTTTAAAAAACTTTAAAATTATTATTTTTTTCCATATTTTTCGCTCGCACTTCCACTAGCTGAGTAACGGGTATCTGATAGTCGGGGAACTCGACTATGGCGTTCTCTTTGGTTTTAATATATGTACTGAGACCTAAGCGAGGTTGAGGATGTTCTATGCCAAACCATTTTTTGATGGTTTTTGGTTTTAGCCGGATTGGACATACCGTGAGTCCATGACATAGTCAAAAAACTGTGTATACTGTTTTTGGGCCCTTGAAAGGTGGACGTGGTGGAGGTGGTGGTTTTTCTGCCTTTTTTAAAGGAAATATAACTTTTGGACGACCAGTTAGTTTCTATTTCCAGTGTTCATTTCCTAATCCATCAAAACTGTGTTAGCCTCTCATCCATGCTGGGTATTGTGCTATAAAGTTTTCCACCATTCTACTGTATTTGTATCTACTGTATTTACAAAATAAATATCGACATGCTCACAATAAAATGTAACTATTGTTTTGTCGTTTGTTTATTCACTATTGAAGGATTCCTTGCGATCTTAAAATTCCATCTACAACAGGGGCAATTTCACTAAGCTTGAAACAATTTTACAATAAATTTGAAATTTCTTTTTGAAAGTTGAAAATATCACATGTTAAATTTAATGTTATCAATTCAGTTTGAGGAACACGATCGACTAACTTTAAAAAGCACTACCAAAGCACTCGTGCAGTTAAGTTGCAACAGACATTGTTTTCTTAGAACTGGGCTGTTAACTTTACGTTTGCGTTATACAACATTACACTTTGAGAAATTGTTAATTCCTTAGGATCAAGATCTCACAAACTCGCAAGCTTGTAGAAAACATTAAGACAATAAATAATGAAATCGATATTTATATCGAAAAAACAGCCTAAGTTACAGCACATTTTGTAGGACAACAAGCAACCAATAATCGTTAGATTTTGTTAAGCCAATTAAGAAAAACAGAACGCTATAGGTGACAAACTTATCTTAAAGCGAGTAATGGGTAACGTTGTTGCGGTATATATTAATATTGGCACTTCTTAAAAAAGTGTTTATGTAATGACATAAGTAGAAATAGAGAAAAAGGCTTGATCCGAAGTCTAGGCGTATATATTAATATTGTCTCTTTTCGAAAATGTAATAACATCATTATGTTATTACATTTAATAACATAAGTAGAAATAGATAAAAAAGACTTGATCCGAGGTCTAGGAGTATATATTAATATTGGCACTTCTTAAAAAAGTGTTTATGTAATGACATAAGTAGAAATAGATAAAAAGTCTTGATCCGAAGTCTAGGCGTATATATTAATATTGGCACGGCTCGAAAAAGTGTTTGTATAATAACACAAGTAGAAATAGATAAAAAGGCTTGATCCTCAGAAGTCTAGGCGTATATATTAATACTGTCACTTTTCGAAAATGTAATAACATAATGTAATAACATAAGTAGAAATAGATAAAAAGACTTGATCCGAGGTCTAGGCGTACCCCTGGCGACCGGCGTTCTGGCTGCGCATGCAGTTGGTCAGGGCGCCGGCGATCAGGAAGACGATCAGGTCGAAGATGCAGAGTCCTAGGCCGGACCAGCGGATGATGTCCATGTTGTCGTTCCAGAACTGCTCGAACTTGGCACTGCAGCCCGGCCTCGACTGGTAGACGGAGGGGGTGCTGCAGGTGGCCTGGCGGTTCAGGTAGCCGCAGCAGGTGCCGGGAACCGATAGGCCGACGTTGTTGTAGTTGGTATAGCCGGTTTCGCCGCAGCAGCCGAAGGTTTCCTCCAGCACGCCCATGGCACTGTAGTCCTGGGAGTTCCAGAGCAAGTTAACCAGATTGCTCATGTCCCCCAGGAAGGCGGATCGGTTCACGAAGACCCAACAGGTGAGCACCAGTTGCAGGATGAAGAGCACGAAGACCATGCTGGTGTACTGCAATGGTCAACCTCAATTATATTAGCTCGGTCCTTTCCCATATGCCCTTCACCCATACTTACAGCTCCGGTCATGCAGACACTCTGCCTGAAAATGCCGTAGCACCCGAAGAAGGACACCACGAAGATGAGCGCTCCCAGGACGGTGACGCAGATGGGGATGGTGTTGGTGTTCATGCCAGCTCCCGAAGCTTCGAAGTGGCTCAGATCGGACAACATGATCGAACCCAGCACGATCAGGAGGACGCCAACGATCTGGAAATAGTCGGCGGATCATAAGTATCTATCTCCGGTTCCCACGCAATTCTCGAGCCATAATCACACCACACAATAAAAAAAGGTTTAATGGTTGTATCTGATTAGTATCTGATAATACTTCCTGAAAATGTCAACAAAATTGACCTTTCTATGAGTTTTAGTACTTGAATAATGCGAGTTGCAGGTCCATATTTAGTATGAAAGATACACACCATTTAATATAAAATAGTCTGATATACTTTCTTAATTAATTATCTACATGGTTTTTTATTTACACTGACTTGGCCTTGCTTAAATACGAACTTGTGTTAATGTGTGCACCCTCTGAAGCTCATTTTGGGCTCATTACTTATATTACAAATCACTGATTATGTCAATCAACTGATAAAAGTCCACTTGCGTTACAGATAGATATTTTATCTATGCCAGCACATTTCTATGAATAATAGTGCTAGACCTTGTGACTCAAAGCCAATCGAAAGGAAGCGACCAATGCGTAATTTATGGATTCTCAATCCTTATAACACTTGTTCGAAATTGTACAGAATGAGGATTTCCTACTTCGATATTTTTTGCACAAAGTTGGTATGTATATGCATATATTATTGAATGCAAGCATTTTCCAAAACACCCTTCGAGGTTTTATGGAAAGAAATGGCTATTTAAAAATCAGGTAGCGCTTAATAAATTTACAACAGTTTGGGAAACCCCTTTTTTATAACTACAAGGATTTTACAAGGATTTTTCCACCCAGCGATTGCTCTACACGTTACATCACATTATTGGTTGTTTTATTTATTTATTCAACTTACCAAAAACACGATATTGACAATGTATAAAATAAAGTTGACTATTCCCGATAGACAACCCATTTTGAAAGTAGTTTGCTCCTCTATTCAGTGGAATAAAATAAAGACAATAGTTTTATCCAAAGGAGGTCTGATTTTATCGCGCACTCGCGTCGTTTACTGTCGTTCGATTGGACTGGTCCTCCAGATGGGCTACTGTTTTTAAGTTGCCCAACAGACATGGGTGCTATCGGAAAGATACGCGAGTGCCTGTTATCGTAATCATGGCCGAAACGAAAACGAAAAATAGATAGTGGGCGGTGGGAGATCGATAGCCATTGCCATATGTAGGTGATTCACTTCTGAGGGCATTTGATCTCGGAAACGCGGCAATGGGCTTACGGGCCGATAAGGACACTCTTTTTGGAAAAACATCAACCTGTCTCGATAAGATAGACTAGGTAGCCAGCGGTAGACAGCGAATAAGCAATAATATTTCATTGGGCTTAACCTATTCCGGTTTATTTACGCTGAGTGAGGAATTCGTGTTCTGGATTTATGCTAGGAACTGGGCTATATATCTAGGGGTTGCGTCAGACTTCGGTTCTAGCGTTCTAGCGCTTCCTCATCGCGCTGGCCAGGCAGCAGGACATGACGAAGATGCCCAGCTCGAAGAGGGCGATGATCAGACTGCTCCACCGAATGAGGTCCGTGTTGGAGGCCCAGAAGTCGACGAACTCCTTCTGGCAGCCAGGTCGCTGGCTGTAGATCGCCGCCTCGCAAGCCTTGTTGCGATCCTTGTAGCCGCAGCAGGAGCTGGGCACGCTGTCATACTGTTGGTATCCCGAGTTGCCACAGCAAGTGAACTGCATTGAAATAGGTTAATAGGTTAATGACATCCGTGGATGAGTTTCGCTGAACTTACGGCCAATTGGAGGGCGTCCATGGGGTAGCCCTGGGCGGCATTGTTCTCATCCCAGGCCTTGTCCACAACCTTGCCCATGCTGGTCAGGAACTTGTCGTTGGCCGCGAAGATCCAAATGGAGAGGGCCAGCTGGAGGCCGAACAGAATCAGCATGCAGATGGCGTACTGGAACAGAGAGCAGACCAGTCAGCTTACGGCTTGGGTCAGTGGGTTATCCGAGTGCTTACCACGGTGGTGCAGCAGGCGTTCTCGCGAATGGTGCCGCAGCATCCAAAGAAGGCCACCACGAAGGTGACACATCCGATGACGATAATGCAGATGGGGATGGTCTTGGTGCTAACGCCTCCGTCGAAGGCTGTGAAGTTGCCCATCGTGGACAGCATGATGGAGCCCACCACGATGAGCAGGATGCCGCCGGCCACGAACACCAGGTTCAGCAAGTACAGCAGGTACTTGAACATCGCGGATAGACAGTTCATGGTGCTGAGTTCGGTTCGGTTTCTGGTTGCTTAGCTCGATAATCCGTTCGTTCGAAGCGACGATTTTCGTCAAACTGAATGGGCCTTCTGACAGAACCCGGCTATTAAAGCTTACACGGAGTCCTCATCTTATCGGGTGCGTTCTTATCTCGGCAATAAAGTGCTCTATGTACTTGCGCTGGAAGCTCCGATTTCTATGTACCCGAGATACCGCATCACGGAGACGGTCCGAACTTGGGAAGCTACGTCCTTGACGCACTGATTCATTCGTAGGTGTAAACTGCTGGGGGCGGCATTTTATCTAGCACTCGCGCCATTCCATCTTGGGGACGTTAGCTTGCTAAAAGATGAATCATTCACCACTTTAGCTATTTCCTACCTTTCACACCCTCCCTTATCAACCATCAAAAGTTCGCTGTGCAGGCTGACTCACATATTGCGTTGCTGGGACTCCATTCCCCGTGAGTCCCCGATCTTATCGCATGGATTTATGCCCTATCAATCGGGTAATAAACCCCTTACCAAGTGCACTCCAGCGGTGCTCCAATAAGCCGAATGGATTTTGACAACTATTGGGGTTTTCCAGGGCGGAATCATTTTCTGTTGACACTCAAAAAAGCCAACTACAAAGCTAACTAAATATAATCTTCTGATAGGTTAGTTCCAGAGGCAATGATTGATAACGATCTGTAATCAGGTATATTTGTTGGGTTGGGCAACCTCTATTTATACTTATTAGTCGCAGATACGGTATCGCGAATGGCTGAAATCCTCCCGTGGCAATTAGAAAAATAGCATTAATGTGTTGATCGTATTGCAAACAGTGTAAGCAATCATCGCCATGTAAATTGCCATTTTAGGGCACACTAAACACATTCCGTGGTTTGTAAATAAATTTCTCCGTTTATTGCAATCTCTAGGAGTATAAATTATTTTGTACAGTTAAACATATTAGCACAATCAGTGTTAATTTGAACAAACGATCTTACAAAAGGGATCATTTCGCATTCGTCATGGGATTTGCTGCTTAAGCTTGAGATTATGCAAATTTGAATGGCCATCTGTATCAGGTATATAATCGTATTCGTAAAATTGGGCAACATAATTCGTACTTTCGTTTTTAATTTAAATTACTGCGAGGCCCTTGTCCAGCGATTAATATTCCGCACGGCGTCTGTAGTTCCGAATGCTGTTCGCCAAGCAACAGGCGAAAACGAATCCCACGAACTGAAAGAAAATAGAGTATGTTATATATAGTACACATATTTCGTTTCTTTGACGTAGGAAAATAGATAAGCCATCTTTTTGTAGTTTATTTATGGTAAAATACCAGGCTAAACTGCAAAGCAACAACAAATGTATCACAATATGTTGTACTTCTTGGCTATCCGCAAGAAAGATATGTTCAAAACACTCAGAAAGGTGTATAACTTGAACCCATCCATCAAACTGATCGCACTTCAAATGGGGAAGCACCTAGTTTCGTTGATCGATTGAGTTACTCCCAGCCAGAGTAATTGACTTACTTCAATGGCGGCGATGACCAGACCGGCATACTTAATGATGTCGCAGTTCCTGTCCCAGAACTCGACGAAGGTCACCTTGCATCCCCGCTTGTAGGCGGTCTCCACGCGGCAGATGTTCGTGTCGGTGCAGCAGGAAGGAGGGAGCCTGCCCTGGTAGGAGTAGTCGGTGTAGCCATTGCGTCCGCAGCATTTCATCTGGGGGGCAAAAAGTTAGTTAAAGATGTATCAGATGTCATCGTAGGAGGAACCTACGTTAATCTGAATGGCGTCCAAGTAGTCGGAACGACGGGTGCGATTGTCCCAGGCCTTCTCGACCACATCTCCCATGATCTCCAGGTACTTCTCCTTCTGCACCCACATGTAGATGACCAAAGCCAATTGGCCAATCATCAGGACGAACAGCAGAATCGAGTACTGTCATAAAGAACACATTTTTAGCTATGAATGGCAACATGCAGGATAAGTGCTCTACCGTCATGGACATGCAGTAGGACTCCCGAATGGCTCCGCAGCAGCCGAACCAGGAAATCAGCAGGATGATGGTGCCCAGGATGATCATAGTCAATGACACCTGCTGGGATCGCAGGGCGTCCCCGACATCATCGCTGTTGTGGACTTTGCTGAACAGCAGAGCTCCGAATACGATCAGTAAGATGCCGCATATCTGAGGAAGGAAATTCGTAGTTGAACACACAAATAAGTTAACCAGTCCAGTCCTAGTCTAACCAAGCTTTAGTCCTCCAGCCCTCAGATTTTGACAGAAATTGTCCAAGGAAAACAATTATGTATTTTAGGCTAGTAAAAGTAAAATGTTTCATATTTAAATGATTTGATTATCGAATTGCAATACAAAATCGCCTGAATCTCGGGATACAGCAAAATTTTAGAAATATCTGATTCAACAACATAGGAATATTATTCTAAATAAATGATTGTTGGGATATCATAAGCTTTTTAGTTTCATTTGAAAGCTTGTGTCGTTAAAAGCTCACGCCTGTTGTTGGACAAATAAAATGCACTGCGAGAAACTAGAACTACGCTCAAAGACGTACAGGCTTCATTTGGGTGAGATCACCTGAAATATTAGCACTACTTTTTATTATTCGCCAGTTCTTCAGCGAGTTTCGTTTATAAAATTTCAGTTTGACTATTTGCACGCCTATTAAAGGCTTATCTCTTATCAATCCGATTCGTTTCGTTAATTAAGATTATACATAAAAGCGGCTGGCCTTCTACGCTAGCTATCAAAAACAAATTTGCTTTGGCTTTGATTTTTATCGGCTGACGTAGTCAAACCCAAGTTATTAGATTAGATGCTCCCAATCAAACTATAATTCATATGATTGACTCAGCCACCCAGCTCACCACTTCATGGGATCAGATCGGATGGGATCCGATCAGAAGAGAGCGAAATGTCGCCACTGCTCTAATTATAATACTAACCAGCCCACCCACTCGTCAGCCCCCACCACTCCGTGGAAAATTGAGTTCAAGTGTACCGCCAACGACCCCCGTTTCCATGCCATCATGAGGCGTGTGTAGATGAAATTTCGTTGTTTCCGAGTTTTGGCTCGCCTCACAATGGGAGCAAGTTCATATTTAATTAAGTCAACTATTTTTGGGTGAGCCCCCTAAGCCATTACACAACTGTGAACAATGCCAGACGGAGTGGGAGACTTTTGCAAAGACAAAATGTTTATATGTCAGTTTTCGAGCTAATTAGAGCTACTTAAAAATATTAAAAAGGTTGGGGAACTACGGATTAGAGCTCCCGATCAAAACAAATGACCTCTTTACAATAAATCGGTCATCCCTCTCGTATTATGCATTTTATATCGTTTACGGCACTGCTTAGACCACTGAAGAATTCGCGCCGTGTGCCATTGTTTTTCCGCCTGTAGAGAATGATATTCATATTTGCGTGTCGCGAGTAATGCGGTGGGCCTCCGACGCAGTCAGATTTCCCACCTGCAAGTCAGGGCCCCAAACTGGTTGGACGAAGTACAGTTCCACCTGGCGGTGCAGTGACTTTGGGGCAGTGAGTTAGAAGTTGCAACACAATATCGAAATGCCACCGTTGGCTGGCGTTTCAGCGATTGTTTGGTTGCCGTTTGAAACCAGTTAACCTCGGGCTGACTCCAACTAATGGGATGCATGTTTCTGAGGCTCGGTTGTGGGGAACTCAGTGGGGAACTCTGTGGGACCGAAGCAAAACAAACTCGTTTTGGGACTCAAAAGTAAACAACAGTGTACGTAGTATACACAAATTTATATAGAACTTTTTGGGTACCGCTACGTCACAAACGTAGCCCAATTTTAATAACTGGTTTTGAAATGCTGTTGATCTAAAGTTCGAAGCCGGAAAGTGATAGTGCTGACCGGAGAAAAGGCCCCATAAATGTTATTACGCATCCTACTTTTACAGTCCTTGATAAACATTATTAGAGAAATGTTTAATTTTATGAAATGTAAATATGTTTAGCATTTATATGATGCATTTAACGAGTGCCTTCTGCGGTTTCCAAATGTACTCATGTTGACCAGTTTTGTGGGCCTCGACTTTCTCAGGCAATACTCAAAACGCCAATTTTAGGAAAACCAGTTTACTTATGATATCACTGCGAGCCTAAAAGGCTGAGAAACCGATCTAAGCTTGGCCAATGGCGCTAAAAAATTATATAATCTAGAATCTAGATGTATGCTACTCACCGAACAGAGCAAATTAAATATAAATAAGATATATTTAACCATGGACATTCCGCAGCTCATTTTGTCGGAGATTGCTGGTGGAAATGGATGAAGAACTGCAACTGATCGTTTGGGAGACGAGAACATGGAATGGAATTAAGAAATTCAGATGCGAGCGTAAAGAGTTGGGTATTTCGGCATTTTATTTGGGAAACACGCACACGTACACACCCAGGCACACGCTCTGATCCGTGGTAAAAACATTTCGCTTATTTAAATATTTAAAAAATGACGTTCTTCGCTATACTGGGTGTGCAAATTAGCACACGATCACGTCGATTGCCCCGTAGCCTGGGCGTCGATTGTCGCTTAAATCGTTGTCGTTGGGCAAGTCGCTAGCTATTCACTAATATGCCTTTGAGACTGACTTCTGTACTTGTGCTCAAGGATTTGTAAAGAAATGCTGTTAGTAAAAAAGGCTCAATAAAATATAGAGTAACTGGCCATAGAACTAACTTAATGGTAGCGAGCTCGCCCTGTAACTAAGTTTGAAGCAGGAGCGTGGAGATCGCAATCAGCGCACTAGCTCCGGCAGCAGCTTCTCCTTGGGCAACCAGCGCTGCCTCAGTTCGTTATAGCGGCGCCAGATGTAGGGATAGCCGGAAGCCCAGGACAGCCAGGCCTCCTTCTCCGCGGTGGTCTGCTCCACCTTCTTCAGATGCTGGTAGTACTTCCCGTTCCTCTTAACCGCGGCGGAGGCATCCTGCACGAATCGGGCGAAGCGAAGCTTGAGCAGGGTCTCCGAGACGTCCAGTAGGCGGTTGCCCCTGGGCGGATGGACCAGGCATAGCTGACAGACGACAAAGTCCTGTCCCTTGGCGGCATTCAGGGGCAGGAAGGTGGCTTCGCGGCCAATGAGGCACTGCTGCAACCAGGAGTAGCCGTTTGCATTGACGCGCACGCCCGGCAGCTTGACGGGCAGCAGGCGTTTGCGGCTGGTGAAGATTGGAATCAGCGGCCGATGCTGGATCATCAGCAGTGTGTCCTGCTCCTGCTGTTTGACTCCGGCGATCCTGCCCGTGTGCATGACGCGCTCCCTGATCAGGCGCTCCGGGATGTGCGAGGGCTGCTTGAACTGGCGCACCAGGTAGGCCGGCTTCCGCTTCGCATAGGCCACGGCCAGCATGAGAGCCGAGGTGCCGTAGATGGCAAGCTCGCTGCCGCGCGTGTCCCGCTCCAGGAAGTTACATAAGTCCTGGTACTTGGCCACCACAAAATCCTTGGCCGACTCCATTGGATAACTGGAAAGTGGTCGCTGGTTAGGTTTTTTCGGGCTGGGTGCCGCAACTGGCGAATCTCACTGTACCACTCGGGGCGTTATGTCGTTTTGCTGCCCTAATCTATATGTAAACCCTGCTAATGTCTAATTTTGTCGCTGATTTCGCCTTTCTCGGCTGCAATTCTGTTTTGCTACTGAACAGACTTTGACATTTGCCTCACTGGAGTGCGAGCGGGACAACTAGTAGCCCGTCGAGATCACTCTTTTTTGGCACCTTACAACACTGCCTGCTGCGCCACTGTCGCTCTAGCTCTCTCACACACACTAGCACACAGAGTTTAAAAACAAAACCCACACACACACACACCTTGAGTTTTACGCCTTTTCCGTTTGCTGAATGAATTAACGCGCGCTCCGCTTTTCGAACCGTTCGTGAGCAGTTGACAATGCCAACTGAATATCCGAGATCGGTAAAAGCTGCGCCAAGCGATACAGTAGACTCAACCGCCTGTTGCGTCGCATTCACACACACAGCCACACATGCGCTAGCATAATTTGTTTTGTTTTGGTTCGTTCGCCACCCCCTCCCCGCAACGGTAATTGCTGTAACTTGTTTTCCACTCTCTGTTACCAATCGCGCTGAATAAACCCTTTGTTTATTTATGCAAATTCGCTGCGGTCGAAGCTTGTTTTTGCCCGCCGCTAGGAAAATGAATTAGATATTCGTCTAAAAAAAGAAGCAAAAACCTCGCGTTGAAGATATTCAAACAATTACAAGGTTTTTTAAGATCATGGGTCATAAGCAGCCTCAAAAACAGGAAATTGTGGGAAAAGTATGTTTGTATTTTAAGTAATGAAAAGTGAACATTGTTACATGATTTCAAATTTTGTATGTATGTACGCTACTACTTACAACTCTTGTTCAAAAATATTTTGAAACACCAAATGTAGCAAACATTAAAAAGAATATTTACACTTAGCACGAAAAGAAAAATACCTTTAAGTTCATCTTATAAAAATTTGAGTTACAGAAAAATGGCGCACAACCACAAAACTTTCGATGCGATTTCCACTGGCGAACGTGTTTTGCGGTTTTCGACTCATCGTGGGCGGATGGATTTTCCATGAAAGTGGCCTAACACCAACCAGTTTGCCCGATGAGCTGCAGGTCTCGTAGCCACCCTACTATGGCTTCGGGAACGGCTTCCGTTTTTAATTACCAGACAGAAGGGCGTTGTAATTGTGTGTAGCCTTTCCTTGACACACAAGCAACAACAACGTCGTAAACTGGTTTACAGCTTACGTAATCCAATGAAAACGTGGCTTGGAAGCATTATTTTCGGATTTGGGGGGAGAGCGCCAACTGTCGCGCCCGCTGACATTCCTAATTAACTAGTGTGCTCCGCACAATTAACCTCACGTTGTTCCGTATTTAAATATATTTCCACAGTGCCCGGCACACGAAGAGAAATTCGTATCTGCATTGATCGGAATCGCGCTATAGATATGGAATGAGTCGTTGCCACTGAAGATGCACAATTTCCAATTTGAATGTATCTGTAGATATGTACCTCCGATCGAGATCGTCTTGATGAATTTCTCACATGTACTTAAGATTAATGTACATATACGCCAATAATTTGCGCGATCAAATAGGCAATGCTCCTCATCTATTTCTGTTTCAGTAATTTTGAATGCAGCACGATTCAGCATTACTTTCTCCTCTCCTTTAGATTAAAATAAAACTCATACAGATTTTCCTAAACGTAAGAGATATACTGATAATTACAGAATGTGAAATATAAACCCAAAATGATCAATTAATTACAAATATTCCTATTATTTTGAAGATAAATGGTTTATAACATAGATAGATTAAATAGAATGAACGTGCTGAAACTGTAGAAAAAACACTATACTCATATATTAAATTTTTTTTACTGTGTGGGCTCCCCAATTATTGACAAAAGTAGAATCAATTATGAATCATTGCTTGCACTTCTGGTTAGCTTCCTCAAGCGAATATTTTCTGTAAACGTCGAATTAGCGTCAAATGAATGACTTAAGTGAGATTGTCTCCCAAGGGGAGGACACTTATCGGCGAGGAAAACCCGTGGTCGAGATTGAGATCTAATGCGCCACACTCGAGCAATTTCGAAAATGTACTAGTAGCGCGGAAAACGTGAAACTGCTTCCCATGGGTGCGGGGTATCAAATTAACTATACACAGAAAGTAAAACACAGTGAAATAAATAACAAACAAAAGAGTGAGGAATTTAATAAAGTCTGCATTCTCTTGGTTTTAAGGCAAAACGCCTTTTGCAAATCATGGAAATGTGTTTTTCTGGGTTTGCAGCTGACCAAACAGAACATTTTAATTTTTCTCAGATATTAATACAAAGAACTTTGTTATAAAAAGCGGTTGGGTGTTGGGTCAATGTGGCTGTTGGTCATCAGAAATACGTTACCCCACCTAACCGCAGATCACACCCTCCCATTTATTCCACTCAATATCAAGTCTCAGTATTGTATTATCGATTGGAAAATAGGGACGCCATAGTTGTGTGCTTTATTTCGTGTATCCGACTCCACGTGGGAAGCGTAGTCAGTATACATAATGTCCATTTAAAATCGTAAGTATATCAGTGAGTGAGTTCCGTAGCGACAAAAGGGGTTAGCCCACAGCCGTGGCTAGTACAATCGTCGCGTGTAGTGCATCTGCTGACCAGGAGGCGGCTGGGCGGACCCAGAGACGGATCCGGATGGGGCTCCCGGCTGGCCAGGCAGCATCGCCAACTGCTGCCGAGCCATCTGCTGCTCGTGGGCGGATCCACCTCGTCCAGGGGCATAGCCCTGTGTGATGCTTCCCGCTGTTTTCGGATTCTGTGGAGGAAACTGGTCAGGTGTTAGACTTAGGTCTTCCTTTTAAGTTATATCAAATATGTTTATCAGTAGATGAGAAGATGGGTGTAATGCGTTTCCCTATTTTTAATAGCTTTTGTAAAAATCTACTGCAACAATATATTTGTTTCACGGAAAGTAGCTCTATGTAACGCATTTCGTGGCGTTTGGTTTGATAAGTGATGACGGGTTTGGTGGTAGAAACGTGGCTGAGACTTTAATAACAATTCTTTTAGAGCCAAATCCTTGCACTTGAATTTCGTAAAAGTAAATGTATCTTGTTTGGAGAAGAACTCTGGGAGAGCAACGCAGAATTAACCACAAAAAAATAACTATCGTTGTTGAGAATGAGACCCACCTGGCTGCTACTTATCTGCAGCACGTTACTGTGCAAAGAGAGTTCGTTGAGCAGCGGCTTGAAGATGACGCCCTCCGACAGCAGGTGTGGCGGAGGCGGGGCGTGGCTCGGCGGCTGGCCGTCGTGCTTCACCTCGATGTGGTAGCGGTCCGGTAGCTTCTCCATAGTCACGTGCGGCTGGGAGGCCTTCACCGAGATGCTGCCGCCGGCTTGAGCCACCAGGTCTGCCTGCGAGATGGTCGGCTGGTCGAGGTTGATGTGGAGCACTTGCATGGGCTGCGACTGAGACGGTGCCTTGGGCGACTGCGAGTCCGGCGGCTTGCTGACAGTGGCGCTGGGCAGATCCACATGGTAGGCCTGGCGCAAGGGAAGGTTGTAGTTGTAGATAGACTGCAAGCGTGCGTCCGCCTGGTGCTGCGTCGTCGGCGGAGGAGCGACCGTCTGATAGAAGACCGTTCCCGTGCCCGGATACTGCGCCGATGTCTCTGGAAGAGAAGGAAAGCGAGGGTTCATTGGAGAATCTTGGTTGCGATCGTTCCGACGAAGGATCTCGGGCTTGGTATTGCAAGTGAGGTGCTTACTGTTCCATGATAATCTAGCATAGTCCGCGGCACGACGGTAGTCATCGTGTTCTGCGAATCGATCGTAAACAAATAGCGAAATGAACATAAGTTGTGTGCCTGTGTTGTTAGAGGTTAGTGTGCGCAGTAAAATGGGTTTCTCATGAACGGGACGGAGTGTTAGCGAGCAGTTAATCAAGAACAGCGAAAGCCCCGCAGAACAGATCAACGTCAGTTAACGCCAGTTTGCAGTTGAATTTTTAAAACTCGAGCTATCAGACAGGAAGCCCTAAACACATATTTTGTTTAATACTATAAAATAATGTCCTATTTTGTAATATGAAAAAAAATTAAACTTAACAACCAAATCGAAAACCTGAACATCACTGCATGTCATATCTTTCTTCTGATAAAGTTGATCATTCACTTATAAACTTTCACTTTTCAAATTTTCTCTAATTTGAAGTTCAATTGAAGACTTATTAGTGCTAATATTCAACAGATATTATGATCAAAATGTACAGCTGATGACATCACAAAAACCACTTATACCTGTCGCGCAAATCAAAATCATACATATGTGCTAACCAGTTCAATGACTAGTTAGATTATGAGCAGATCCTATGTTCAAGTTAATAAAATCCAACCGAAATTGCGTGCATGAGATCTTTGACTGTCTGCCTGAGGCAGCGTTCACTGTATCGGAGGCCCAGGGACCACATTGTTGACCTCTTCCTGGCTTACTCTGCTGGGCGTAGCTGGCGGCGCTCTTGTAGTAAGCCTGCTGCTGACTCGGCGGCGATGGACTCCTGCCACGTTTTCCTGGCTGTCCGCCGGAAGGGGGCTGTGCGAAAAAGAAGACCATTAGAACCTGAATCCCACAGTTGCGGAGTCCACACCTTCTGCATCAGCGAATGGTGCTGGTGCACGCGCAGGGCCGGCAGGAAGACCGGGCTACTGGCCGCCGCCTGCTGGATGGCGAATAGTTCGTTCTCCTTGGCCAGTTTCTTGCGCGTTTCGTCCTCGTTGAGCACCTTTTTAAGTTGGACGGTGAGCTGATGCTTCTGGCTGTGCAGGTCGGCCAGCTGCTCATCCAGTCGGGTGATCTGGCCGCGTGTATCGTCCAGGGCCACCTGGTTCTGGCGGTCTACCTCCTCGCGCTCCCTTCGCAGCCGCTGCTCCTCGCACTGCGCCTCGAACTCCTCCTGGCGCCGCTGGCGGTCCGCCACGATGAAGCCCTTCAGTGCGCCGCGCAGCTTTTCCGCCCGCTCGGCTTTTGCCGCCTGGGCGGCCGCGTTGCTGTTGTTTACCGCTGATGCTGGCGGCATCTTTGTGCTATGCTTAGTTATCTTGCCAATTTTATAAGCGTTCGTGGACGACCAGGCAATCGCGACTGTTCGACCGATCCGACCGAGAGGCGCTCCAAGTGGAATGACGTGCTGGTGGCGGTGGGCTGGAATCCGGGTGGACACCGCTACGGGAATCAAGTGTTGGGCGTCTTGGGATCACTGCAAATGCTCGGCGCCGTGCTGCACTTTATTTTTGGTCACTTTCAGCACGGTTTTTGTGGTAAACAATTTGTTGAGTGAGTGGGATGTGCCGACCAGTGTTGCCAACTATCGATTATTGGGCCACGCTAGCTAGAAAATAGCTACTTTTCAGATTGCGGTGGCAAATTGTATATTGTAAATTGTAATTGCATAAAATTGCCTACAAATTAAAACGCTTTTTTCTTCAAAAGGCTAATATTCTTCTGTGCCACAAAAGAACGGAATAAGAAATACAAATTGTTAAATATCTGACCGATACGTATCGATAACTTTTTGGGAAACTGATTTTCCATATTCTGGGCCATATTGGCCCAATTATAAGAGTTTCAGTGCTAGATAAATTAAAATTCCGACACGGACTTTCGACCGAAGAGAAATGCGCATAAGCAACAAAATCAAAAATAAAAATTTTACTGTGGATTTATTACTTTTGATCGATTTATATTCGTATTCGGTAAGCATCGGTTAACTTAAAACTATCTTATTTTATGTTTGTCCTTTCGCTCTATTTACTCAGATATATTAATATTCTAAAATCGATCGATGTTTATAATATGTATAAGTATCGATATGGCGACACTCATTCGCGGTATCTTGCAGCTATAGCGCTGCGGTCACACTAGAATTGCAGTTTTAGTGCGGGTGAACGTGTGAACGCGAGTCGGAAAATACGGATTACACGGATTATACGGACATTACGGAAGTTGTACGGAGACGCGACTGGAAGAAAGCCGTGAAATGTGTTCAGTTGCCAGCAGCAGCCATTAGCCTATCAGCAGTGTTAGAAGTTAACAGTGATACAACGTGCCTGGAACGCAGCCACAGAACAAAAAAAGCAAAAACCTCGGTGACTGGGAGCGTAAGAAGCAGCAGCGGAATAATCAACAAAGGCGGCAAACATGGCGAGTGAGTAACATCGGGGCACTTCTCCGCCTATGGAGCATCCCAAGCAACATACAGCAGAACCCGGATTCCTTTTCCATCGCATAAACAAACGCAACTCATGCGAGTCATTGCAGCGCCCGTTTTATGGCTGCAGTGCAGCATTTACGAGCTGCGAAGACTTCGAAATCGCTGCCAGGTGTCGGAGGCAGTTGCTCCGAGCGAGGGGGGGTGCGGTGTGGGCGGTGCGGTGCGGTGCGGCGCGGCTTCCTAGACAAGATGAGTGTTTGCCAGAGACATGTGAGAAAAATCAATACTCACGCTCCCCACTCCTTGCACAATGGGCCGGTTGGATTAGGCAGATGCCGTGCTCCTGCTGCTGCGCGCACCCACTTATCGCGGCCAACAGGGTCAGCGCTTCCCAATCAGAAACTCCGGTTTTTTATCCTTTAATGGCCCCGGCAGTTCTGGCGGGAACTAAGTGCGGCTGAGACATCGGCCACCACCGTTTGGCACGAACCCTCCACCCGATGCTCCCACTCCACCGCAGCACTGGCGGAATGGGAACTGGGAACAGCAGTGACGACGCATTAATAAATGAGAATATGCCTCCTGCGAGGTGCCAGGTTTACCGGCGTGTCTCAACACTCCCCACAGTCCTCACAATTCGTTTTATCCCCACGGGGGGTGATATAACAAACAAAACTCAGAAGTAATGCACTGGGAGAAATCTGTTCCCCCTTTGCTGGTTTGATGACAGAACCTTGACGAGAAACACGTGACATGCAATGTATCATTACAACTATTATGATTAAGCTTTAAAAAATCACATATGCTATGCTAGAAGGATGGGCTGGTACTTTTCAGTCAAATTAGACATTGCCAAGCTAAAGTTGTGAGTAAGTAATGGGAGTTGTGGCTGCTGGTTCTCAGTGTAGTCGGATGTGTAACTAAATAATTACGTGCTTACGCACTGGATGTATATTTGGGTCAGTCACCGATGAAAATTGTTAAACGTAAACAAGTCCCTAAACTTTTTAGTTCTCAAACGTCACTGCACTGAAACAACACATAAACACTGCCCACAGACTGTACTGTTTGTATACCCTTTCCCGAGGGGAACCTGTGCAGAACGACAACAAACAGCACTTGAACGCGCCGGCAATCCCGGCCTCAAAACTTCCCCTTTCTCAGGGGCGGTGGTGCATCCCAATCCCCACACCACTCTGTACCTCACTTGTCCACGTAACCCACCAGCTGCGCCCAGCGTAGCGAGACCCATTGGCACACTGAAAACAATTGGTGGCTTTTGTAATCAGTTTCTTTTAAATCAGTTTTATTCCCATGAAAATGCTTGCAAGGCCTACTGAATATATCGTTTTCAGGATCTGCACTACGCAACATTTAATAGTTTATGTGTACTTATTTATATCCGGGAGAATACCTATGCTACAAGTATATTAAATCTTTAAAAACTAGTTTCTTTTGTGATATACTTTGGTGGAGTTCGCTTTGAATTTTCGTATTGTTTTAAAATCGAATGAATGACCAAAGAGTTAGCTAGTAGTAGTAGTACTACCTTCGCTATCCTTCGCGGTTGTATTTTCTCCCTGTGCAGATCCCAGCTGCGAGATGCTTGCCACGTCCTCCCTGCGGCTCAGTCACTTTGGACTTTAATTGGTCCTTTGTGACTGCATTTGTCGACGCTTTCGCTCGGCGTCTTCGACGCAATTTGACTGCTGTCCTGGCGGCTGTGGCTTCCATCAACCCCAAAGCTCGGATTCTGATAAGGACGACGATATCAGCTGCCAGATTCCGGAGCTGCTGCCTCTTTATTGTTATTGTTATTATTTTGGGCCTTTTCATTCGTTCCACGCAGCTTACCCAGATTAGCTGGATGTTATTGTAGTTTACCCGGCCCCGAATTTATTGCTCTTTCCACCTCCTTCTTGCGTATTCCGGCCTCGTTGCTTCATTTGCCTCAAATCTAGCTGGGTGACTTGTGATTTCCCCTGCCCACCTTCCACTCGCCTTATTCTTTTTACTGCTAATAAGATTTTGGCCCTTCTAATGGCCTTGAGAATGAATGAGGCGAGCAGGGCGGAGAAAAGATGAAAATGTGGGGTGGCTAGCTCTGTTTTAATTGAGTTCGTGCCCTATTCAAATTGGCATAGAAATTAATTTCAATTAAGTTTCCAGTCTTTTCAAGGAGGTTGTGTCCCCTTGACAAGTTGTGAAGCATACTTCTTGGGGCCAAAAGGGGGTTAGCATTTTGGGGGAATCCTCTATCGACAGAACGTTTAAACTTGTGTGCTTCAAGTGCCTTTCGAAGTGAAAAATTTGTGTGCAAACTTTAAGTTTATCCGCTCTAAACATCAAACTCAGCCATACAGAATGCAACTTATTTTTGTGTCAGCTCCAGTTGGTAAAATCGCTGGTATTTACACAGCACCGGACAAGAACTAATAGTACAGTATGCTGGTGTATGGAGAAGCTGAATTAAGTTGTCATTTCCCAAGTATTCACAAAAATTGACCTGATATAGAAAAGGCCAACAATCAACTGAGTTCGATACTATTTTGGCTACCTCTGACATACATACATTTATGTACATACATAAAATCTTTGTTGACGCCACCAACTCGGTGGATTGTCCCAGAAAAAACCAACCAAAATTTAAAGTTTGCAAACGAACACAGAAAAACGAATCCTTTTTTGTCTACTCACGCTGCTGGGAAGGAGGAGAGAGAAACCAGGAACCGGAGGACGACACCTCCACAATGGGAGTCCTGCACCAGAGGACTCACCTGTGCGTCGACAAAGTGGTGAGTGACCTGTGCCAGGGATACTACGAGCAGGCTCTGAGGCGGATCAACGAGGGTCTGGAAGGCTTACAAGACCATGAGGAGATCATGGCGCTGCTGGAGCTAAAGAACATCCTCGTGAGACTGAGACTGAAGGGCGAGGCCCAGCGGACCATAGGCCCAACTCGCCAATCTGACGCCCTGCCCCACGGATTCACCCTCGAGATGCTGGACGTGGTGCAGAAGGTCCTGCGGTGCCGCAATCACTACGAGGTTCTGCGCGTCTCTCACCATGCCACCTACTCGGAGGTAAAGCGGGCCTACCACAAGCTGGCCCTGCGCCTCCATCCAGATAAGAATAAATCCCCTGGAGCTGAGCAGGCCTTTCGCCGCATCAGCGAGGCGGCTGACTGCCTCACGGACTGCCAAAAGAGGATTGAGTACAACATAGCAACGGCAGTGGGCGACTGCCACGACCAGGATCGCTCAGAGTACACGGATTATCGCGGGGAAAGCGGAATCGATGAGGCAGTTGAGTCCGATCTGGGAGCCGCTTTTCGCAGGCCTTATCAGGGGGCCAATCAGCGGATGCCCCAGCGGCAGTCGCTCTACCAAACAGAGCAACTCGTCATCGGAGTGGTGGCTGCTCTGGTTTTCCTCTTCGTCACCATGCACTACATCGCTGCCGCTCCTGCATACAGTTTCACGCCAACCAGGTGAGTTCTGGACTCACTCGGATGCTGAGACGGCTGTATACAGGCCCAATCTTCTTCAGAACCCACAGCTTTCGTCGGCTCAGTCAGACGAGGCATATCGCCTACTACATGAACCCGACCGATCTGTCCCAATACACAGAACAGCAGTTGGCCAAACTGGAAGCAGAAATCGAGGAGGTTTACATCTCGGACCTCACACAGAAGTGCAGGCAAGAGCGGAGTTTGAGTGAGGACTATAAAACTTTGTCCAGTACCAGGCACTTCAAATTACTTCTGCTTCCAGGGGATACTCTGTTTCTTAGGGCGAGACAGGGAAACAACCAGAAGTTACTCCAGCATGTCGGCCACATGCCCACTCCTGCCTGCCAGGCGTTACTCCAGCTGGGAAAGTCTGGTCACGGTCCACTGCTGCTGGAGAATGAGTCTTTGAAGGAGGTCTAGCAACTCTGGTACTCGGTAGTTTTTATTGATAGATGTATGGATAAGTGTAAATAAAGGCAGCTTACAAAAATATTCAAAGCTTTATTATATAGTTATTCTATTGTATATTGCGTTTGGGTAAATTTAATCGAAATGACTTATTAATTTTGCCATGCATTTGAACTTTGAGAAACGTAGACCAGCTCGCAGAAGCTATTAAGTATTTACGACCTAGTTATCCATGCAAAAGGAATCATTTGGTTGAATTCTACGGTTTCCATGGCTCCCATTTTCTGTGCCAGGCCTTTTCCTCCAACTTAACCCAGATTTGCCGAATTTTTCGTTGGCAACAGGCCCAAAAAGCAACAATACGAGTACAACTAAAACCGACATTAGCGTCGCAAGTTGCACATGAATCAAACATGCAACAATAAGTTTGCACTACTTTTTCTGATTTCTGTGCCGTTTGCCGTTTGCCATTTGCTATTTGCTATTTTTGTATGTGGCCAAAGTCGGTGAATCGTTTAATGGAGAAAATAAAATACCACAACGGACTGCAAATAAAACGCAGGCCATGGTGCCCAATCATACCCAGAAAAAAGGAAACACGAAAATGAAATAAAGCCATTGCCCCAGAAATTCAGGCGAATAAATGCCTCGAACGAATCCCGCTTCCGCAGCGCAAAGCTAACGAACTTGCCACGGAACTCGAACGGAATGGATGGATTGATGGCGGGATAGCTGGATGGCTGGATGGACGGATGGACGAGTGGCATACTCTGAATACCAACGAGTACCAGTTACCAAAGCAAACATTCGGAGGCACGCAAAAGGCGGTGGAGCAGCAACCGAGACGCATTAAGGCGCTGGTCTGGGCCACCTCCTGTCAGACGGAAGTGACGCTACTGTTGCCACTGCCACTGCACCTGTCCTCCTCCATCCCGCACCCCTGTCGAGCTGCCACTCCGCTGGGCGACGCGACTCTGCCACCTGTCCAATTGCATTCAGTCAGCTGCGTCGGACAAACAAATGCAACTTCCCCTTTACCTGCATATGCAGATGCATCCCGCAATATATATACCCATATTCCCTGGCTGCGTTTCGATTAAAAGGGCATATTGGGCTACTTATAGTATATCCGTACAAGTTTTTATAAGTTTTCAAGCTTGCATAAGACAGTTTGAACCAGACTTGATTTTATTCTTAATAATATGTTTTTAATTGGAAGTTCCATACTTCACTGCACTTCACTTTTGAAAAAGTGATACTACCCTACTGAAGGGTAACATTAACAGATAACTGAAATATCATTCGACATTTTCAACAAGTGAATAGGGAATTTGATAGTATACTATGTAAAAATAACTTAACCATTAGTTAGGTTAGTTACGTTAGCGTATCCCAAAGTCGTTGCTATTATGTTGCTGTACAATCTTATGTTGTACAACTTGCTTTAGAAAAATTGTTTTTTGTACCTTTTTCTTAGGGTACCTTTAGGTCGGGACACTCGAATGCAGCCAGTGCACTTGTGTTCTCTTTAGTTGGGGTTACGTTTCTAAGTGCAACTTGTCTGCGAGTTAGTGTGCTGTTTTTCAGGCTGCTTTGGCTGCTCTGTGTCCTTTGTTGCTGTTTCTATGCCAAATCGTGGATGCTGCCTCCGTTGATGATGTGGACGATGATGACGACGGTTGCCCGCCCGGCTGAAGGGTTCTCCTTGCTTTTTGTTTTACTTATTCATTATTTATGCTCCACAAAGTTTGTTGAATTGCTACCCCAGTCCACAATGTTGCCGTTGCTGTTGCTGTTGCCACCAACTGTCGCCAGTTGTCGAGCGGCGGAGTCTGGCCCTTGCCCTTCGTCCTGTGGCCCTCGTCCTGCTGGAATGCCTTATCGGAATGTACTTTCCAGCGTGTGTGCTTGGCGGCAGGGAAGGCCTGACTGAAATAATAATATTATGATAATGTTGGTCATATAAGGGTTCTGGCTGTATATCGAATATCTGAAATGGAAATTCAGCAAATAAATTATAAATCTCGGGGTTAAAATTCATTATGATTTAATAATACAACGTTTTTTTCATTCACACCCACTAATATCTAAAAACACCCCCTGAAAAGCTCAATTCCAATGCATTTATGCAGAATAAGTAAACCTAAACCTTCATCATCACAATACATTAAATCCCGATTGTTTTCCTTTTCATTTGTCCGTGACCAGGACTTATGTAAATTGTAGTCCATCCTGGGTCTTTTATAATCCGAGCCATCTGTTTGGGTGGCAAAAGGAAGCTTTAATGTGACACACGCTCCACGAGTTTTCCCGAACGTTTCCAATGGCTCAAAAACGGTTCGAACTGGAGATTCAAAGACACAAAAACGCTTTCTATTCTTGAATAAGGAAAGTTCTTTTGTGCCAGGCCACAAGCCCATAACTTGCTTTGAAAGCATTTGTCTTGACTTCGTCCAGCCAACGACGATAATCGAAATGGGCAATCAATTTTGCGGTTCTCAACTTAGACAGTGCAGGAAGGGGAAGGTGGATTGCGTGCTCCTTGAAATGGAACGGAATAGAATACATAGTATACCTACAATACCCAGTACCCTTTAAGTATTAAGTATACATAGAGAGACTCCTAATGAAATAAGTAAATTAGTTAAAAGCTAGGAACAAGTTAAAAGGCGGGCTGGAAGTAAGCAAACCAAACTTTATTTAAAATTAATGATTACTTTTCAACAAAGGCATGAGTTATTCGAAAACACAGAACAAGCCGACCCTTTAGATTGCTTAAATGACCAAAACTAATCAATCTCGATTCTCCACCGACTTCCGCAGCTGAAATCGACGAGTTGATTGAACAACTGAAGACGACCAGCGTCAGTGCGGCGAACACGACCAACTTGCTCTGCGAGATCTCGGCCACAAAGGATCCCAAACTCTTCGACAAGCATGAGCTGGCGGAGTGCTTCCTGGGCCTCACCAAGTGCGACGACACGAACGTGCGCAAGGAGGCGGCCAAGTGCATTGCGGAGATCACCAAGTCCGAGGTGCAGCGCAAGAAATTCACCAAGAGGAACATAATAGCCGCATTTCTGGAGTGTTTGCGCCACGTGCCCACGCCCGACGGCAGTATGGAGCTGCCCATACAGATATGTCGGGCTCTGGGTAACATTTGCTACTTGAACGACGAGGCCAGGGATTTAATTCTCGAGCTGGAGGGCGATGCTGTTCTGCTGCGACTGCTGGACATCACAACCATCGAGGATGCTACCAATGCGGCGCAGTTCATCAAAGTGCGTGGTGGTCTGTTGTCCAACTATCTTCTCGGAGGCGAGGGCCTGGCTAAGCGGGCTATGGAGCTGGGCGTGATGAAGAAGCTGCAAGGCATCATAGACATTGGCGCCTCCAATGTGGAACAGCATGAGGATCTGCTGCTGAACACGCTTCCACTTCTTAGTATACTCACCGAGAACGTGGCGGATCTGAACTTCGAATCCTCCCTGAACATCCAGCTGTCTCGCATTCTGGCCGCTTCCATAAATCCCGATCTTGCCGAGATGTGCCTGGAGCTGCTCCATTACCAGGCGGAGAGCGACGAGGTCAAGCTTATTTTGGCCAAGGACGGTCTGTGCGAAACCATCTACAACCTGCTGGAAAAGTACAAAACTCTGGCCAGCACAAGTGAGGCCAGAGCGCTGATGAAGCTCGCCTGCGAACTCATCGTATTAATCCTTACGGGTGGTAAGTTTCGGACCATATGATTGAAAATATCCCTAATTAAACCTGTTCCCTGTAAAGCCACATTTACAAACTAATTATTCCATAATTGTTCTAGATGACTCAATGCACTATTTGTACACCACGCCGTTGCTAAAGAACATGGTGGATTGGCTGGACTCGACGGACATCGATCTGCTAACCACCGGCGTGCTGGCCTTGGGCAACTTTGCGCGCACCGATAGCCACTGCATCTACTTTGTGGAGCAGCAGACCATGAACAAGCTGCTCGAAGTGCTGGCCAAGAACAACGGCGTCAAGGACGATGTACGCCTGCAGCACGCTCTGCTCTCCGCGCTGCGCAACCTGGTCATTCCGAAGCCCAACAAGAACGCGGTAATCCAGGCTGGCCTGGTACAGACTATTCTTCCCATGCTGGAAATACACCAGCCACCAGTCGTCTTCAAGCTGCTGGGCACGCTACGCATGACCGTCGACGGACAGGGTGAGTAGTGGCCATAACTGTATGCAGTCCGCATCTCTAGCAACATCTGCTTTTCCAGAGAAACTCGCACTGGAGCTGCTGAAGAACAAAACACTGATCGAGCAGCTGGTGCACTGGAGCAAATCGTCGGACTATGCGGGCGTCACCGGAGAGTCTTTGCGCCTCATGGCCTGGCTAATCAAGCACGCCTACCTCAGCAAAATCGCATACGCCCTGCCGCGCAAGGGCGATGCACCCGCCGAACAGATTGCCGACAAGATCCCACTTACCCAGGACTACGATCGCAGTAGCTTGAGCGAGTTCCTTGCCAACGAGGGAACCGTGGAGGCCATGGTCAGCATGCTCACGGCTCAGCACCTGGTGATGCAGAACGAGGCGCTGATTGCCCTGTGCATCCTGTCCGTGGTGTACCTCTCGCAGGCGAGCGAGGCGGCGCAGGCCCAGCGCCTGCAGGACGAGCTGGTCAAGTGCGAGGTCGGCAAGAAGCTGGCTGAGCTCATCAGCAAGTCGTCGGACACCATGACCAAGGAGATTGTCGAGAACCTGCAGAACTGCGTGAACTTGCTCAAGTCTTCAGAACAGCTGGTGGCGCATCTGGAACAGCATAACATCAACGAGCTGCTAAAGTCTATACCCATTCTCACCGAATACTGCACGTTGTAAGAAAAAAGGGGACTGTCATTGCATTTATCCCAGCACCGCAGGATGCCTCACAGTAGGATGGGTCGATTTGTAGGATTGAACAAAACATAAATACGTTAGGGGTAAGCAGTTATCTTTGGAAAATTCTGTTTATCCTACCATAAGAAACGCCAGTACTTAGTCGTAACAATACAGAAATGAATACCTTGCGTTAATGTCCTTAATTCCCCTTTACTACCTAAAAGCTTTTTTGTTAAATTGTAATAAAATCAGCTCAATTGAGATTCACTGACGTTGCATGATTTCAAATAGCCAAAGATAAATGTTTGCCACTATTAGTGCATGTTTTTGAAAAATCAGCCCACCCCCACCCACACAGACACACTCAAAACCGAAGAACATAGTAGTTTTCACCCTAAAGCAACGATTCAGATGTAGACTTGACTGTAGTTTCGTAAGAGGAAAGTGCAGATTCCAATGTCGAGCACAGTGGAACACGCGAGCACGAGAGGAGCAGAGTGTATTTTTTAGACGCAAGCGTATTTTGACTGCATTTATGAGGAGAATCCGATGTAGTGAGGGAGAATCACAAATCGTATGAATATTTATAACATACATAATATATACGTATAAATATAATAATTAATAATTTAGCATATTAATCTTTTCTGTTACATGATTTTTAAGAGCACAATAACAACAAATCGTGGTGATATCGCTAAATATATTTAATAAATGTATTGTATGATTGTACTTATAATTTTTAATCGAACTCTTTTAAACCGTTGCTGGCCCACACCAAAAACGAAAAGATAACAAAACATTTAGGCGCACAATGTAATTAAGGTATTTTAATTGGTGCACGAACACATATTGCAAACACCGTCTATTTATTGTAAAACTCGGCGAAGTTATCCAATGCATTTTTAAGCTAACTTTTAAACATTAACAAAACTGGAACTCAGTAACAATCAGCAATCCGAAAATAGTTGAAACTCAATAATGCAAATATTTCAATTTTACAAAGCGTAGTCGTGGAGTGCTACAAATTTTACCAATTATTATAAACGATGTACTAATGTTTGGTCACCAAAAACTATAAATTAAACGAGCACAATTCCAGAGCAATGGTGTTAATATATAAAGCGTTGAAACACCCACACACACCCGTAAATGCGAAAACATATTTATGAATTCTAAACACAATAATGTACATTTAATAATTCAAATAAAATTTGAAATGCATGAGAATAAGAGAAAAACAAATAAGTGCGTTTAAATTTCGGCGGCAAAAACGGGCTGCTATCGATATTTCGATGAGAATGCTGGTGATGGACTTCCTGGAGAAACCATGCAAATGTTTGTTTAATATAAAAAATGTAAATTGTTTTAAGATAATGTGTCAGCATGACACATGTATATATTATTCAATTGAATTGTCGCATTATTTTGATATTTTATCATTGGTGCATGACGACTCAGCTTTTACCATCTCTAAGTGGGCCAAAAAACATTCCAATTTCTCTGCTGCGATTTCACTTTCACAAAACAAATTACGGCTGCCCAAGGTAAATAAACAACAAACAAAAGGAGCAGCTGAAGCAGGTGTAGGCTATCAAATTACCCAGTTTCCATAACTTTTGCTATGGCGACGGAAAAGAGTGCAGATTTTGGGGACTCCTCAACGGCGTCCTTGAAAATTGTGCCAAAGGACTATGCATATCCACTTCTAGAGGATCCGCAAGGCGCGCTAGCCACGCCCACTGAGGGCGGGCGGACGCTGGTTACCCGCGGCGCCTTCAACTACTTCCACTACGGATGCGATGGCCACCAGGATGCTGGCTGGGGTTGTGGCTACCGCACCCTGCAATCGGCCATTTCCTGGATCCAGCGTCGACGGGGCTTAAGCGGTCATGTGCCTTCCATACGGGAGATCCAGCAGATCCTGGTGGCCCTCGGCGATAAGGGTCCGCAGTTCGAGGGCTCGCGCGACTGGATCGGCACGCTCGAGGAGTTCTACGTGATCGATGTGCTGCACCAGGTGCCCTGCAAGATTCTTCACGCAAAGGTGCTCATCTCGGGTGAGATCCTCGACCAGCTTCGCAGCTATTTCGAGAAGTACCAAGGCTTCATCGCCATGGGTGGACTGAGTGACACCGCCTCCAAGGCCATAACCGGCTACCATTGCAGTGCACAAGGTCGCATCTTCTTGCAGGTGGTGGTGAGTCAGCGGACTACATCATTTTCTGAACTGGTGCACTCATCACTCGCTTTCCTTTTTAGGATCCACATTTCGTAGGCGTGCCCAGCTCCCGGCAGCAGTTAATAGATCAGGGCTACGTCCGTTGGGTGCCCGTTGATGAGTTCCCCGCCAGCACGTACAACCTCTGCCTCATCCTGCAGCCGTAGTAGCAACTCTCCGTGCCTATTTCAGAAATAAATCCCTCTTAGCTCTTGATTACCATTAGTTATTGCAAGTTGCCTTATAGCCACGTTTCTTTTCCATTTTAGCGGCCGCTACTCGATGGACTTTATCAATTATTAAATCGAACCGCACGATAATGGCGCTGATAAGCCAGCGACATTGAGCCACAGAACGGCGACAAGCAGCTACTCCCAGCTGTTAAACATACCAAGCAGCGCGAACATATTGCAAAAGCCGAAAAAGACAGCTGAGTGAGCATGGATCTAATGCACCGCGCGCTGCTCACCGCCTTGGGTGCGCTGTCCGTGTTCTACGCCCTGGTCAAGATCAGCCTGGGCTACTGGAAGCGGCGGGGGATCCTGCACGAAAAGCCCAAGTTCCTGTGGGGCAACATCAAGGGCGTGGTGAGCGGGAAGAGGCATGCCCAGGACGCCTTGCTAGATATCTACACCGCATACAAGGGCAGGGCGCCGTTTGTAGGATTCTACGCCTGCCTGAAGCCGTTCATCTTGGCGCTTGACCTGAAGCTAGTCCACCAAATAATATTCACCGACGCGGGACACTTTACCTCCCGAGGCCTTTATAGCAATCCCAGTGGAGAACCGCTGTCGGATAATCTCCTTCAGCAGGACGGTCACAGATGGCGGTCAATGCACGCCAAGTCTGCAGAGGTTTTCACAGCGGCCAACATGCAGAAGCTCCTGGTCCGACTGTCGCAAATTTCCTCCAGAATTCAAAGGGATCTGGGCGAAAAAAACCTTCAAACTCTCAATATAAGCGAACTCGTCGGTGCCTACAATACAGAAGTCATGGCGTCCATGGCCTTTGGACTAGTAGGCGAGGATAACGTGGAATTCGCCAAGTGGACACGCAACTACTGGGCGGACTTCAAGCTGTGGCGGGCTTACCTGGCGCTGGAGTTCCCGTTCATCGCTCGGCTCCTACAGTACAAGAGCTACGCAGAACCTGCTACAGCTTACTTTCAAAAGGTGGCCCTGTCGCAGTTGCAGGAGCATCGAAGGAGGGATCGCCAGCCACTGCAGACTTTCCTCCAGCTATATTCCAACGCAGAAAAGCCGCTAGCCGACGTCGCGATTGCCGCCCAGGCCTTTGGTTTCGTTCTGGCTGGTTTGAGTCCCCTGAATGCCACCCTGGCATTCTGCCTCTACGAGTTGGCCCGCCAACCCGAGCTGCAGGATCGAACCCGGCTCGAGATAAATAAGACACTGGCGCAGCATAGTGGTCAAGTGACACCGGAGTGCCTAAGGGAGCTCAGGCTTACGAAGCAAGTCCTGAATGGTACGTGCCCAGAACGGGTAAATGAAGTAATGCAAAGCACTCTATCTATTTCTATATTATATCAGTCGTATAACTATTGCAATACGAAGCTGCATTACTGTACAGTTTACATTCAATCCTCCACAGTAATGGATCGCTCTGATGACTTTACGTCCTTTTCAGAAACGCTTCGCCTGCACACGCCACATCCCTTCCTACTGCGCCGGGCTACCAAAGAATTCGAAGTGCCCGGATCGGTGTTTGTAATTGCCAAGGGCAACAATGTGCTGATTCCCACGGCGGCTATACACAGAGATCCTGCAATATATGAGAATCCCGAGCAGTTCTGTCCGGAGCGGTTTGAAGAAGAGGCTAAGCGATCGCGCCCGGCAACCGCGTTCCTGCCTTTCGGTGATGGCTTGCGGGGATGCATTGCAGCTCGCTTCGCAGAACAGCAGCTACTGGTGGGTCTGGTGGCTCTGCTGAGGATGCACAGATATGCTCCCACTGCGGAAACCACGATTCCCGTGGAGTACGACAACCGACGACTGTTCTTGATGCCCAAATCGGACATCAAACTTAGTGTGGAACGGGTGGAATAGCTTTAGAGGAGGCTGCTGTTTGAGCATCGCCTATTTTGTATTGTTTGCTTTACAAAGCGTTTTAGTTGTTTTTATATTTGTATATGCACCAATTTCGTTGATTTCCCTAAGCTGTGGACTTGTGTGATAATGCTGACGATGACTTTTATAATCCTTTGCACCAAGCTCAACAACGTGAACAAATAAATACCCTAGAGAGACTATTGTAAAAGGTTCCTTAAAGTTCCCATTTTTTATTTCTAAATTTATTAGGCTTCTTATGTTGCTAGATAATCATTGAGAAAGTGGATTCGATCATAATGAACTTTGGAACTACGTTGCTCTAAAAGTCATTCAATCTTTTTATAACAGAAACGGTATTTAGTTTTATATGTTTTTAGTGTTGGTTTTTGAAAACATCATGAAACCCGCCAAAATGTGTGCACATACATATGTCATTTTAAAGGTTCAGATGTTAGGTAACATTTCCGATTCACAGAATCGGTTAACATTTCTGACTCTTCTTTACAGCTAGTGAGACCTCGCTGCCAAGTGATTTTCTTTGGCTATGGTCGCACTGCAGACGCGCAATTTCGGAACTGTAAGCGATGGCCACACTGACGCAGACACTCGACTCTCGAACGAATCGGTCGCGGTTGTTTTACGGTTTTTTGTTTGTCTATAAGAAAGCCCTTTCGCAGCGAAGGAAACCGAAAATGCGCTTGGAAAGTCAGTCGTAGGCGGGGCGAAAATAGCTGTTGCAGCGGCACGATTCTAACTGTTTTCTGGCCGGGAGAGGAGTGCGCGAACCAATTAGAAGTGCAGTTCAGAATGCGAGCGGAGAAAAGTGTCGGATTCGGTGCGAAAATCCGCGAATAATTGTATGCGATTTCCCGAGGAAAACGGAAAATAAAGCGTCTGTCTGCCAGCCCACTGTGTGTATGTGTGTGTACGTGCGTCTGTGAGTGTATAACATTACAAAAAACAAAACAACAACAGCAGCAACAACAAGGCAGTCAGGATCAACGGTTCTTCGGGGTAGTTTGTTTGAGTTTGAACAAAGCAAAGCAAAGCAAACGCAAAAGCAGAGCAAAGCACACGAAACTGGGTGGGAGAGAGAGAGAGAGAGCAAATAGAGGGGGATAACGGGAAAATACACCCCACACACACTCACACCCGCTTCTAACCTTTGTGTGCGCTTTTGCCGCCTGGAAATGCAATGCTACAACAACAACATCACCGGGACATGATGGGTTGCAGGCGTGCAAGCAACAACAACATCGCTAACATCGCTTAATTGTCTGCAGCATCGTTGGTCGAAAAATCAAGCAAACGATAGCATTAAGTCGCCCTGAGATATTTGCCAGTCGGAAGTGCACTGTAAGTATCCTTCAAGGGTGCTCGTGAGAAGAACAACAGCAAGAATCGAGTGTGGAGTGTGGAGTGGGCTAATAATGCCAATTACTGGGGTTGTGAGAGGGGCGAAGAGCGCTAGTTATGGGAAAGAGGGGAGGGCGTTCAAGCTGCAGTTGACCAACAACAAGCTTGGACCGATTCCATTCCAGTGGAAACCAGGTCCAAGGACTTCCAGTGCCCATTCCAGGCGGTCGTGAGAACAGAAAACTCCTTTCACGGCCAATCCAAACAGGATTGTTATACACGTTAAAAAAAGAGGAGTTTTATAAAATCTTCAAATATTAAATGTATTTTAGAATATATTTATTTTATAATAATTGTATTGAGCAAAAAACAATATTTTGATAACGAAATCAACTACGAATAGTTGCAGTAGTTTCTTAATTCATATGATTAGAATAAGCATGCAGTCAAACTTGAATTCAAACCACATAGATATGTACAATCAGTGATTTTTGCAAATTGTGCCAAATAAGTGCTAGTGAAGTGTCTTTGCTGCGGCCCACGAAATTCATGCGAGATTAATTATGCAATTCAGCCACTGCCATTAAGTTTTCTCTGTGCACAACTCCCCTTTTGAAGTGGCGCGGTAATTGCGCAAGTGCAGGGACTTCTCTTCGGACTGTTACCTGAATTCGTTTTATCTGAAAGAGGTAATTTTTTCAGATTCCGGCTGGGTTGTCTTTTCGTGGGGTGTCTTTGTGTTCCTTTGAACTCGTAATCGCAACAGGAACCGGAGCAGCACGTTGACACCCATGGTGCGGACTAAACGCTCGAAAGCTGAGTTCCCATTCCCGGCTCTGTTATCGCACGTCTCGTTTTCTTTGCATACCTTTCAAACGACTTTTGTGTTCGCCGTCAAACGGAGCAGATAAGCGTAATTATTAAAATATTGTGCCCGAGGTTTGTTTACGTCCCGCGACTGTTTTCTCGCGGATTTGTCTAAACAAATTATGCATAACTTTCGAGCAACGGCGTCTGGAAAGTCGGGCGCTGCATTCGCCAAGTCGCTATATCGTACATACATATGTACGTACAAACTATATGTTGCTTAGACCCAAAGTAGTACTCAAATTCGAAAGGATGCCTTGGGTTATCTGATTCGCGCGGAGTAACCCAATCCGCAAACCATCCAACTGCCGCACCTGTGCAATTGCCAAAAGCGAGAGAATCCAAAACAGCAGAGGGGCTAAGAAAGAAAGATAAAATTAGCCACAAACAGCTGTCGGCCATTTGGAAGAAACTTGCTCCTGCACTGAGAAAAAAGCTACTATCTCGGCCCTGATATTAGGATCGCTTGGAGAAAAGGGCACGTTTTGCAGGGAAAGCATTATTCGCTAAACAAATTACAAGAAATTGAACATGAATATAAAATTAGAGTAGAGAATAAACAAAATACACGGAATAAATAGTCTGAACAGTTCGTATTTGTGAGGGTTATTTTTTTCGGTGATCTTACACCGCTTATATAAACAGAAACCAGGCACTTGCGTCTTAATAAAATGCAAACAGAAATGCACAAAAGGAGAAAAACAAATACCAGTGAATATAAATAAATATTGTGTCCTATGCAGAAAGGCCGCTCCACTTGACCAACCCCCACCCCCTTTGCATAGAAACAACACCATTGGTTCGCAAGCACGAGAACATGGCCAAAACAAAGGAAACACGTTAACTGTTAGTTGGGCACATTTGCTTATCTCCTGCTGCCCACCGATGGTTTTGGAAAAAATTAATAACATTTTGAATGTTCTTTAGCGTATGTCCGAATTATTATTGTATCTGGTTTACCACTAAATGTCAAAATATTTGATACACATTCATGAAACCATTATACTTGCGTTTCGGAACCGCTGTTCCTCTTTATAGGTATGTCAATATAATGCGACAACTGTTTTCAATTGGTAAACAAGAAAAAACGGCTGAAAACTTGTAAAACTTTTGACTCACTTTGCCTGAATGTCTGCATTTGTTTAGCATGCTGCTGCTGCAATTCGAGTTTTTCGCTGCCCACTCACAAAAATATTTTCGTTTTCTTTTGATTGGTGAACTGCATGGGCGTTCCTTGTTGTGTGAATGAATCTGAGTTTGAATGAGTCCGCGACTCGAGACTGCTGGATCGCCCACTCGAGTGGAATCTTTCGTAACCACTTTCGATTTTTTGGGGTTCGTCCTAATGAAAATCGTGTCTAATCCAACCCGAGATTGGCCTCAAGCGGTTTCACTTGGGGTGGGTTGCGTGCGGTGAATTGCGCTGGAAGAGAACGTGGAGCTCATTAAAAAGTATAAAACTTTATCGCTGCCCTGGGTGAAAATGTCAAGGGTTGAGGCCTGCGAGAAGCGACACTAAAATGTATTTCCTTCAATTCTCGTTTCTTTTCCGCGACTGTGTGTATTAGTTATGGCGGGGCTGGAAAATTAGCAAAACCAAGATGCCTGTGGAATTCCTCGGCCCGCCTGAGCAACTGGCCTTTTCTTATGCAAGAAAAACAAAAGCTGGGAAAAACTTTTCACGCTAACGAGACTGGAAAGGCCGGAGAAAGGCAGAGAAATCCCCTTTGCTGATGGCCACAAAGCTGTCATGAGGAAGCAGAACAAAACGTGCTGATGGAACCAGCAAACAAGAACATAACAAACATGACAAAGTACGGAGTAACATGTGCCGGCTAACGGCACTCCGGTTAATCATTAATAACCATTGGCCATGGCCAAAACGCCCAGAAAACCGGCAAGAGAGCGGGTGTGGTTCTGGTGTTAATGATAGACAATGTCCGGGCCTTTGTTCAAATTAGTAAATGCAAATTTACCCACCTTAACATTGGGTTGTTGAGAATTTCCGTACTCTAATGAGTTGAGAGCAAGTTGGGAACAATGAATCGGTTTAAAAGATTAAAAACGCTGACAAAACAGCTCTATAATTGCGTGAACACTTTAAATAAAACTTAAAGAAAAGCAAATAGAAGCAAATGTTATACATTTCTTCTTGACTAATCGCAATGCGTTTTCTTTTCAATTAAATTATCCTGAAAATCTTTAAAGTAGGCTACTCCTACACCTACAATAAGCTAGTCAAACACTGTTTTATTCAAATGACTAATTCGCTGAATTTTGTGTGGAATTGCGCTGGAAAAGAAACACCACACCGAAATGTTCGCCAATGGGTCATGTTGTGTATCTCGACTTTATTTTCGTTTCGGCTGCCTTGCCATGTGTAAACATATAATTTTATGCACAAATCGATTAAACGCCGCTAAATGCCGAAAGTCTATTTCGGGCGGGCAGTTGTGTTTACAGATTTGTGGGCGTTTGCGTTGCGAAATGGGTTTTGTGTTCCACATTCTCCCGAATTTCAGTTTCTTTGGGCAGTTTCAGCTGCCTGATAACTTCCGATCGATACCCATCGATTTTCACATTCGTGGCCAAAACAAACGCGTGTTTACAGTGCTACTGATTAGATAGTGAAGCCTATCAAGCTGGGATGGCTATCAACTTCAATTATCGATGAATTGGCCTATTTTACAGCGTGTTGAATGCGCAGCCCGCGAGTTATTCAATTAAATTCATATCAAAGTAGCCTAAGGAATGAAATAGGCAGATATTTCCCAAGGCTTGCTCGCAAACATAAACACTGAGTGTTTTCCTTTTCGCTATATTTTATTCATAGAAAATTTGGGTTAATGACGTGCCATACGCGTCACTGGGTGTGGCAGGGGGAGGTGGGCGGGGCGGCAGTTGGGGGAGAGAGCTAAAGCAGATGCCCTCACAAACACAAATCCCAGAAACATCAAATAGAAAATGCAGTGCAAAGCACAGATGACGCTAAAGATAGAAACCCATAGATAAACATAAATGTTTGAGCGCATGTGTGTTTCTGTGTTTCAGCTGGTGACGTTGTCGATTCCGTTCATATAAAACTTGATCTTTTGATTATCATCGTTTTATGCGTTCTTTTCGCTTTTCTTTTCATCGCGCGACCACTCGACACATTTCATTCGATGATCGGCGCTTTCCTAACCCCGGATCAGAGGAACCAGACCCCCTTCTCAAGATGAGAGATCCCGAACCCCAGGCCACCAGGCCCCCAGACCAAGATCAGACCAAGGGCCGAGACATCTCGACACTTGGCTGACCACAGATGGCCGCAGTTGTTGGTGTCAAGTTGTTGATACTCGTAGTTGTTGGTGAAAGTGTAAAGTCATGACGGGCCGTCCGCTGCTGATGCTGATGTTCAATTTGCCGGCCACAACGTATCGCTTTACTTACAAATTACAAGACATAAATCCGCTAAAAGCCAACCTGACATTGAAGATTTTCACCCGCACCCGCACTTCACTTTTCCAAGTATACAAATCCCCAAGGCAGCTGTAAAATTATTTCTTTTACGAAATCCCAACCAGAACTTATGGGACAACAAGCCTAAGAAAAACAGAACATCATAGGCCGAGTGGATAGGAAAGTCGTTGGCAGTGCATTAAAGTGGTGGGCTGGAAATTAGAACTTTGAGATCTATTTTCAGGCCGTTCAATCTTTCTGTTTTCTTTGCGTGAATTGATTAAACACAGAGTTTTTTTCTGAAATAGATTTTTAGAAATAATTCTATAGATCTATAAAATTCTAATAGATCTTTTCTTAAATTTATAATAAAGATACAGGAAATTTCATTTGAAGAAGTACAAATCTGTTCGTATAGTTCATTGTTCATGTTCTCTTAATGCATAAGTTATCAGTAATTATTTTAGAAGTGCTGAGGAAATGGTTTCAAAAAGAATTAATGAGTCATTATGCTACGCGGTGGGTACGCTCAAGAGTATAAGTACTCCCTAGTTCTGGCTTAGTCCCCAGAGTTATTGCTGCAACACGTTGTTGGTCCACCCTAATACTGTTCATCTGCATTTACGCACAGCAACGCCATGTCCAAAGGGGGAAATGCAAATGGGACAGAAATGGCGGTGCGTGTGCTCACATCTTTGGTAAGCAATTAACGGCAGCAACTCTGTGTGTCTGTCGCCCTTGAGAAAAGTGTGTGCCACACTTGCCTCCTCTGCTTTCCGTTCCGTCAGTCAAGTCACTTCCTGCAATAGAAATCCAGACAACATGCAACATAAATGGGGTACAGACGGGTACAGATGCGGTCAAGACAATAGAACAGCGCTAATAGGTCACTTTTGGTTAGTTGGCTATACTTACATCTTGTACTTTAGCATACCCAAAATTGATAATCAAACGCTGAAGTTTAATAAATTAAAAAAAGTGAATTCTATTTAAAATATTTATTTTATGGGTTAGACCAACAAATAGTGATATTGGTTTTAGCTTATCTAAAAATCTCATGGATGCTCATGACTGCTCTTTTTTTGACAACATGTCCATAGATAGACATCTTTTGTAACACGTTTCTTAAGCATTTGATTTAAAAGTAATACAAATATGTTCATTAGTGTCTGACCTTTTAATGTGATCTCTTCTATAGCGAACGAACTTACGATTCCCTGGCTGGTGCGCTCCAACTTCCTCCCCATTTCAACCAGAGCAGCCTCCGTTTATTTCAACAGAAACCTCAGAGATAGAACCGCAGATATAGAGCCGCACAGAGAACGGCAGTTAATAGGGCGGAAAATATGCGTTGTTTAAACTAAAACGCATGCAGCATAATCATCAGGCGCAGGAAAAACACCACAGCGTCATCTTCTTGACATTTGAGGGAGTATTGATGCGGGTTCCCTTTGAAGCAAGATGCCCCGCTTCCACCATCAACTTCCCCTTACACAATATGCCCCATTTGCCATGGTTGGGCCGGGAAAAATGTTTTGCTCTTCTTCTGGGGCTACTTTGCGAAATTGTCGTTTTCCTGCTTTTGTTTTTATAGCACGATTTGGCAATTTGGACTTTGGCTACTGCCAAAACAGATTTCCCGATCGCATCACGATCTGCAGGCCTGACCTTAGGCTCGTTTTGTGGCCCATGCTCTCAGCGAATTTCCCAAGCCCGCAATCACGAGTTCATCTCTATGCTGAGAAAAGCTCCTATTTCCGCCGCATAAGTAGCGTAGACTCGATATGAGCATGCACTACTTGTCCAACCAGTTTGGGCTTATGATTTAAATGCAGCCGGTTAACTGGGTCAATGTTTCGTGTATATATGCCCGACTATATGCCTCTTAAACCAGATTTAACGCACTCCATTGCCGAAAACAACAACAAATTATTTCCGCACTGCAAAGGAAACTGCAACTCTGCGGCAGCAACAGCACCAACAACACCAACAACACCAACAACACCAACAACACCAACAACGGCGACAACAAAGCGGGCCTGTCATCGTTTGCGTTGTGGCCACAATTTTATCTCGAGAGGTCATTTACACTATTTAGCTAAAAAGAAGCGAGGGAAGAAAAGAGAGGCAGCAGAAAGTCCACTTGTACTTCCACGATGTTTGTAAGAATGTGCGTCACTCTGTTTCGCTGCCAGTTTGGTATGACCCGTCTAGATACCCCGTACTTATAGGGCATCTATCTAAAAGAAACCAACCAATCTGACTGTTTTAAGATGTCTAGCTTAAGCCATTTAGTAGTGCATTAAATCAGTGCAGTTTTGTTTTTCTGATCGATTGGATTTTCTTTTAAATTTACCTTGTATATTTTAAAAATTGATATAGTACCTTGGTTTTTCTATGGCTATGTTGCTGACAGAAGTCCAGTATATGTACTGTACTGTGATCAGTACTCGAACCTAATTTGTTGAAGGTTCATATAGGAAGAAGTTTGTGTTCGTTACGTACCGAATGCTGTTATTCCACTAATAGTAATCTCTTAGTCGGAAAACTGTTTCGCTGTCCTGCTTGTCCGACAAGCTAGCACTTTGATGCTTTCTTCTGCGTTTCACGCAGACATAGACGAAAGATACGCAGTCTGGGCAATCAGCTCTCGTTGTTGCGTCTGTTTATCACTGGGCTTTGCTTCCTCCACGCTTGAGTGTCTATTGTGAACGCTTTCTGAGTGCAACAGAGTTGCACAGACGTACATACAAAGAGACGAACAAGCACTTGTACCCAAATAACTTCCATTGGAGTTGCCGTCAATGTCGCAATCAGCCGAAAAAGAACTGAGTTGAAGAGATACGGCCTTAAAAGCCGACTGGAGATCCGAGCAGCGCTTTGGCCAGTTCCTCCCGGTCGAAGGTTATTGCTCGAGTGGAAGTACCTGCATATGAAACGCCTCTAATTGCTTCCAAGGCTGGCTGGCGTTAGATTTCTCTACTTATCTGCACTGAAAGCGCCATGGAATTAGTCACGTATAGCGAACCCACAAATGGGTCAAAACTATTGCACTATTGCACTTCCCGCATGGGAGTCGTTTACATGGGTCTCAGGTCCGGAGTTTCGATTGCAAGCCCGTAAATTGTGTACGCCACTTCCTGTACTTCGTTGGAAGACATATCAATTATCAATTAATAATTAGCAATTTGCCTCGCTGCATGAACAATAAATCAAAGAGTCATATCAGCAGGAGCCACACTCACGCACTTAATTTGGGTCAACGATCCCCAAATAAAGTTTTATAATGTGCCTACGCCAGCAGGGAACTCCCACTCTCCATCGCGTAGTCGTATATTAATAAGCCTAATTAAGCATAATTTCTTGTTTGGAAAGACGCTAGTTTACATTCGTGATTATTTACGAGAGTCGTATGGTGCGACGAATTTTAGAGACTTACGCGGGATGAGACAGATTTCGATCGGAAGTGTGTGTAAATCTGTTTGTAAAGCGTGGTTATTTATAAATAAATATGTTTCCCTCTTTCCAGATCACAAGGAAATCACAAGGAAATACTGAAATAGCTTGTACTTTCCCTTCAAAATGAAAGATAATAAATAATCAAACGTAAAAGTCACCCCAGTAAACTGATACCGAGTAATTGAACGACGAACGAAACCAATCGACATCCCTACCAAACCAGCTAACTCTAAGAAACATGGATCTAAGTCTGGAACGCGATAGCTCCGCGCTGGGTAGTCTGTTTCAGCAGATTATCAATGACATGAAGGTGAGTCTTTCACTTGTTATTCTACAGTTTCTGCGGAAGTGCAATGTAACTTTACACACGAACCCCGAAACTGAATGTTCCAGGAACTTTGAAACATTTTGGGGAAGCATGTATACATATGTATGTATATACTTGATCACGGGGTCAGTCTTCATTTAGCAGAAAAGCCACATGTCTCAATTGCTTGTCAGTGTGTCAAGAACTTAGAATTGGTATGAAATTCGCTCGTGTATAAACAAAAGGCTGAAGCAGATAAAGATGAAGAAATTTGATCAGCCAAGGCCGGAACAAATATACAAAAGCCCAATTAAGTTATGGTACAAAGCGATAAATAAATGCAAAATAAATGATTTCCTCTAGTTTAACAACAAAAACTGCTTAGTTTTTCGTATCTCTTCTAATTGATTGAATGGCAAGCAATAAAACTGCCAAATGGAATCCATGAAAGTCACAAAAAAATGCTCGGCATTTTTCGCATGTATCTACAGCCGTGTCGAAACACAAAACTTTATTCCGCGAACTTTTTGTTGATTTTATTTATCAATAATTGATTTCATTGCTATCTGTCCAGTGTGTGGTATCATTAATTTATGGCTTCCATGACGCCATTTGAGGCAACTTACTTTCAAACAAAATGTTTATTGCGCTTATATAATGGCGAGCCAGACAATTTCATTTAACAAGCGTAAATTAACGCCGGGCGCTCGGTGTCTCGGAGTGGGCAAATCGTTATCGCTGGCTAAGCCTCTTGGCAGAGAATTAATGGAACGGGCTCCCCAAATCTAACATATTGATATAGGATGTTATGTGACAAATGACTTAAAGGCACGAATTAAAGGCAGGTATAACACTAACTTCCTTCTTATTTCCACTTTTTGGCTTACATTCCATTTGTATAACAATCGGAAGAAACGCACTTGAATATTGTCGGTGGCATTTTTGAATCGGACGTACCTTTTCAACACTATTGCTATCGTAATTCTATTGCTATCACTATTCTATCACTTGAATATTGAGTCATATCTTGAAAACTTTAAATGAACTTGTGTCCGAAGCTCTTAAGTCTTTTCCTTGGCTGCCAGCGCATTCTTAGTTTGTGATTTTAAATCTCCCGTCGCTTTTGCTTCATTTGCTATGCCGAGGAAAATTACATTTTCAGCACATTGTGATTGGAGTTCTCCCGCCAGCTGCTCGCAGTCGTCCCATGGACGGACGGACAGGTGTTGGAATTCACTGTGTCTTGGGTCTGTCGGCGGCATAGTACCGAAATAAACTGTCGACGGGCAAAGGAGAGATGAATCGCGCCGCCGTCCCGCCCGCAGCTCACTAATAATAGGAAAATGCAAGGCAACTTCCCCCGGGGAGTGTGAGCCGAACTCTGGAGGCAGAAGACTGCTGTCAGATGCGGGCTATTGCATTTTGTATTTATGAAATTTGGAAATTGTTCGGCACGCAATTGTGCAGAAGTTGCTGCTCTTTTTCTGTGTTTTCCAACCTGAGTGTGAACTAGAGCAGAAACACATACTCGTACCGCCGCAGCATGTGCAATATGAATGGCTACATGGCCACATACTCGTACATTCGTCTGTGCTCGGATCACCTTACCAGGTAATTCTTGCTGCCTTGCCATGGTCTGATTTTGGCCTGATTCATGGCAAGAGATTGCTGGCGTTGTTGCTTTGTGGGCAGATCCGCTGGCCAACTTTTGCTAAGCCGGCAAATGCCATTGCAAATGTCACAAAGCTGTACAAGATGCAAATGAGCCGCCGGAGAGAGCGGACAGCATTTACCCCCGGTGTTTGCTAAAAGGTTAAGTCGAAAGGCAGAAGGCTGTGCAGTAGCACAGACACTAAAATTAGCTTCGTTTTAATTGCTTGGCTGCCTCCCCGTCTGACTTTGCTTTTTCTACCATTCTTATTTTTTGGCAACAGACCCGAACAAATTTATGCCCATGCCGAGGCAGAAACAGAGACTTGTTTGAGGCTGCCGCAATTCAATAAGCGTAAAGCCTTACAATATTTGCTAATTTCATTCTGAAATAGTTTTTCCTAACGGGATACCCGCAGTTAGCCGGCAACTAAATGCGGCTAATTCCCAAGTTTATCCACGCATGTGGACTGGAATCGAAAAATGAACAATTGAGTAAACTTAAAGGTTGTTAACTTTACCCAACCGCTTCGCTCCGTTGGCTGCATTTTGGGCCAAGTGTGGCAAGTGTGTGGGATGGAGATACCAAGCTGCACCACTCCATCATACGTCGAGTAATAGCCGGATAAGCAGACAAATTGTCACATTTTACAATAGGAAATCTCAGCTGCGCCATCATCGGATGGTAACCGAAGACGGTAAAAAAAACGCACTGCAGTTTTCGTTATGAGTTTTCCGCAAAAGTGAAATTTTTCTGCTCTCTGAACCCAGCTGAACTGAGCTGAACGTGTCGCTTTCTTCACTTTTGCGGCTTCCACCCTGTGGCCCTGCAACAATTGCCGAGTCTTTAATTTGCTTACGTTGTCCGGCCGGACTATCAAACAACTCTGATGTTGTTAAGCTTAAAATAATTTCATTAGCTTTGTGTTACCTTGCAAGATAATGTATGCTCAGTGAAAAAACTGGTGTTACATGATATTCTAGTTATTGTATATGTTTTATGAGCGGTGCACTAAACAAAGATCTATAAACATTGAAATAAATGGATCTTGCTTTCGCAAGCCGCAGTCTAATACGCTTGCGAGTTTTTCCAATTAAAAATACTCTTAAAAGTACAATTAACATAATTCTTCCCAACGATTAACGAAGCTCTTATTCAGCGTTTCTATGTTACTAGAAATCATAAAAGTCCCATCATCTTTTAGCAAGTATTTGTATATTTTAATGTAACTAGATAGAATGCTATAGTCGAGTTCCGCGATTATCAGATACCCCTTACTCAGCTAGTGGAAGTTCGAACGAGACATTTCTTAATTTTCTGGATATTGGTAGGAATGGCGTAAAAAACATTAAAAAATAATTAAATTTGCGGGTGGTAGAGTTGGCGTGGCAAATAAAAATGAAAAAATATCAAAAAAAATTTCAAAAATGTGGGCGTGACAGTTTTGGTCGGTTTCTGGGCGTTCGAGTGGGCGTAGCAAACTTTTAACAAACTTTCGCTGCGGCTATGTCTCTGGATTCTGCACGCCTAATCTCAACTTTCTAGCTTCCATAGTTTAAAAGATCTCGATGTTCATACGGACGGACAGACGGACGGACGGACAGGTCAGATCGACTCGGTTATTGATCCTGATCAAGAATATAGTTACTTTATATGGTCGGAAACACATCCTTTTTGCCAGTTACATACTTTTCAACGAATATAGTATACCCTTTTACTCTACGAGTAACGGGTATACAAATGGAATATTTTATTGTTGATTATTTTTTACTTTTGTTACATAAAATATTTTGAAAATTTACCTGTAAGGACAAATTAGATAAAAAATAGAATTTGAATGACCAACAGAAAAAGCTTGCTACATAACGATTTTTATAGTGGCCATAGTCAATTATTATTTCGCACAAATACTGTTTTTGCATTTATAAGCTACAAAAGTAAGAAAAAGGTACACCAGGCCGTATATGGTCATGAAGCTGGCTCCCAGAAAGAGGCCAATGGCTCCACCAAACGACATTATCAACTGATCCGTGCTGAATACAACCCGCCGGTTTATACCCATCTTCGAAATGTGCAGCTTGACGATCAGCGTCCGCTCGAACTTCTCGCCGGAGTAGTTCACATCACCCTGAAGAGAAGGGTACATTGGATTAATTGGATTTTGGATTTAGGGATACAACTCTCCTTCACTTACCCCAGCCTGCTTATCGACTTTGAAGATGTTAAAGGTTCCCTCCCGGCACGACGGAAAGCAATGGCATGGTCTTTCAAGCCACTTGGAACGGGCTAGGCAGAGCATTCCAGATACTTTGCAGACCGGAGCTTCGGGTGCTGCTACATAGAAATATGGCTTGCAGTTGCATAGGCTCAATGCCCACTTGATTCGGCACTCCAGTCTGCAAAGACTCGGGTGATAGGGCTACAAGGATTTTTTCTTTTTTGATTGTGCGCATTTGGTAAAGGTCTTGAACTCACACTGTAATACTGCAGATTGTTTTCGTTACTGTAGCGACACTTGCGATATGCCAATGGTAGATTTCGCACCTCACTTTCCGCCGATGTGGAATGTAGCATAACATCGAGAACATTGGAGCTGGCGACTTTAGCATCAAAAACGAGTGTTCGCATGTCGTCGGGTAGCATCATTTCGTTGACATCATGAAGGTACTTTAAGGTTGATTTCGTTTCAAAGTGTATTCCGAAAGTAATAATAAATTCTGTTTACCAGAAGAAGAGGGGCCATAATGCTATTCAAAGGCTTTAGAGACGTGATGCAATCACTGAAGAAGCCGCACTGTTGCATCGGGTCCACATCCATTGTTTCTCTAAGATGTAAGCGATAGGTAAAATGATGTAAATTCGTGATGTCCTATGCATCATGACATTGATTATTGTAGGTAATTATTGTACTATTTCAGAAATATGTGCTCAAAAAATATAAAAACTGATGATTTTCTGTTTAAAATTAAATAACAGTTTATAAAAAATCAGAGAAGTGGGTTTTCAATGGCCCTTTTAATTAAGACGCTGACTTACAGTTTGCCATAGGGATTTCCGTACCGGGTTAACTGGCTAGATGTTTGGCACAGACCCACCTCAGTAATGATTGGCGCCAGGACAGCAGGTATATCAACCGGTATAATCTTTTTCTGCAGCTCCAGCAAAATGTTCAAGTAATTCACGTTGTCCAAACTGGTATCATTATCGAAGGGTTCTAGCGTTTCCAGTGTGGAGTACCGAAGACCGTTGATGGCAATCAAAAACTTCCTATAGTATTCTGCTTTTTCTTTGTCTTTACTGGGATCCACTCCCCAAGTTCTTGATAATAGGTATTATTTTATATTATGTTATATTATATGAAAAAACTCACTGATTTATAAGCCTTGGGATCTCCTCCTCATCGTAATAACTGGGGCAGATTGTTATCCCCACGTGGGGGAAGTTGCGCAGCCCAAAGAGGTATTCGTATTCGTAGACAAGAGGGTTGTCCCGGAACCGGTACCACTGGCTAAGGCAGCTGCTGATAGCGTAGTAGGCCGAGCCCAGGATTATGAATGACCAAAAGAGGCGCTCGGTCCAGTGGAGATTCCTGCGGACGATGTAGGGCATGCCGTGGATGGAGGACTCCTGGCACAGCTCGGCGAGCCAGTCCGGTTGCTTCGACTGACTCCTGTTGGATTCCATGATGAACTGAACAGAAGTTCAGAAGTCCGCGTACAACTTTTTAGCGACCCGAGTAATGCCCCCCAATGTTCATATTCGTGGACACCTTGTTTGATGTGCTCAATTATAGACTTTAATGGTGTTTTGCTGTATGTTCAGCATGCATATAAAATTGTCATGATTAGAGCTGCTTTACAGTTCCACGGCATTCCATGCAAATGGACACTGGTCGCTTTTCATTGCGCTTATCGAAGGCCTCCAGTTGGACTACCAGCTTGTAGCGCCCTTCCAGATTCGGAACATTCAGGCTGCTCTTCAATTCCAGGACGTAGTCTTTGTACTTAATATTGGCCTAAAAGGTTTTTTAAGAAATGGGCAGAAGCAATTGGAGTATTCCCAAAACTAGTAGGTACTAGTAGGTTTCTTACCCCTGGTGTGGTCAAGCACTTTTCCTTGATCTCGTCGGAGTTGCTGATATACTTTGTCCAGAAATTATACCAGTATTGGTTCTTATCAAACATGTTTTTGCAAAAGTTATTGGAGCTGGCGGTAAACATAGTCTTCTGCCAGGTGCCCTTATCCAGGCGATAGACTTGACCAAACATCTGTGGGATATTCAAATGGTTTATTGGCAAAAGTTCCCTTAGGGACTTACTTTCAATGTGTCTCCAGGCTGGACATCTTTCCAGACCACCTTGTGTTCTCCATCAACTTGAACTTTCGAACCAAGGTTTTGTATTGTAAGAGAGGAATTTTCAAACAGCGCTTCAAAGCTGGCAGGATTGCCGGGCTGATTCTCGCAAGCTGCTAGAAAGCCATCGTCGTCCAATGTTAACTGGTACTCAGTCGCTCCAGCGAAACAGATGACCACTTGGAGCACCAGGATCATAAAAGTAGCCTTCATTTTCACTAGCTTTGTTGGGTGCAAAGTGCCAAAAACTGCACCTTATATACAGCTTAGGGTCGTCAGTGATTATAATTGCACAATTTATCCAGTTTGATAAAATCATTGTATTTAATAATTTCAAAAGGGCGTATCTTGTTTGGCACGAAAATAAGTATGTTGCCTTCGTTTGAGAAGTGCGCGTGCCAGTTTTGATATTGATCTAGTTTTCAATTTATTGACTAAATACTAGGCGAAGATCTCGTAGAACGAATCTGTTTATAACCAATTGATATAATATTTTCCCGAGTTTTGACAGACAGCGAATTCGTTTACCTGCCCGGCTAGCTCAGTCGGTAGAGCATGAGACTCTTAATCTCAGGGTCGTGGGTTCGAGCCCCACGTTGGGCGATGCATTTTTTTTAATTCCAAATGAATAAATAATAAAAAACAATTTTCGAGCTTCCTATTTAGCAATTCAATTTATCCTAATTTATAAATGGATAGAAGTCTTGATTGCTTCTTTTCCTGCATCTATATTTTCTGTAAGTGATGGGAGACATTTAAAAACTTATACAAAGTTCAACTGAAAACTTATGAGTGTATTAAAACTTTTAACTACAAATAAAACAAGATAGAATGCTATAGGCAAGTTCCCCGACTATTAGATACCCGTTACTCAGCTAGTGGAAGTGCAAACCAGAAATTTCAAAAATTTCTGGAGAAGCGGTAGAAATTGCGAGAAAAAATAAAAAAAGGAAAACAAAATTTGTTCAAAAGTGTGAGCGTGACAGTTTTGGGCGGTTTCTGCATGCCCTAATCTTAACATTCTAGCTTTTGTAGTTCTTGAGGTCTCGACGTTCATACGGACGGGCAGACGGAAATGGCCATATCGACTCGCCTATTGATCCTGATCAAGAATATATACATATACTTTATAGTCGGAAACAATTCCTTTTACCTGTTTTGAACGAATATAGTATACCCTTTTACGCTACGAGTAACGGGTATAACAGATACCTGGAACATCACAATTCGGGAGCGTTTTAGGCAGGTTTATGATCTTGATCGATTAGATCCTGTACATATCAATGTTCATGATTCTGTAATCACCAAGTTTGAGCTTTTATCGCAAGTGCCCGGCTAGCTCAGTCGGTAGAGCATGAGACTCTTAATCTCAGGGTCGTGGGTTCGAGCCCCACGTTGGGCGAGACAATTTTTTATTATCTTTTTTATTTATTATTTTATTGAAAATGTTTTCTAATTGCATTCATTGAACTTTTGCATTTATACTCTGCGCTTAGTTCACGTCTGTGGTTGCGTGGGCTATAAGACGAAAGTCAATTTCAACTTTTTGTTTATTTATAGACGAGACCTAATGAGTTTTTATTCATGTTGGCACTCGCAGCTGTTTTCATTTCTATGACAATGTCCCGTGTGCTTTCTCTCTGCCCCTCGCGAATATCGTTGCAATTTTGAATAGTATGAAAGCCATTTCAAGGCTGATTCTCAACTGGAAGTGGCAGTTCACTGCGCCACCGAACAGGATGTCGACAGGATGCCATCATGCATTTCATATGTGGGGCAAGGTCCTTATCCTATGGAAACAATGGTGTTAGTGTGTACAATTGTTATTGGCCATCTGCTTTGTTCGGAAAAAAATGAATAAATTATGCAAATTGTTTTTTGTTTAGATCTCGGGGCAAACATGATATGACGCAGGTCACTATCGTATTGCAACTCGTTCCATATGTTTGCCTCCACCCACATGGAGACAGTGAAATCTGAGATCAGACAAGAATGCGGAATGTATTCCCCTTCAGACTCCACAAACAATTGGAGAGCCTGAGAATCATATTAGCTGTATTAATTACTTTGCATTATTCCGTAAATAGCTGTGCGGGAACAATTCTGGATGCTGTTCCCTCTGTTAATGTGGAAAGACTGATGTGGCTTGGTGGCTTGAACTGTGCCGAGTGCGCTGCATGTACATATGTATGTATAATGTCAGCTACAACAGCTATCAAAGGGTAGTTAATTAAAAAGAATATGAACATGCACTTGTGATTCACAAGCTGTGATTAAATTGCGGAATGTGTCCAGTTGACTTGTTGCGGGTATTTCGTTGTCGCCCAATCATGCAATTTGTCATATTTGTTTTAATTTGCAATGCCATAAGCCAAATACTACACAGAGCAGGGTCTTCTGAAAGATTTTAGCATTCCTGCTACATATTTCGCTTAGAAATTGTGAACTGTGGCTAAACCTCTTCGTATTTTGCTTATACTAGATTGTGTTAATGGATAAATTGCGACAATTTACATTGACACTGGTTTCCTCGAAGCTCGTCATGGTTAAAGTGAGCTTCTTGCTTTAAATGTCGATTTGAAATAATGACGGACAAACAAAATGGTTGCAACTTTGTCGCATGTCGAGTGGATATATGATGGCATACCATGATAAAAGTGCTACTATAAAAAGGGTCCCATCCCACCTTGTGATACCATTGTCATCATGAGAACTCTCATGCTGCTCATATTTGGCTTCGCCAGTTCCTGGGCCGCGGACTACGAGCTGTTGCTCGAGGATCCTGATATCTTCTCACCCTGCACCGAAGCGCCGCCCGGATCGATTGGATTTCACGATGCCTTCGACACTGGCAATCTGGTACTCGACCAGGACACGGACATCATTCACCTCTCCGAGAGTGTCACCACAATCTGGGATGTGGAGCCCACAGATCGCATATCCGTAATTTCCGCCTTCCTAAAGCGAGGTACACTGAATAATAAGCATTTGTTCTTAAGGCCAAGTTTACAGTAATGCACTACAACCGCGGCAGCTGGGAGCCAACTGTATTTAGCATGGCCACTCCGGATTTCTGCGCCTCTATGTTTGATGAGAGCCAGTCATGGTTTAAGTACTGGACCAAACACATTTCAAACCGCGAAGAGGTGATGCAAAAATGCTTTAAAAATCGTGGTGTGAGTTGTCCTGCAATCAAAAGAGTCAATCTCTGGCGCAGTGGTTTAAACTTGGAATTTTGTTGCAGACCGTTGTGAAGCACAATCCGTTCGATCTGCGGCTGCGTCTAACGGACATCCGTGGCGCTTCTCTGAGGGGTCGCTATAAAGCTGTGGTATCCCTCGAGGCTTTCGATGAGAAGGACGTACCGCGCCGTAATTCCATTTGCTTCGAAATTAGGGGAGAAGCCGAAAAGATAAAATAATCTGTCCAAGGAGCGGAGTCGCTAACCAAATAAACAAGATACGCCCAGGATCTACATGTTTCGAAAATTAAAAATAAAATATATTAGCTATCCCCAGCTGCCACTACAAAGAAAAAGTACTGTAATTTGAGAACAGATTTATATATTTTTTACTCGTAGGAAAAGGCTACAGTTTATTATGCAAAAAGTGTTTAAGAGGCAAACCTATGAAGTATATATATTTTTGGTCAGATTCCCTAGCCGAGTATTTCATAACCGTATTTCCGTTCGTCCGTCCTTATGTTGTTGTGATCTCGGGAGCTGTAGAAGCTATAATGATAGGATTAGGCATGCAGAATGCAGAGACGTAGGCGCAGCGCAACTTTGTTTGAGACACTATCATACCAAACTTATCACTTACCAAAATTTATCACGCCAATGTCTTACCATTTTCTATCGGCGTACCAAAAACATGTCGAACACGCCCCTGCTTAACGCCCACAAACCGCCCACACTTTTGGAAAAATTTTAATTTTTTTTTGCTTTTTAACATTAATATCTCATTTGTTGTTTTAAACTTGTTAATTTTACAATGGCTTGTTTTCTTTTCAAATCATACATGGCGTTAATATGCCAATTATCTTGTTTGAGTTTGACAATATTTGATTAAGATGATTGTTTCATTCTTGCATGTTGGGTCGATGTACGATGGCATGTCATGATTAGAAAGGGAATCATGTTATAATGTTGTATGGATCAAAAATATACCCAATGCCATTGTCGCAGTGGCTATAAAGAGTTCGGGTCTCACATTTTTTGGTTCTATGGTCATCATGATAGTTGTGCTGCTGCTCTTATATGGAGTGGCCAGTTCCTGGGCCACTGACTACGAATTATTGCTCGAGGATCCGGACATATTTTCGACGTGCTCCGAAGGTCCGCCCGGATCCATTAACATTCGCCAGGCAATGAATTTCGACGATCTTGTAGTCGACCAGGAAGCGGATACACTTCATTTGTCCGGAAACGTCACTGTCATTTGGGATGTGCAGCCCACCGATCGGATTACTGTAAAACAAACTGCAGTTTCGGAATAATCCAGGATTTTAATATCAAAACTCTTGCATTCGTGTAGGCAAAACTTGATTTCTTTCACTACAACCGAGGTTCTTGGGAGCCCACTATTTTTGGCATGGCCACCCAGAACTTTTGCTCTATCATGTACGACAAGCACCAGTATTGGTATAAATATTGGACAAAGTTCATTGCCAATCGCCATGAGGTGGAAAAGAAGTGCCTCAGAGGGCCTAGAGTAAGTGTAGTTCAAGCAATTCGACAACCTAATATGGTAGAATATAATAGCATGTCCCAGTTTGGTGTCACAAGCCACAATACCATTTTGTTCGTACAATATTTTGCAATATTCCGGTTTCTTTCAGACCGTTTTGGTACACGAGCCCTTCGATCTTATACTAAAACTAGAGAATTTTAATGGACCTCTTCTTCGAGGGCGGCTTAAAATGGTCGTATTGTTTAACGCCGTGGATGAGCTGAATATACCGCGTCCAAACCCAATTTGTTTGGAGATCAGAGGAGAAGCTCTCAAGTTGAAGTAGTTAATGGAATGGACAATTTAGTTGGAAATTATAATTTTTTTTTTGTTATATTAATATAATAATTATATTGCAATATATTAAACTTATTATCCTTATTATAAACATGTCTCGACACTAATTAAATTCAATATAAATATTTTTATCAGAATGACAAATCGTAAACATCGTTTACACGTTACGTTTTTCTTAATGTATGGTGGCCCTCCATATTTCCATGAAGCTCACTTCTTGATCCATTTTGTTTTGCGGTTGGTGGCACGCGTTGAACGCAACTTGAGTTCAAGTTGCGGTTTCCATAGCTAGCTGCGTGTGGCAAGTATATTCTCGGGTATCGACGAGACTAAGGAGATAGGGGAACAGAGGGTACATTATTACCCGTGTACTGTCTGTCGGAGATTCAGGAGTATTTTTTTTTGGGGTCACGATTGCCGTTGTTAGATGGTGAAAATGCAAATACAACGGTCGGTTATTGGATTATCCGATGATGATTGGCACAAGTTCCGATCGATTCACATCGCACCAATCGTTTTACCAATTTGCAAAGCTCTTGCCAATTCGCGGAAAATGATGTCCAAATTATTCTTGGATATTTGCGAAAACTTTCGGGCGGGAACACTTTTATTTCATATTCCCGGCGAATAATTTTCTACTTTCTAAACCAAAGAGCCAGAAACAAAAGCCGTCTTTAGGTGCAAATTAGCAGCGCACGATTTTAGAGCCCCCTTCGAGCAATCCGGCAAAATCAACATCTGGCAAAAACCGAAATTGTGGCCGCGGGCAGTCATATACGAGTATAGTACGTCGGATCTCATAGAAAATCAATCAGTGCGGACTTCTGCTTCGCAGGCTCTTGGATTTAGCATAAGATACGGCTCTTTCTGGAAGCCGTGGCTTTGTTCGCCAACCCAAAATACTAGCAATGTAGGACGTGGCGACGGGATGGCTCTGAACCCGTTTCTTGGCCATCTCCGCCTCTTTCCACCGAGCTGCAGCTGGGAATCTTTGGGGAATTATCGAGGAGCAGCTCCGAAAAAGCAACAAAATTGCAGCATGAATGGGGCTGTGAACCAGCTGGAGAGCCGGTCCGTGTGGGCTGCTTTTGTAGGCTATTGGAAAGATCAAGAGTTTATAATGCCAGCCACACGTTTTTTGTGTGTTGTGCATGTTGTGCTGTGTGCATGGGTGTGGGTATCCCCGTGGTTGTGTGAACTTTTCCAGTTTGCTCTGCCTGGCATAAATTGTGGGTTTTTAGGTGTCTAGCTCACTGCCTTCCCGGCCGAGGTGGCTTGCCAAGATAAATGGATACACATGGGGAGGCTGTGGTGTACTATACATGGATGCACCACGTCCGTTGCACTCGCTGGCTTCTCCTGTGCTTAGACTCGATTTCGATGTCTGACAGAAACTGGAAAGTGTTTTGAATACAACCACGTACAGCGGGAACGGCTTCAGGCTCGAAATCGAGATCTTTTAGCTCGATGACTGGTTATTAAACAGTAAATATGGACTACTTCAACAGATTGGGTAAATGATTTAAAAGTAAATGCATTCATTTACTATATGGGACTACCCCTAATACTATTTACAAAACGTATCAACGAATGTATACAACGTATCAGTAACTAACTGAATTGATCTTGAAATCAAGTTAAGAAGGTTTTTCCATAGCTGCGACACTTTTACTTTGCGGTGTAGAACGCTGATAGCGCCTAGCTGCTCTGCAAACCAGCTCCGTTCGCCCATTCATAAGGCGATACCCGAACTGGGATTGGGACCAGCTGAGCTCTCTCCCAACGCCAGCACAAAACACAACATCCACGCCAACGCGAACTGTTTGGGCCTGGTCAACGTAATGACAGCTTCGCGTGTTTTGGCCCGCGAGTGGATGGCTGGCTTGTTGGTAGCTCGGCGGCATGGTGGCTATATCGCTCCACGACTATAAAATGTTCATTCACAAAATGCCGCCAAGACGCCCACGCATTCGAGGCAAGAACCGCTTATCAAGTTGTCGCTGGCGGTCGCTTGTCACACACAAAAAATGGTTTTGCAACAAATAAACAATAATAATTTGCATGTGGGCCGTGTCTTGGAAACGCGGTTCAATCAGTGAAAAAATCAGCTTATAAGCTTTGAAACATTTTTGTCTATTGGAATTTATTCTATACCTATCTCTTGGGTAATATTTCGATTTTCCCCTATCCCACACATATTCATTGAATTTATCTAAATGTATAGGTTGATGATATCATGGCAAAAGTAATACAATTATTAGTAGATCCTAAGAACTAGATTACATTTTGGCTTAAATTATATTTATAGGGAGTGTAACTAGTACTTGCCAACATAATAGGTTCAAACGTACTTTTTTCGAACCAAATTTATTATTTATTTTATCTCTCATGTGGAGTTTTTCGACAGAGGGAACGTAGTCGCTGGAATTGAACAATTGTATAAGGTTTTTGTTGAACTCAGTGGTTGCATGGCAATATATATAACAAAAAATTAAATAAAAGCTGGCAAAAAAGGCCAAAAATCGATTTCCGTTTAGTTTTTGTTAGTGCTTCGCCGTGTTGTACTTATTTGTGCATTTCCCGACTTTTCCGTTGCCATTGTCTCGTTCGTTTACCTTTGAGCACTGCTGTTTATGCAATTGCCGTGGCCCAGAGCCGGCTTTTGCAATTGACATTTTGATGATTTTTACGTTGTGTTTGGCATTAATTTCTGCCCGATTGCGCAAAAACCGAAAGTGATATGCAAGTGTGGTCGCCATTCGGGCCTCTTGGCTTTTGTGATTTGCTCGCCAAATGGGAACATTTTATGTCTTCATTAAGACGCCTCCTGCTGCTTTCGATCTCCGCCTGCCTGCTCATCTGGCTCTTGCTTTCAATGTCATTTGTTGTGTAATTGAAACATTATTATGGGCAAAACCGAGCCAAAACAAAACGAAAACTCGTTTTCGCTTTTATTGACCATTTGCGCGTCCTCACTCGCTTTTATTTCTCTTCAAGAAAGAAGCACACATAAAGTCTTTGGCTGCCTTTTACGGCTGCCTCTTAACAATCTGCTGCCGTTCGGGCGTCGTGACACTGATACTTGGCCAGAAGCCAGCCGGCAACTCTTTGTGGTCTTGACCAAATAAGTTGGCTGAACAGGATTGTGTGAGAAGCACCCATGTGGGAGCCATTTCAGCTCGCTTTTTGGCTCACCCGCTGGCCAAATATGCGAATCCAGTAAGGGCGAGAATTTGTGGGATTATTTCATTATTATTTCCACGTTCCCAAGTCCCATCTATAATGACTTTCTTTTGTACGCTCGCTCTTTTTCTAGTAGTCTTATTAATATGGAAATTTATTAATCCAGATTACCTCGGAGTACGGGAAAACTTAATTAAAGTAATCCCAAGGGGATTGATTGGTCGATTCTGTATTCAATCGAGCCATATGGAACCCACTTTGGCTACATTAAATGTGTCTCACACTTTGCATGTCATGTTTGGGTTGTTTGCTCATTGAATTTGCACAATAATTTTCTGCTTTATTCGCATTTAATGAAGTGCGCAGACAACAAAAGTCAAACTCAATTAGATTTAATCCAGCGAAAAAACGATGACGACATGAACTTTGAACTTTTGAGCTAATGGAATAACAACGATTCACTCTTTAATGTGCAATGTAGTTTGAATATAATGGATTACATTATATACATTACTATTAATTAGTTATTAGATTGCAAGTCCTGTCCTTTCCAGTCCTGGAATTTGTCCTGGAATGAACAGCATTCGACCAATTTTCTCACAGATGAGAGGTTTGTTTGTTGCACTCCTTGATTTTAAAGGGATATCCATTCAGTTTCGTTTGAATTTGTATTGGCTAACTAAATATTTCATACGATTAATTGTTTAACTAATGTATTATCTTTTCCTGTTGCAGAACACTTCGCCGCTGTGGGAGGATTTTGTTGCGAAGGCCGGAAAACTGCACACTTGCCTGAGGTAAGTTAACTTTGGGTGCACATGGGCGGCCAGCTATCGACTGCAGTTGCACAACTCTGGAACGAGAACTGCGTGTCAATAAACAAAGTGTTCGTTTGCCCAAGTTGCCTTTATGCGTTCCACTTCCTCACACTCAGGCGTATATAATGTGTCTATGATTATTTTTGTGCTCTTTCTGCGTTGCTAAATTTCTGATCGTCGGGTGAAGACCACCGACACAGACGTTGGGCTTTTGTTTGTTTTATTTTCTCTGTGCTTTTTATGCTCAGACTTGGCCCAAATTTTCTCGCTGGCAATGTCTGGGCATAAGTATATAGCCGCCGAATAGCGGCTGCATTAATCACTACCCACTATCACAGATCCTGTTGTCCGAGTTCAAATCACGGGGCTTGCCAAAACTCGCTCCGAGTGTTTGCCCACTGCGCTTGACACACATCTTGACCGATTTGCCGCGAGGTGAGGACGCCCGGATCTAGACGCCCAGATGGACCACTTGTGTATACCCTAGAGGTGGTTATTAAGTATTTGGGGAACAGGCACAATTATTCCAATCATCGCTTGGAAAACTATGCTTGCAATCAGTACGGAAATACTGCCAAGTATATTTCCACCGAAAAGGTAGTCAAGTCTTCAGATACCGCAGGTTCAGGCTTTTTTCTTAGCTGTCGCCTAATTGAAATGTCGCCCACGGGCAATTGGATAAGATGTATATTAAATCTAGCTGGCTGGGCCCACAATAATAATGATGTGCATTTGCTCTCCTCTGTTCACAGGGCCGCCATCCAAGCAATCGCCGCCTATTTGGATGCCTTCCAAAAGATAGCCGACGCGGCGACCAACTCAAGGGGTAAGTTCAAACCGTGGACTCGTCTACTACTGAAAGTACGGGGGATTCCCCTCTACCGCCGGCCCACGTACTGTATCTCTGTCCGCTGCTCATTATTCATGGGTCTACGCGCAGTCGGCGGCGGTCATCGATCTGATTTTTATACACATTCATGCTTTCGGTGTTTACGTTGTAGATTTTCCCCCTCTGCGTCCGAATGGCCATGTTGTTGCTCCGACTGAGCTCACGCATTTCGCTGGTTCTGCTATTTATATTTATTTATCGAGTGCCCGATTATGCAATGTCCGACGTCCGAATCCCACAGCCCACCTCAGTCCGCACGGGAAATGCGAAAATTACCAGCGGGTAGAGCTGTGATCGTTACCAGTCCAGCAGCTCGAATAGCACAAGATGTGGCTTTTCCATTGACCTTTTTCATTTGGCATGCACTTGTTAAAGTCCCGAGTCCTTACTCAATTCAAACGAGGTCCTATAGCGAACTTACCAGGTCAAGGTAGGGAATAGGCTTGAATAATTACTATTCCGCATTCGGTTTTCGTTAGCTAATGAAATGGTAGTCTTATAAGCAGGCCTACTCAATCGTGCAACTATTTCATTTATCTTGTGGAGATGCAGTTAGGAAAATATTATCATTGGCTTGAATCGCTCTCAAATGCATTGAATTATTATAAAATTCGAAATATTATAAAAGATAATAAAAATAATGTATATATCCGCTTAATAATTCAATTCGTGGCAGTTAATATTATGCATAGCTTGTTTCCTCCACATTCCCATAAATAAAGTGGTTTATGCGTAGTTGCTGTTGATTGAGAAATCCGAGTGTGAGATTTCTGCGGCAAACCGGCTTTATTCAGTTAATCTTCTAAATTCCGACTTAGCACTGCTGCAGGATTGGCAGACTTAACTCTTCAATCATCCGCATACGCAGTTTGGCATTAGCATATATTGATCCACTCCCGCCATGTGCACTTCTACTCCAACCGCCCCTCCATGGCTTGGGTGTATGGCTGGTGCTAAGTGCACATCCTCGTAATTCCTGCCCTGGCTAGCCACCCGTGCTGGCACCAGAAGCCTGCTGGCCGGGTCGTTTGCACTTGCTAAATGGTTTCATTAGTTTTAGTGGTTACTTGGCTTAGTGCGGTCAAGCATCGCCACAAGTGTCAGTTCTCCTTTAAGGCGCCCCAAACGAGGGTGAAACGCAGCTCGAGTCTCGGTTTGGATTCTCGATGCGCACTTGGCACACGGTTATCATGGTGGTGGTCCTCAAGGTGGTGGGTTTTCTGGGCACCCAGCTCATAGCTCATATCCATTCAATTATTTGGGATTTGGAGCAAGTGGCTCTGAGAGCCGGCATGTCAAAGGAGACTTCATAGGCTGCTGCCTACTTGGCAGATAATTACACAGTAAACGAGGATGGAAAAGTCATTCTCTGAGTCGGAGGCAGTGGCAGTCCGAGATAATCGGGCCGCCTGTCATTTGCTGGTGATATGCAGACGCAAAAGCAGGAGCAATAGCAGTAGCAGTAGCTGTTGGCCTGACCAGTTGTCCGGGATCCGACTTTGAATCTATCTGCGGCATGGCATAATGGGCACACACGGGACTTGGGACTCGGGACTCGGGACGCGGCACCACAGACTGGAGGAATGGAGTCCCGATTCGTGTCGCATGCAATGCTGTCCGCTGCGCCTCCAAATCGAAACGACAGCCCATGGCGTGCGATTGTTGCTGCATGCTCTAAACATTTCCGCTGCCAGCTAAGTTCCTCGTGCTCCGTGGATGGATGGATGTTCCCCTCCAGTAATTTAATTTGGCAACTGTTTAATATTGCATGCTTACATGCTTAATTTGGGTTACAAATTAAACGAGCGGAAAGTGGAACCTAGTGTCTTATATAAGCGAAGTTCAATACCTACATGATAACTTTCTGAATAAAACATGGGTTTTTAACATTTCGGGAAAGTATGTGCTGAATGATTCAAATCAAAGAACATAGTTTCCGATGGAATCATTAAACCTGCTTCGCCACATGACAACATGATTGAGTATTGTATGACGTTTGTTCCTTCGATTGCAGGCGCCTCCAAGGAGATCGGCACCGCCCTGACCCGCGTTTGCCTCCGCCACAAGGCGGTGGAGACACGTCTAAAGACCTTCACCAGCGCCATCATGGATTGCCTGGTGCAGCCGCTGCAGGAGAGGATCGAGGACTGGAAGCGCACGGTGGCCACCATCGACAAGGACCATGCCAAAGAGTACAAGCGCTGTCGCAGCGAACTGAAGAAGCGCTCCAGCGACACGCTGCGCCTGCAGAAGAAGGCGCGCAAGGGTCAGACGGACGGATTGCAGTCCCTGATGGACTCGCACATGCAGGATGTCACCCTGCGCCGGGCAGAACTGGAGGAAGTGGAGAAAAAATCCTTGAGGGCAGCCATGGTGGAGGAGCGGCTGCGCTACTGCAGCTTTGTCCACATGCTTCAGCCAGTGGTGCACGAGGAGTGCGAGGTCATGTCAGAGTTGGGTCACCTGCAGGTGCGTAGAACGCTGCTTACATGGTCAGCTCAGTGACTATTAAAGGTCTTTTACAGGAAGCCATGCAGTCAATTGCGCTAGTGACCAAGGAGCCCAGTGTCCTGCCCCAGGCCTCCGAGGAGCTAATCCACGACGCTAAGGCCAGCATTAATCTGTACCCGGAGTCCCCGGGTGGCGGCTCCGGCTCGCAGGGCGGCGGCTGCTCCAACTCGCTGGGTTCCCGAAAGAGCTCCGTCTGCTCCATCAGCAGTATGAATAGCAGCGGCTCGAGCAACTCTCCCGGTCACCATCACTATCCGCGCTCTCTGTCGCAGGTGCGTCATGTCCAAGGGCTTCCTAGGTGCCCGCCATCAAACCCGCATTCGGCATTGTAGCGTCCGCTCATTTCTTGGTTTTCATCAATGGTCTTTGTGTTTCGTTTTCGTTTTTTAGTTTGTAACGCCCGCAATTCGCTTGAAACCTGGTGAATCCAGTGATAGTGGCTTTTGCTCATCGCCAGCTCTAACAACACAGGTTTTCATTTGTTTTTCTTCCGTTCAATTTTACCAAATTGCAAATACTTCTTCATGACACCTTTACCTGCCTGGATTTTACTAACGACTCTACCGATTCCCCACAGACTTCGAATGCAACGAATCAAACGGCAAGTGTCTCCACCTGGCCCCCACATTCCCAGGATGGCGTCGAAGCACTGCCACCGACCGCTGACCGTCCGCACACGATTTCGACGGCATACGAAAAGGGTCACCAGCGTCCGCCGCTGACCGTCTACACGTTTCAAAATCCGGAGACCATTCACGAGTCGGGCAGCTGCCTGAACAATGGAACCGCAGCGGGAACCCCGAATGGACAGCCGTCATCCGGACAAGCCACTCCGGCCACCCAGAAATCACCGGCTGTCTCACTTAGTCGGCCTCCCTTGCCAGTTGTAAGTAGGGAGTAGTTTTAAAATCAAACTCACTAAATGATTAGCAAGAATTTGTGAAGGGTTTTTGTTTATTTTTTATTGTTCTGATGGCTGTTCTTTTGGCCATCCATAAAATATACTTATTAATCACTTAATGAGAAAAATACAGACTGTTTCAAATCTACTTTCCTCTTGAAGAATAAATCAATTGTATTAAGTTAAGGATATTGGTGCATTAACGAAATCAATTTCCAAGTACGAAGATTTTAAAACTACATTATTTTTCATATCTTAATTGCGCTTTGTAAAAATATCTGAGTTAGTCTAGGCAATGTTATGAAAGCAGGGTATTTGAATAGCCGGGCAACCGTCTATTGACTGTGTACATTCTATTAAGTTGTCTCTCTCGTTCTGTTGGCCATGATACTCGCCATAGAAGCCAGCCCATGTGGTGAGTATTCCCAAGTCAGAGCCCCACCAATCGTAGATCCAACAGCGCGCTCATCTGCATGCGCCCCGCTAGACCACTGACCACTAGGACCTTTAAGTCGCCTCATCATTAAACCCAAAACATTTCGATTTTCACCGTAGCTAACGAATGTCCTTGCCCACTTTCAGCGCTGCTCGTCGCTGGAGCGACCCCTTTCGGCCCAGAGTAACCACCGCCAGGGAAGCGGGAGCAACCTGCTGCAGCGCCAGTGCCCTTCGCCGATTCCGGCTCATATCACGAAAGGTAAATGGTGCGCAATGCCCGGCAATTGGCCAGCTTGTCTCCGTGTATGTGTGTGCACGCTTGCCCTTGGCTAATCCCATCAGTCTTACTAATGACCGTGTCCACCCGCATGTCCTTGCTAACATCATCCGCACACAGAGCTGTCCGCAGCGCATCATGCACAGCAGCAGCAGCAGCAGCAAAATCAGCAGCCTCAGACGCCGCCCACCTACGTGAACATGTCCGAGCTGGCCACCATGGCAGCTTTGAAGCAGACCAACCTGCAGCAGCAGCAGAAGCCCTCCACTCCGCCTCTGCAGCAGCAGAGCTCCATTGACTCGATCAGCTCGCAGCATTCCAACGACTCCTCTGGCTCGCATCAGCTCCTCCAGCAGCAGCAGCAGCAGCATCAGCAATCGCAGCAGAATCATCACCCAGCCACTGCCACACGCTCCCATTCCATATCCTCGACGGCCTCGTCACTTCACTCGCATCCGTCGATCGACTCCACCGTCGCTTGCGGCTCGCTGATGGGCCAGCACAACCACAGCACCAGCACCAACACGAACACCAACACCACATCGCCGTCCAGTGGCAGCTCCACGCCACAGAACCATTACTCGCCCCTGCTAACCAACTCCCCCACGTCCACTGCCGCAGGTACTCCCAGTGGCAGCAGCTTAGGTCCTGGGTCCGGTTTGGGATTTGTCTACCAGGTCAGCTCCCCGACACCGCCCTCCAGCGAGGTGCTGAAGATCACCGAGCAGGCCGCAGCAGGACAGGATCAGGGAGCAGCCAACAGCGTTGCAGACGAGACGGATGAGCGATCAAGGGCCTCTGTCCTGCAGAAGGCTTCGATGTTCGAAAAGGCGGCAGCTGCGGCTGCGGTCTCGCCTCCAGCTCCCATTCAGGTTGCATCCGGTTCCCCAGCTTCGGGAGGCGGAACTCGACGATCCGAGGCGGAGCAGCAGGAAATGGGTGAGTTAAATCCGCGACCAACACACCAGGAAGTGTGTCAATTGATCGTAGCACCCAGCCCGCCCAGCACCAAAGAGCACTTTGAACATGAGTCTCCCCTCTGTCCACTTTCATGTCGAGCGCCCGTTTTTATTTATAATTGACAAACATATCGTGAATATTTTTTAACCCCTAAATTTCTTTTTTGTTTTTCCCTCCCCTTTCTCTACAAATTTTTGGTTTGTTGTGTAACGCAACGACAACAAACTGCAAAACCAACTTGAAACCATAATTTGTTTTTTTGGTTTCGACTTCATGTTCACCCCACCCAAAATCTCTGTCATCTATAAACTACTATTCACAATAAACCAAATGCACCACAACAACAACTGCAACACCATCTCCAAAATCGATACCAACAAATATGAAAATATGAACTTAACAGACAAATCTTTCGAAGATTCAATACAAGCACTAAATAATTTAATTGGCGAACTAGACTCGTTCCAACGCGAGATCGATGAGGGCAAGGTCAAGCCGCCGAGCAGCAGCAACAACAACCATACGACCACCAGCAGCAACAGCAGCAGCGACAACAACAACCCGCCCGCCACCAGCAACATCGAGCCCTGCGCCATCAGCAATCAGACGAACTCGAGCGGCTGTGGAACGGACATATCCGACACCACGTCCGACGAACTGGCCGGCGACGAAATGGACGTCAGGCGGCGGGATCGAGACCGGGATCTGCTGGGCGCCAGCGATTCGGAGCTGAGTCGCTGCTATGTGAGCGAGACGAGTTCGCTAACCGGTGGCCTGACGGCCGGCGGCTATGAGAATCCCACTTTCGCGCACTTTGCCGCCAATGCGAATAGGGAGGACGCGGTTTCGCTGGCCTCCGACAGCGTTTGTCTGGGCCAGCCACGCCACGCCTACGTGGATACGTGCAGCGACAGCGGCAGTGCAGTCGTGGTGATCTACGACCACCAGATTCCCAACACGCCCGACATTGAGTTCGTGAAGCAGAACTCCGAGATTGTAGTGCTGCGGACCAAGGATCCGCAGCCCCACGCGCTGCAGCTGCACGAGATGCGCGAGCTGCAGCAGTTGCCCGCGAATTTAACCGGCTCACCGGACTCCTCGCCGGACTCGGCCGGTGGCCAGGCACCGCCAACAGCAACTGTGGCGCCCGCCAAGCAGCGACTCTCCTCGTTTCGCGCCACCAGCGAGCAGCAGTTGCAACTCCTCGGACGCGGCAGTCCGCAAAGAGGTAAAACACCCAGTGAGCAGGCAGCACAGAGCAGACCACAGGACCAGCATTTTCCACAGACACATCAGCAGGATGTGATCGATGGCAGTAGTCCACCAGTAGAACTTGCCAGGCGCCAGCTGCCCCCCAAGCCCACCAGCTTGAGCATTTTCAACGACCTAGTGTCCACTGCGGTCGATAGGCCTGTCGTGCCCCGAAAGTCGGACTTTAAGGCCGCTCTAGATGCTAAATTACGCAGGCAAAAGCTGAAGGTTAAACAGCAGTTGCAGCAGCAACAGCAGCAAGAAACGCAGCAGCAGCAGCAGCAGCAGCAAGCACCACCAGAACAGCAACACTCACCACAGTCGCCCCAAACCAGAAACTGTAATGTCACTAATCAACAAGCCGCCAATATTACTGCATCTGCATCTGCATCTGCAACCGCACCTGCATCCACAGACCTGTACCCGAATCAAAACCATAGAATGCCAAACCACAATCAGACAGCCACATCCAATCACAGGCAGTGCAAGACGCCCACAATGGCATTGTCACCGTCATCACCTCGCGGCCATTTGCCATTATCACCGTTATCACCGTCATCGCTATCGTCATTACCATTACCAGCCACCACTTCATCACCATCAAATGCTCGGTCATCGATGCTGCCCGCCAGTGAGCGACCACCCGCCCATCTATATGTGTGCTCCAATGCCCCAGCCAATCCCCATCATGCCAATAGCGTTACCAATGCCAATGCCAATGCTAATGCCCATCTCAAGCCGTGCATTTCGCCCCGGCCGGCTTCGTTGTCGGGTTCGTTTCGATTTGATTTTGATTTGTTTGGGTTTATATGGTTTTGGTTTTTGAATCCTTATTTACAATATGTTCCTACTTTGTTGTACTTTGCAAATATCCTTATCATTTTGTGCTTGCCGAAGTAACTTCACGTGGTTTTTGGTTTCTCGTTTTGCTTCAAGTTCGATGTGGTAACCTTTCTGAAATTGGAGTTGTTCGCGCCAAGCACTAAGCTCATGTCATCAAGTCACAATCATCAAGTTCAGATCATCCACAGACAACTCAAATACCGCATGATACTGCCACTAACTGCTAAATGCTTAATCACTTACTAGATTCGACCGATTGTAACTGCAATCTTTTTGTGAAATTGATTTTGAATCAGGGGAAACGTCTATCCTTCATGAATTGATATCGGAAGTGCCATCACTGCCATTAACGCTTTTCACTCGCTTCAGGGTCATCATTATGATTCACAGCAGACCCAGAACTTTCATAACTTTCTCGATCAGCAGTTCCTAACTCTGCGTCTATCGCTAACTTCTGGTATTAGATGGTGTCCTGTGTTTTGTGTGCCAAGTGTATAAACTGATTACTGTACATAACTGTGAATAACAGCAGAAACCAATGACTTAAGCCGCAAATTGACCGCCTCACTTACTTTGATTTTCACTTTTCCCAGGAGGAGCAGCCGGCGGTGGCTCCACGCGCATCGGACGGCGCTCGTCCATCAACCAGGCCAAGCCACCGCCGCCAGTTAGACGCAGTTCGTCGGTGACCCCCAGTCCCAATGCCTCGGTCGGGGTAAGTTAAACCTCCAATTACTAAAACCCCATTAAGTTAGCCACTTAATCTAAGCTAGTCGCTAAGCCGCTCAACTGTGGGTCACACACTCTTTGGTTTCTTCTACGCTTTTATTCTTTCACTTATGATTTAATTACGCAACGCAGCTGCAGCAGCAACCACAGCACGCGACTCTGTCGCAGCAGAGTCACCAACTAAGCAGCTCCAGCGAGCACTTACCGCCGCCACCGCCATTCATGCTGGACGCCACGCCCCAGATTCCCAGCTCCGCGCTGAAGGTATCGGAGACCGTAAGAGCCCTGGCAGCCATGCGGCACCAGCCGGCGTCACCCGTGTCCCTCAGGCGCATGCAGCAGCAGCAGCAGCAACAGCAGCACCAGCAGCAGCCACAGGTGCAGCAGCAGCAATCCCTACTGCAGGTGTGTGCACGCTAGGCCAGTTCCCATCTGCTTGAACTCCTACTCTCACCTGGCTATTTCACTTTGCAACCAAGTAGGGTGCCATCAATGTGTAGTTATGCATCAGATCGAAAATGTAGTCAGTTGAAAGCCATCATACTTTTTGGAAGTGTCCAGTGTCACAGGATTGCTCATCACTAATCGTAGACTGCAGGAGTTTTCGTTACTTTGCCAGCGTAAAAACAATATATTTTTAGCGTGCCTTTCATCTAACAATGGCTTTGTCCCATATATTTTCTAGTGTCAGCATTAATTGCACAACTTTTTGCTAAATATTACGTGTCGAAGGATGCAAATGTAGGTACTATACCCCAAGAAAAGCCAGTATATTTAGGCGAGAGAGTTAGATTATAGCCTAAGCTAGTAGGGGCCTAGCTAGTGCACGAATCTAGATCCACCTCCAAAAGTAGATTTTCTTCTGTTACCTATTATTTCATTTTATTTCAACTTTCATTTGCTTTACCACTACCACACACAAACCGAAACCCCCATCCCCCACGTAGTCTGCGCACAATTCCCCCCTGAAAGATGACCTGACCGTGTACTACGACTCCTACTTGGATCTGCACGCCTATGCGCAGGTCTTGGCCACTGGCCAGCAGCCAGGCGGCCAGCAGATGGCCAACCAGCAGCGCTTTACCCACCAGCAGCCACTTCAGCATCAGCATCAGCCACCGCCGCCGCCTGTCTACCAAGTCGATGCCGTAAGTGACCAGCGGGATCTCGCGGGCTACTAACCTGAACTAACAGCCGTCTGCCCTCCTTGGAACTTAGTTGTAATGCTGTATTCATAGATAACACTAGAGCTTAGCTTTGATCGTGCTTTGGCTAACTTTTAATTTGTGCCGTCTTCCTCTCGTTTTTCTCATGCCACAAACGCACCATCATTGACACACATTCACGACCAGACGTTCCGCACCTCGTCACCAGCCGCGGGCGGAGGGGGTGGCGGCGGCGGCATATACGCCCAGCCCAAACTGGTCAACAGCATGTCAAGCTTCCGCACCAGCAGCCCCAGTCCCAATGGACATGCTCACCCACTGCCACCGACACAGCCAAAGGCGAATCCGAACCTAATTGCACAGCTCAATGCACGACTCAGCGGGAAACAGCAGCAGCAGCAGCAGCATCAGCAGCAGGTCGAGGGGATCTACGGCAACCAGCAGGCGCCCGGAGGAGAGTCGCTCTACATGCGGAGTGGCTTGTCCATGTCGCAGCCGCAACAGCAGCAACACTATGACGGTAAATCTGACCAAATCCAGCTGCAGCACCAGCAACAGCATAGAATTTACGCTAGCTTCGGCACCTCATCATCAGCAATGTCATCGGCCCATGCGGCCAACAGCAGCACTAAGCCGTCCATTCTAACACCGACCACCTCTTTCAATGCATTGCCTCACTTTCCCCTGTCTTCATCCACATCATCGTTGCTCTCCAAAGTCAGCTCATTCTCGAACTCTTCATCCGCATCCGCATCCCCACCGACAACGGCAGCGGCCCCTGGCTCGGCCAATTCGCATTATCAGCCACCTCAGCCGCCGACTGCAGCAGCTGCTAACAGCAAAGACATGGCCACCTACTCAAGTTCGTTTACCAAAAATCCAGCAGCTGCGCAAACGCCGAGCATGAGACAGGCTCATTCCCATCAGCACCACCAGCAGCCGCCACAGCACTACACCTGTCCGCCTCCTCTGGAGGATCCCCCACCGCCGCCCATTTACGCCGCCGGTGCATCGGCTACGATGCCCAAAAAGATGGCCCGTCCGCCCACTGGCCAGAGCGCGTCGCACTCGAGCGCCTATGCAGCAGCCTCGTCCACGGCCACGCTGCCCAAGAATATGATGCAGCAGCAGCAGCAGCAACGGTTGCATCAGCAGCAGCAGCAGTATCAACAGCCGGCAAGCATGGGCATTGGCAACGGCAATGGGCACCTAGGCCAGCGTCCGCAGTTGCCGCTGCCCCAGCAGAAGCTCAGAGCTGCACAGCAGCAGCACTTGGCGGAGCAGCAGCAGCAGCAGCATCAGCAACATCAGCTGCAGCAGCACCACCAACAGCACCAGCAGCACCAGCAACGCCAGCCACCCATTCCTTCGCGCCACTCGAGTGTGCAGCAAAAGATATTCGTCTCCACGAATCCATTCATACAGACAACGGCCGTCAAGTTTCACTCGCCCTCGGCCTCGCCCACGTGCGGCTCTCCCGTCACTGGGTCTGGGTCCTTGGCCAGCATTTATGCCACAACCTCGCGTGGCGGCCACCATCACCAGCAGCAGCAGCAGCAGCAGGCTCAGCAGCAGCACTACTATCGCGATGCTGTGGGGGGCAACAGCAACGGCGGCGCTGCCTACTATAACCACAATGCCCATGCCCATTCCCAGGCACATCATCCAAGTAAGAGCGCGAGCTGGATTTGAATTGATTCGATTCGATTCGATTTCATTTGAGTTGATTGATTTCATTACGTATGATTTTATTGCAAGGAATGGCGCTGTTTTGTATATTATTGTTTTGCTGATTTGCGATTTCGCGACCATTAAATTTTGATTTGATGTTAGCTCTAAGTTTGGCGCATGCTGCATATGTTCTTTTGCTTTTCTTTCGTTTGAGTTATCGTTTGAAAAGTGTTGCTAATTAACCTGATTGAGACTGTGTCAAGTGCGTCTGGAAACTATAGGGTCAACATGGGAGTGCAGTTTCCGCCGCAGTCAACTTACATTACAATTTTTGCCATCATCAATCATCACTGAGTCATCTCTGAGCAACAATTGTTGACTTTTATTTTGCATTTCCATTTCCATTTGGATGACCACCATATTAACCACTTCTTCGCAAGCCAACATCCACACAACCATTGATCGATCATGTCTGCTTACCATTTTCTTTTATGCACCCGTATCGGTACCAACAACACATACCAATAGACTACGCGACAAGCACAAATATCGAAAAGACTGGCAGTATTCGGGCCAAGACCAAGGCCGAATTCCTCGAGAATCTCAACGCGAAACTGGCGAAGCAGGGAATGTCTGGACGAGCATTTGCCGTGCGAAACCTCATCAACAGCAAGGCCCTGGTAAGTAGTGCACCTCGACCGCAACTCACTCGATTGCCAACACTCTCTATGCTCTGTCCATGGCACCATGGCAATTAGATGTATCAAAATCCGCAAAAACTATCGCGACCCAGCGCGCAATACCGTAGACCACCCACCTATCCCAACACCAGCACAACCACCAATGCCACTTGCGAAGATCAGTGCTAAGTGCTAAGGTATTTAGTTCGTTCCTAGTCGTTCTCGTTCTCGTTCTCGTTCTCGTTTGAAGCCTACTAAGCCAGCTGGCAGCTAATCCACTCAGTGCCACGTTCTACCAACTAACTGCTCTCCGATCTAACGATAGACCCTAGGTTTTTCCCGCAAAGTGCTCCTCTAACCCGCTTCTCGTGGACTCTTTCAGCCGGACCCTCGCATCTGTCACGAGTCGCTGATGGATCAAATAAAGCGCGGAGCCACCCTAAAGCGTAACCAGAAGATAAACGATCGCAGCGCTCCCAAAATACATTGAAATAACCTATAGGCTTAAGCGAAACAGCATATTTATTACCATAATAATTAATCTATGAATAACCATGAGGCCCGACGCCTGCTCGACTGCAGAGCTCTGCAGAGTTTGGTTTGAAACTGAAAACTCGAAATACAGCATACAACTTAAACACATATGATTACGATACAATATATTCGATATATGATATTTAACAAGAGCATTAAGCATAACGCGAACTAATCAACACCTTTCTTGATTTCCTATATCCCAAAAATGTGTCGAAAGGCTTTTTCTGTTAAGTGAATACCATATGGAAGACAGTTAGCACTCGTATGTTTATTTATATCTACAACTCGAATTTATCTTTAGAGCACTTCTGTTAAAAGATATTTTATGTTTATGTATTTCCCATATTTATAATTTCCCTTGCTTCTGTACATACATATAAATATGAGTTTAACAAACACTCGAAACTACTAATATGACGCCTAATAAATGGAATTTATCGTAAATGTTTTTAGTATTTTTACTTTTGTAATATTATTTTTTAAACTGTCAACTGCAAGTCAATTGGGCCTTGTCTGAGCGCATTTCAAATACAACCCATAATACATTGTCTTGAATAGAGTTAGAGTTAACGCGTTAACCGAATACTCGATATCCCACTGTAACTTTACTATCTGCGAAGAAGTAACGCATTGGATCTGCTTTTAAAAACGACAACTATCTACTGCCAAGCGGAAAGGGGAACGTTGGAGATCAGTCTTCCCCAGAATATTTCGCACCAACTTAAAGTGCTATATGAACGAGTTCATATCATATCATTTCCATCGGACTGAATCTTTTATTGCCATTTTAAATGCATGCCCGAGTAAATAAACGCCCCTCTCTTAAAGTTTAATACTAACAATATCATTTGTATTCATATCAGTTCATCTAACGTAGAACAAAATGCAGTTTTTAGCTCCAGATCTTGGCTGTTTTACACTTTAACTTTAACGGAGATCTGATTATAGCATGCCCATAAGGTAAACATATTTCCTGTCCCCCAAATTCTAAACTCTTAATACCTACACGCGTACTACTTATAGTTGATAGACTTTTTAAATATTTACAAAATATTTTGTATATAGGCTTTTCAAGGCTTCACCAATAATCGATGAATATTGGCAACTCGTAACCAAAAACGTGGCAATAATTAAGCTATGACACTCTATTAGAGTTTAGACTAGACTCCAGAGAGAATATACAAGTTCGAGTCGAAAGAAATACATATATTTTTTTGGGCGATCCATTTTATATTCACCACATAGCAGTGCGTAATCACGAATGGTAATAAACTTAGCCATATGCAACAATTATTTACACATCTAAATGTTTATCATAAAGTGTGTCTGTGTGTTCACCGCAGATCGAAGAAACCAAACCGATGTAACCTAACAAATCAAAGTTGTAATGCGTATTTTTGAATTCATTTGCATTTAGACGCGAGAAACAATAATAAAATAAATGTAAACGCATTGAATGTAAATGCACGTTGTTTTATTCTTTCTATTCTGCCTTACTGAAGAATAAGTCCAATGTGTTTTGGTAGTATATCTCTGACAGCTCTTCTTTGGGCTCCTCTTTGATTCCGGCAATGGCCTCCAAAACTTGGCTGAAACGGAACACGAAGTGTTAGTACCACCCCCATATTTAGGTGAAGGTATTAGTAAGGCTCACCTGATTTGGCAAGGCTCACAGCGTCCGTCTATTAGGGACTCGGCTGTCCATTTCTCCTTCTTCTTGACGGTGGGAAACTTGGTGGTCACGTACTTGTGCCCTGCATGCGAGGGTCGAATGCCACACCAGGGGCAGTCGGTTTCCAGCATTATCCTGTCGTTGGGTAGCTTGCGCACCACTTCGGCGTTTTCTTCCAACTTTAGGGAGCACCCATTGAGGCCTATGTACAGACCACTGAAGGCCAGGATGCGCTGGGCCTCCTCCAATGTTCCTGTAAAACTGTGCACCACTCCGCCGCCGCACTGCTCGATCTTGTCCCGATTTCTTTCCAGGATGGTCATGAAATCCTCGGCAGCATTTCTCATGTGCAGAAAAAGGGGCAGTTTGAACTCGGCCGCTAGGTCCAGTTGCCTCTCGAAATACAGACGCTGGGTTTCCTGGCCGCAGAACTGAAGGCGATCGTAGTCCAGACCACATTCCCCCACGGCCAGCACCTTGCTGCGATTTGACTTGATCCTGGATCGCAACTGATCGTAGTAGCCCACTGGGTCTGGTGCGAATTCCTCGCACCGGGTGGGGTGTGTGCCCACTGTGGTGTAGATGCGCTCTGTCGAGGGAAACAACTTGTGAGATGCTAGTTGCTAAACACCAAGAGCGAGCAGGAAATAATTTGAATGGGACATGCAAAGGCGCCGCTCAATCTAAAGCTTAAGTTCCAGGATATATCCTTATGGGCAGCTTACCATCCTTGGAGGCCAGTTCCAGTGCCTCGTCCACGTCCTTCAGACAGCCGGCGGTGACGATGATCTTCTGCAAACCCTGTTGCCACGCGCGCTGCAAGACCTTGTCCAGGTCGGGCTCGTGCTTCTGGGATCCGCCGTAGCAGCCCTGGAACATGGGGTCCGTCAGGTTGGCCCCAATGTCTGTGGAGCATGGCCGGGGGTTAGCTAGTCGAGTCTGCAGGAGCTTATTTCTTGCAAGTTACCAATATATTTCATGGCCATTCCAAAACAACGCCGCATGGATAAATGTCCTAAAAAAGCCAGCAGCTGGAAGCAACTGTTTCGCTTACGTGATTTCCGCCAGGGGGCGCCGTGTCTTACCGAGCCCTGGCAGCCGCCAGGTGGCGCCGCCATTCCGTTGCAGTTTGAATTTGCAATTAGCATTAAGCCGTTTTAAAACATAATTCTAAACTCGAACGTGCCAGCTCGAAATTGGGGTTTCCCGCACTTTTGCACAGCGCAGCGCACGGCGTAAGCCAATCTAATGCAAATTCAATGGCACAGTAAATTGCATTCGGAATTGCGCATAATGCAAACTCATTAGTCCGCGCCAGCAAAGCTGTTTATTGTTTGCCGTGAATGCCAAAGCGGCTTGCTCCTCGGAAGCCCACGGCAGCCCACGGATGCCCCATCCCAACAGCAAGTGCATATGCAAATTTCAAATCAGCAGCAGCCCGGCTGCTTTAAGCCTAAGCCGGCAATCGGCATTACGCAATTGCGGAATCTATGGGAGTCGCAATATATAATTCGAATGAAATTCCATTAGCTACTTTTAATGGACGCTGCGGTCGCTGCACCGTACTGCTGCACTGTTTTAATTGATTTAGTGCCATTTGCCAGGCCGCCGGTGGCCGCCGGTGAGCAGGGGGATTCCGAACCGATCCCCGTCCGGATCCCGGACTCCCTGTTGTAAACGGAATGCGAAACGAGGCGGAGTCCATTATGCAAGGGAGTGAAACATTTTACAGCGATGCTGGGACGCATTGTGGTTTATTTTAATTGGCTAATACAATTGTCAATAATTCAATTTGAATTGAAATTCAATTAGTTACAAGTACATGACACACATACGCACACTTAGAGAGTTAATTTTGGTTTCCCTAGACTATGTTTAGTCCATGGGCCGCGATCTTTCGATTTTGAGGAGTAGCTAAGTGCAGTGCCCCGGTTGGCGGAACAATCGAACTACGTAGACGAATATGTGTTTAAAATCGGGTAGGTCGGATAAGATATATAGCATCTCGCGGTCCTCGTCGCCAGATGGAAGGGGGAATGCTCCCCCGTTGTGTTCCCATGGGTTCCTGATGCACGCGAGTGGTTAGGAGATTACTAGTCGGAGATCGAATGCGCTGGCCTCTGCAGATTTGTTGTCAATAACTACACCTAGTAACAATGTGTAAACGCATTACTTATAAAACAAACATCCAAACTGTACACACAAACTTGTTAGGTACTGACTAGGTTATGTATCGTGTGTGTACTGTAAGCGGTCAATAATGCCGCACATTTAACTACAATCCTCCATGGACGAATACAATACTATTTTCGGGGGCCACTCGGTCGCCTCTGACCCTTCCCAGTTGTTTGCAGTGTACATTACTGCAATCACTGCGTGCATTGTTTGCATCCATTTTTCAGCTCGCACACGTGCACACGTCTAGATGCACGATGTACGATTTTGTTTAATCACAATTCACTTTGCATATGCCGTATTTCATCCATTTACAGATCCCTTAAATATCTCCGCCGTACTCGGTACCGCCTAAAAGTAGTCTTTTAAATAAATCTTATTGCTAAGCACAATCCGGCAAACAAACACAAAGGACTCTTATCACACCACACAACACACACCCAGATGCAAGTGTAGGTTGTGCCAAAGGATACAGGCGGCGTATTAAAACAGATTTATCGATTATTCGCTGCCGCCAGTCTCCTGCGAACAGGATGTGCATTGTGGGCAATTTGATTTGGCATTTTGGCATAAGAAGTTCACCCTGTATTATCCTTGATAAGCATCGGGACGCTCCCCTCAAATTTATTTTACAATTACGCTTTTTGCATGGTAAGTTGTGCCGTGCTCTCTGCCAAAGTTCTTGTTATTTTACGTGGCTGGAACCGAGGAGAATGCCGCGAAATTGGCTTACTTCTGTAAAACTTCTGCGAGAGGTTAACATTCCTATCGGGCTGTATTGGTATATAGAACGTTCAAGTATTAACCATGGTGTCGGCTGGGGATGGTGCAGATAGAGATTCATAAATTAGTATCCTAGATGTACCTTAGGGCTATGCCACCTGTCACAATATTATGACAATCCGCCACTCGAAAACGCATTTAACTTAGTCCTCCCTCGAAAAACGCCGAGCAACGCGACTGAGCCATCATTTTGCCATCAGAAGAGCTCCTTGAACGGCTCCAAAACGCCTTCTCCCATGGGAGAAATCTAAATTAAATTCAATCGGGCACCCGGGCCGTACTAAAGCCTACGAAAATCGAACATGTTTGTCGTATAAAAGTTAATTTTAAATTAAAATAAACCTGGTCCCTGCCAACCTTAATGACCGCAACTCAAATCGATTGGGGTGCACAATGCCTCGCAAGTCAGCCCAGTGTCGGAATAATCCTTTATCTTTTATGCCGCGATGACACTGGATTCACAATGTTGCAGAATTGATATATGTATGTATGAGCTTTGTTTGGCCTCGTTAAAGAAGGGGTATCTCTCATGGCTCCATTCATGCTCAAATATAAATTTACCTAATCAGAGTGGCTTGTGGAATGTTCTTAATCGCAGGCCAGTGTCATGACGGCATCGCTTTGCAGCTCTAGTTACAAACTATAAAATGTTTAACAGAGTGGCAAATTCGTCGAAATCGTTTGGCCTTGAGCAAGTGGTTCTCCCAAAGTTCGGTAGCTTCATCGGAATAATCAGCTCAGTGCACTTGTTTATGCACGCTAATTAACTGGCGTCCATTATTAATTCACATTGTGGCAGCCATAATAACTAAATAACATAATTAGGCGCGGCGCTGGCGGCCAAAATAACGGTTTACTGCACGTTGCAGTCGTCGGATGCGTTGTTGATTTGCTGCTTGGTCTTGCGTGATGCGCGGCGTATGAGCGATCTGGAATGGAAGCGGGAGGAAGTGGTCAGAGGGGTGGCTGGATGTGGGCAGAGGCACTCCATCCGGGTGAGGGACTCCAGGCGCGTGTCGCACTCACCTGGAACGCGGCTTCAGCTTGGCCTCCGCACTGGTGGTGGCCACATCGACGGCGTCCACGAGGCCGGAGCCCTTCTTGTCGCCACTGCCGCCGGCGCCGCCCAGGGCCGGGCTGTTCATCCGATTTTTATCTGCAACAAATAGATGGTGAGGCGCGGCTAATTAGTACCCGCGAGTGCATTTAATGGTGGTCGTATGCCGCATGCCGACTCAAAGGGACTGCGCGATTTCGGAGCTGCGAGTGCAGCGCAAATCCAATTTGTCCCACTGATGTGGTCCTTGCCAGTTGCCGGAGCAACTGGTGCTTCCGACATCCCAGTTACCCAGCATCCCAACAGCCTGCCCTCCTCTGCAGCCGCCGACGTAATTAACTTATGAACGACGGACACAAAGAGCCGCTGAGCGAGTGGCACATTCAAGTTACGGCTCCAAATGGGATTTTTACGGTCGGCTGCACAGTCAAAGTTCATCTCAAGAAAGAGGTAATCCCACTTTTCGCTGCCTGCCTTCGGATCTATGCGTTATGCATGTGCCGCCGATGTGGAACGCGTACTCAAAGGAGCAACAGGGATACTCATTCGCAGTTGGCAGGGGAAGGTCGTGAAAACACTCGAAACGAGTCGAAGTTCAATTAAAATCATGGCTGTACTTCATCATACCATGTGTGGTATGTGGTATGCTTAAGCTTAAAGGATTCTCGGCCAATTAAAATAGGTTTCTACACAGTAATGTTATTATGTCTTTTCTATTCTTGAAACGCAAACCCTTGAAACGCATATACATATATCAGGAACCATAACCATATATTCATTTAAAAGTTAAGTTAACATTAATTCACAGAAACACAAGGGAAAACCCTTTAAACATTAGTGTTTGAAATTAGTTTATGTTAAGTAACTCAGTTGTATAGAGTGATAGATAGTTGTGTAAGCTGTAATACGTATTAGCACCTTAAATTTCTATTAATGATATAAAATATCTCAGTATCGAATTTATATTAGAAAATTAAAAATTCAAATTAAAAATAAACTGCCAAAATGACAGTTTTTGTGGCAGTACTAAGTTAAAAGGGCATGTTGCCATTTCACTTGGATGAATCTCCCTAATCTATTTTGCACTTGGCGTGCCATAAACTTTAAGATAATGCACATCGCTTTCAATTAAGTGGCTCAAAAGCTGTCGCTGAAGTTGAGCCTATTAAGTGGGAGAAATCAGTGTCAATGGAGTCATTAACTTTCCGGTAATCCTCAATCAGCCGGCTTAGACTGCCAAGGAGAGTGTTAAGGTCGCACAAAGGTGTTCGCGCAGATGTTTGCCTTGGTGGCAAACAAACCTTTTTGTTCCGCCGGGCGAGCAATAAAGCCGCCAACAAAGAACGGCTTACAATGGGAAAACAATGGGCAACTGGCGGGGCAAGGGCAGTGCGGCAGTGTGGCAGTGGCAAGACAAATACAGAGGGAATGCCACAGCCAGGCCAGAGCCAAGTCAATTTAGTTATTAAACTCGGCAGCTTAGTTGCGAGCTGCGAACGGGCCAAATGATCCGTGCAAACAGAATTATTGAGCCACCAGTGGCACTCTGCGGCAGAGTGTTGCATGCTTTTCGGGTGTCGGCGGCGTCAAGTGCAAACAAAATGGCCGCCGACGCCATTGTTGTCAAAAAAAGGCGTCAAGCGCGTCAAGTTGGGCGGGGCAGGGCGGTGGGGCACAATTGCTGCCGCTGACAGAAAGCGCGCGAAAATGCCAGCACTACAAATACGGCTTCGCTGGGGCGGCATTCACAGTCACAGTCACATTCACATTCCCTTTTCCATTCCCAATCCCACTCCCACTTCCATTCCATTCCGGGGAGCAAGGACCCGCTGATCTGCGGGTGAATGCGAAACGAGGCACCAAGGCACAAAAACAAATAAGAGGGGGCTCGGTTTCGGGGATATAAATTGTGCATATGCGGCGGGAATTGATGCGTGCGTCGTGTTACGGAAATTTAAATTAAATTTGTTTTATTTTGTGCCCTGGTCTGGTGCCATCACAAAGACACAGGAGGAGCCGTGCCAAATCGCTGATACCGAGCAAGGAAATCGCAAAACAGTCGAGTGTCGTGAAGGGCGTTTATTATCCTGCCAGCACGAGCATCACAGGGTTTTGCCACATCAATTGCGCCACATCTGATGCCCGAAGTTGAAACGTTCAGCAAAAAAGCGCTTTACATAAACGCATATATTTTCCGACAATTTTTGTCGTGTAATATGAGAAACCGGTGTAAATACAACCGCACTTTCAATGAAACGCAATTGTTTTTGATTGCAATCAATTGTAAAGTCACCCAAAGTAATTGTTTTCCATTATTGGTAAAGTTTTAATGCTCAATATAAGTTGGCCAGTTTCGAATTCGAGTGATACCTGGCTAATGCTAGTTGCATTTCATTAAATTTACTCAAGAGTGGCTGACTCATTTAAGTGGTAAGCTCCAATTTCTCAAATTTCCAGTTGCCAAACATCAAATGAAATGAAATCTCAGACTTTCAGCTGTTCTGAGAACAAAATAGCTTAAACAAACTGACAATTAATTGAAGAACATGAACATGGACATAACTTACTGGCACCGAAAAAGTGATTCTCCCTTATTTGGCTGCGAATAGGGAAAACACGTCCACGAACGTGGCTCAAATATGTTTGTCATGTTGTGTGTGCTGGGGAACACCCACAATTGAGTTAGGCTCTGGCTTTTGGGTCTGAAACAAAACGGTTTGTGGCGCCCAACGCCGGGCCGCTGAAAAGCCGGAAACAATGTGGAGCGCGGAGGAAAAGTGGGTCTTTCGGCCGCAGCACATGTATGTGGCCTGCAGCTTTGGTTTTGTCTCAACTTGCCGCCCGTCTCCCATCGCTCACCACCCATCAACATCCTCCAAGCTCCTCTGGCAGCCGTAAACACGTGTGGCACAATCTCAGCCACAAAATGGCAGGGTCGTAAATGAAATTTCCGCGATTTGCTTTGCATACGTCGCGCTGTACTTTTTAAGGCAATTACTTGACTTGGGCCCCTCGAGCTGCCGGTGATTAAGTGCTTAGACCTATTTTCGGTGGCACAGCCAGGGCGTCGGTGTCACCGCTGCCACCGCTGGGTCTCTCGACCTCTGAACTCCCGGAGACAGTTTGCCACTCGACCTTTGTTCCTCGTCCTTGAGGCCACCGCCATTGGCGGCGTGTCCTGTCCGCCTGTCATCGACAGTTGCACTTTTCGGGAGGCTTTTGAAATGTTCGGTGGCAGGACATTAATGGGGTCCTCTGCCGTTTGAATTTACATTTGAGCGAAGTTGAGTACTTGAACAAAAGCCGCTGACCAATTTTGCAGTTCATTCTGAGGGCCCAGAAATTTTACGAAAAGACTTTAGGGCGCAGACTTGAAATATTGAAATATTGGCGTCGCTGACTGGGCGGATTCCACAACTTTTTCCACAGCGAAAATTGAATTAATTATTTGGGCACCGCGCCTGTCGAGGCAACATTAATTAACTAGATATTTATACTTTGACGAGCTCGGCAAAATTCGGAAGTTCTCGAGCCGTTGGCTGTTGTCTTCGCCTCCGTGTTCTATTTTCATGTGCTGCGAACTAAGTTTTTAATGAGATAATAAAGCATTCCATTACAGGGTAATTAGGAGGTCAAGCTGTTTAATTAATACACGTGCTCGCTCGGAAACATTTTGATAAAATTGAATTCGTTTGAACACTGCGCGGCGAAGGACTCCCCGAAAGCGAATTCGTCCTTATGCAGCCTTTAACCCCGTCTCGGCGTTTTTCTCCTGGCTTTGCTTTGCTTTTCGGCGTTTCCTTCGCTTTGTCGTCTGATGAATAATGAAAAAGAGTTTGTCTTTGTCAATTGGGTCGGAAGAAAGGGTCCCGGCGGCCCGTCTTACTCCACTCCTGATCCCGAGTTCCCACAATTAATTAGCCCAAAGGCGATGGCAGTGGACGGGCGGCAATTGAAGCAGGAACGTTAATTGCATTCAATTAGCCAAATTGCCAAAAGTTGTCCTAGTCCTGGCCTCACTTAAAGAATTCCAATTAATTGGAATCCTCCTGTTTAAAATAATGAATGTATTCATAAATGTGCATCAATTATTGATTGGGCTTAAGCCCGGCTTAGTGACATCTGCGACCAGCAAGCGGCTTAATTGCATTAATGGGCGGCGCACTCGCATTTTAATTTCGCACTAATTAAGCTCCTTACGGCGCCATTTAAAGCCCCGAACAAAGCTGTTCCAGTTACAGGCCTGACTTTCAATCAGAGCCGGTGAATATGAATGTTTAATTGACATTTGAAACTGTTACGGCCAACCGACGAGGCCAAAAACAATCGACAAAGGGTTTGCGTCATTTGGTTTTCATTTCCATTTTGCTGGCCATGGCAACAAATCAAGTGGTGGATCCATGGCGAGTTTGTGCTTCAATCCTGGGCTCTGTGTGTTATGCTGGTGTTTCTGGCAGGATGGATGGCCCACTCCTTTCAGAATGCGATGTGGAGCATCTCGGGGGATTTAATCGGGTTAAATGCAGCCACAATGGCTTCTAACGCTCTGTACTATGCAAATCTTGTCATAAAACTTTGTTTTATTTTCAGCTAACTGCTTAGATTTCATTTTAAAATTCAGGACATCTTTTTTCACAACTGTGTATATTCGTTGAAAAGCAACAAGGTAAAAGGAAGCGCTTCCGGCACTATAAAGTATATATATTCCTGATTCGTCGTGGAGATCTCGTGAACTGTAAAATCTAGAAAGTTAAGATTCTAGAGGCGCATTGATTTTCAGAAGATTGGTACGCTCACAATCCGTACAAAACTGTCTTTTCTCCTAGCTGAGTAGAGGGTATCTGATAGTCTAGGAGCTTGACTAGGAGCTTATACCCGTTACTCGTGCAGTAAGGGGTATACTAGGTTCGTTAAAAAGAATGTAACAAGTAGAAGGAAGCGTTTCCGACCATATGGAGTATATATAATATATTCCTGGTCAGAATCAATCGCCGAGCCGTCGTAGAGAAAAATCTTTAAAATCTAGGAAGTTAAGATCAGGCATGCAGATTCTAGAGGCAGATTCAATCTTTTTTGAAGATTGAATTTTCACAATCCGTACAAAACTGTCTTTTCTCCTTGTACCCCCACTAGCTGAGTAAAGGGTATCTGATAGTCTAGGAGCTTGACTAGCATTCTCTTTGCTTATGCCCGTTGCTCGTGCACTAAGGGGTATACTAGGTTCGTTAAAAAGAATGTAACAAGTAGAAGGAAGCGTTTCCGACCACATAGAGTATATATATTCCTGATCAGAATCAATAGCCGAGTCAATCTGGCCATGTCCGTTTGTCCGTCCACCCGAGAGTCCATCTGTCCGTCCGTATGAACGTTGGGCTGTCAGGAATTTACTTTACCTCTTACTTTGACTGTAAATCTGTATTAACTCTAAAAGCTATATGCTATGTTTTATTGTGTTTATGGAGGTATATGCGTTAAAGATGTTGAATTGGGGGCATATTAAAATAGTAAGTGGATTTCGCCTTTCCCAAATACCAACTGTACATATATTAGATGGACTTGTTGGTTCTGCCAGCACAAATGTGAGCATTTAGGAGTACTTACTGCGACTGGACGATGCGCTGACGTAGGCCGATGAGCGCCGCTTGAAACCGCTGGGCGCCGCCTCCCCGGCCACCCCGCTGCCCCCGCTCCCACTACTGCTGGCGGGCAGGAAGCGGGACAGGGAGAGCAGGGACTTGAAGAGGTCCGTCACGTTGCTGTCCTCCTTCGCCGAGCACTCCAGCACCTTCGCCCTGCGAGGAGGGAAAGGGTTTAAAGAGGGTTTAAAAAGGTTGCATCATTTCATTGGCGGTCGGGCAAAAAGCGCATATGCAATGCATACATCAGCGAATTTCGGTGGCCCGAAACAAAGCGATTTCCACACAAAAAACAAAAAGCCCAAGCCGAGCCAAATAACCTAAACAAAACCAGACCAACAATGTGGCATGTTCAACGCGAAACAGCGAAACGGAGTTTTTGTGCCCTCCACGACCTAGTGGGTTATCGACCACCGTCCGGGGGTCGAAACAAATGTTGCTAATGGTCAAATTAAGCATGTCATGTTCGTTTCAAATTGGTGCGGTACTATGGATTCACGCCGATCCGCGCTGGCCCCACAGCACTGGGTTAAGACTAGGATGGGGATGGGTATCAGGATGGGTATGAGGATGGGGACGAGGATGATGATGCTGGCGAGGACAGGTGATGTTCAGCACACTGGCGATGGCAGGATTAATCTGTCAGAGGGATTTCGAGCTTCAATGCGGCTTTTCGTCGGAAGTCTTATTCCGAGTCAAAATATTTCAGTTTGACTAACATCATAATTGCCCTTTGTTGTCTTTTTCCAAGGAAATACGTACAGTGGTGGAAAAAATAATATAAACACGTTGGTTGAATCATTGATTTTAAATTTTGGTCTCAGAACGAAAGTAATATTTTTGAATCTTTATTTTTTTTAATTCATATATAAGTATATTTCACAATAAGGAACAAAAATATTTTTTCCTTCTTTATATTAACTGAAAATAATTAACTTAATTTTTGGCGCTTGGAAAAAATAATAGAACAAGCTACGTTTATGCGATTTGTTTGAGTTTTCCCCTGTTAATTTTGTAAGAAAATCAATATATTAAATACTTTGTATGTATCTACATCGAACTTGACTGGTACTTGGGACCGACAACAACAACTGGCATATTTCTGGCACATTCATAGAAATTGGGAAAAACAGTAATAAAATGAAACAAAAAAAAGATATTTCAGAAGTGTGGGCGTGACAGTCTTGGGCGGTTTGTGGGCGTTAGCAGGGCAACATTTGGGGTAAAGGAAATATCTCTGAATGCTTAATCTTTCTAGCTCTTATAATTCCTGAGTTCTCGAAGTTCAACCTGGAGGACGGACATGTCCAGATCGACTCGGCTAGTGATCCTGATCAGAATATGGTAATATATTATATACTAATTATATATTATATACTAATATGACGGTCTTGTACCTGTTACCTACTTTTTAACCAATCTAGTGTACCCTTTTACTCTATTATACAAGCTATTATACAATTCTTGATCAGGTTCAATAGCCGGGACGATATATCCATCCGTACGAACGTCCAATTCGAAATTACAACTGCAATTTAGTCCCAGTTTGTTTACTATGTTGCCACGCCCACAAGCTGCCAAAAACTACCACGTAAAAGTGTAAGATATTACATTTTGTATTAAAATAAATGATTTTTTATGCGCAGATGGCACTACCACTTGCGAAATGTATATTTATCTACGCGCTGTTCCACATGTTAGATTTGCATGTTGCACTTACACTAGTTCTGAATTAATATTCATAAAGCGAAATCCTTGTAAGCAACTAGACTATTTCCTTTTATGAGTTATTATGCTACTGAGTGACGCAGAGCATTTGAGTATTTCAGGCAGCTTCGTTTTATTAAAGTTAAAACGGCTGACTGGGCAAAATAAACAAATAGATGGCCGAATTGTTAATGCCGTGAGCTGCAATAACAGTAAATCAAAGTAAAATTGATATCGCACGGGAGTTTATTTTGCGCATTAACGTGGCCAAATGGCAGCAAAATGCGCATGACTTTGCAATTAAATGTTGAATAAATACATTGCCCCACCTTCGGCACACTAAACCACTTGCCACGCAGGGCCTGCCCCAATGTGGCATACACTGTGCACAATGTGGGGAGCACCCATTCAGGCAGATAAATGCACTTGAGTGGCATGCTCTTAAAGCGTTTAACCGCAGACAGACGGGCAGCAACAAATTGCATTGCAGCTCGATCCAGGACACGCCACACACACTTTCCACGCGAGTCCTGGGCAATCCTCTAGGTGTGAGATTGTGGCGACGGGTTCAAGGTGTTTCCCGCTCCACACACCGGGATCCACGCCGCACCATCAATCTGCGTGAATGTTTAATCCAACAGAGATTTGTACGTAATGCTCACGCCAACTGACCTGCCTCTCGTGTGCTGTGTCCTGTGTCCTTCATCCTTCATCCCACATCCCCAATCCTTCCTCCTGCGGCCTCTGTCATCTCCATTTTGTGGTTGAGTGCGCCTCCTGCGTGGAGGCGGCGCTCTTTGGTCGCTTTTAAATAAGTTTACGCACGCTTGCTTAAACAGCAACACGAGCGTGCCACGCCCATCCGCCTTTCGCAGGACAGCCGCCTGGAATTGTGCCAGGAGTCGCACTCCCAGTGGCAGGCACGTATGTGATTGCCAGTGATTTTTACGAGTCCAGCCCCACGGTTTATTAAGGAAGCAATTACCTCGCGGAAAGCGCCTCTGAAAAATGTCCTGGCCAGCGAGTCCTTTTCAGCAGCGAATCGAAAGGATGCGGCCCGCTTTCACGGCTGCTTGTCACGCAAGCAATGCATTAAAATTGTTAATGCGGCACACAAAGACCTTAATCAGGCCAGTTATACTCGTTTACCACTCGTCGACCAGAGTGTAGTACTCAAATTAAGCCTTAAAGTCTTGAAATAGCGCCAATAAAACAGCTATGAAATTCTATTCGAGTCAGGCATGAAATAAATATATTATAAATATTTGCACAATTCACCTATCACCTTTCTGCATTTTATATGCGCTCATTCGTCACATACGTGGGCAACTTTCTGTGGTTTATTCATTTAACTCAATGTCGGTTTGCTGCTCGGGTCTGGTTTTCACCCATTGTGTTTGAGCAGGCAACACAAATCACCACAACTAATCATACTTCTCGCAGCCCCTCGGCGGTTCCCCGGAGCATCAATCGAACAGTGGAACAGTGGAGCAGTGAACAGTCAAGTTGAAGCCCCCATGCATATGCGCATATGGAGTGCCCCACTGCTTAGTATTCCAAGACCACTCCAACGCATCACTCATACGACCAGTTGTACCGTCAACGATTGCATGTAGATGTCTAACATGACAGCAGCACCGTTTGCGGCCAATTAGGAGCTATTATGGGAAACATCCTTTGTGCAAATAGCGAAATGGTGTCTTCCTCCTGATGCGATTTCCACCTAGCTGCACTCAGAGAAACAGGAAATTTCTACTTTACTTATGCCATTCCGCACTTTACTTTACACCTGTGGTTGCTGTGTCCTGCTAACAAACTATCCATTGCCCGATTTCTCCTGACTTCTCCTGACTTCTCCTGGTTTCTCCTGCCTCCTAGTAATTTTCCTCAGTGCGCGACTCTGGCGCCGACACTTTCCCAGCCAACAAATGGCATTTAATGAGCGCAGCACCCGTTCCGTGGACAATGCAGCTGATTTCGCTGGGCCAACTCCCTTCCATGGCCGCCGACACGCTCTCTGTCGCTTAATTTCATTTCTAGCAATTTAATTGCGCTTTTGCCATTTGCCGCCTGCCTCCTGCCTCCTGCCCCTGCCTCCTGCCTCCTGCTACTGCAGCCTTTCTGGGTGGCCAGAATTTATGGGTGCTTTTTAATTCCGCTGTGTTGCGTTACTTATGGAAATTGCAGCTGTTTGGCGGCTTTGTGGCTCGGCTCTGTTGCACAACTTTTGGCAGTTGCGCCCTAATTGCTGTCGCGTGCAGCAGCTGTTGCGCGTTTCACGCCGGCCGCATCCTGTGCGATTCATGTGGGACTTACCGTAGGCGCGGCAGCTCGCAGAAGACCCAGTCGGTCACCTCCTCCAGCTTGACCTCTCTGTGGGTGGTGGCCAGGTCGGCCTTGTTCCCGGCGATCACAATGGGGATGTCCTGCGGAGCGAAAGGGATTAGCAGTGGCACAAGCCTCCTTGTCCTCCCCAAATCGGGATGCGGACAAAGCGTATTGCGCGTAATTGATACTCGTTCTCACAATGGCGGCGAAAAGCGGAAACCGTGAAAGCCTCGGAAACAATAGCGCTAACTATCGCACACTGGGTTGGAGCTGGACTAAACCAGCTCGAACTCCACAAGCCTGGTAACTATTTTGATCTAAGCCCAAAATGGCGCGAGTTATAGTGCCAATAACAGGCATTTAATTGGCATATACTAATTTCAGCTATTATCTTGAAATCGCAGCTCGATTTCTTTACTGTCTACATGTTGCTTAATCCTTCAGTTGACACACGGTGCCACCTGAGAGCCGAATCCCAGCAAAAAGCCTAAACCTCTGCCGCTCGGCTGGCTTCTCCGCCACAAAGGGGAACGTTTATAATTGCTTTTCGGATTGCGGCGCAGGACGAGAGTGCTCGCAGGCTTTCGCTTTTCAGGCGCCGCTGATTACATGCAAAATGCAGGAGTGCTGCTCCTGTTACTCACCTGGAAGTCGCCGCGCTGCTCGCGGATCTCCTCGAAGCACTGCTTCACGCACTGGAAGCTGGGCGCGGACGTGGCCGCGTAGACGAGCATGAAGGCGTGGGCCGTTGCGATGGACAGGCGCCGCATGGCCGGGAACTGCATGTCACCTGATGTGTCCAGAATGTCCACCTGCAAGGGATGACATTACGCGTAATTAAATTTGAATGGCCGCTCCCCGCAGTAAACTGCCATCAACGAGGTCCGTGTCCACGGAACCCATGGAGCGTTTTTTTTTTTTTTTTTTTTTTTTTTTTTTTTAACCCGCCGCGTTTCAGATCGCTGACGTGCAATTTAAACAACAAAAGTGATTCACAAAATTAAATTCATTCATTTTTCTGGCGAACTTGAAGCTGAACTATATGAATAAATAAATCTATTCGATTACTTTCTGTGCCCCACTTTAGACCATTCCCTTATCGGGAAATCAGTTAACTAGTTAACGTTAGTTTGTTTAGTACGACGATGAACATTTTTGCGCAGCTTGTCACTTTGCCGTTCAGTGTTTCTGCGCAGCCCAAACCAACAAATTTCAGTTACTGTAAGAGGTATTTCAACGCTCGCAGCTTAAAAACGGCTAAAAAGGTGTCAGTTACAAAGGTGCTGCAGCTGAAGACCGACCGAAAGTTATTATCAAAGTTGTTATAACCCTTGCAGCGGGTATTACAATTTTAATCACCATAAAAGCCATCTGCTGCCATAGTAAAGATTTAAAAATGAATGCAAATTTGATTGAAAACCAGGACACTTTTGTTGCTTTGGAAAAAGGCTAATATAAAAAGGTTTCGGAAGGCCTAGCTTGATGATATCATGGTAGCTCCATAATTTTAACTTGTTCAAGGGCGGTTAGGGTGTATAAACCTCGTCCTGACGTACTTAAAATTTTGTTCTAGTTTGCTTTTGATGTTGCAAGATTATTATTAACTTTGTTAGTGGCGACAAAGTGCGCAAATGGTATAGTTTTTTCAATTTTACCAATCACATGCAAATAGGACTCAAAAGCTATCGTTTTGCTACAAATTCGGCAAAAAAGCAAACATTCCTTCTTATTATTTATGGCCAAATTCGAGAAGTTGTTAAACGGATAAAAGGCGCTGACTAGCAAAAGCTAGGAATAGAAATTCAAGTGAAGCGACATTAAATCCTGGGACTTTAAGTGCAGACAACTATGGTCCGCCTCCTTTTTCAACCATTATTTGGGCGTCGTTTTCCCTGCCATTGGCACTGCCCTCTGCTTTTCAAGCGATATGTCCGTGGGAAGCCGGATGGTGTCCGGTTGTCTGGCCTTGCTCCCGGGGTCGTGACTCCTGGTTGAGGCCAACTAATCCCCGTGTCAGCATCTGTTATGTTGGGCATAATGCCGCGTGGAGTACGCGATACGCATATAACGAGATCCGGAATGCCAATGGCACGTGGAAGCCTGAAAGCCAAGCCACAAAAACAGAGTGCCAACCATTTAGCCCCGCCGGAGTGATCTCCTCTTGGCCCTGCAGCCCACCAATTGACAGCCTTGGCCATTGTGACGCAAATTTGTAACGCATTGTCAGGCCGAAATGAGTAAACTTTATTAAAACACTTTGCAGAGTGACACAATTTATACTTTTGACGCCATTCCCGGTCACCCGGCTATTGTTTGCCTGCCCGCCTTTGTTCCACCATCCATGTTTCCATGTTCCAGGCATCAAATGCGTCCTGCTGTGCGCACATACACGAAATGGCTTTTAAAGACCGAAAATCATTTAGTGCAATAGAATGTCGCCGTTTGGCCACATGCTGCTCCGGCAATCAGTCCCAGCGGGCTGCGGTACAGGCTAACCTGATTCGGATGCACTTGGTCACCTGGACACTGCACCCAAGGCGGCCGGGAATAAATCACTTTGGGTCGGGTGACAGCTGCCGAGTGGAATTCAATCTGGGCGGTCTAAGTAATGGATGCGCACCTATCGCTCGCTAAAGTGAAATTCATTAAGTCGAAGACAAGAGCCTGGCAACGGCGCCGCCTCCCAGGGAGCCGGTGTCACCAAAGCAGCTCCAGGAATCAATTTGGCCAGCCAGAGCTCCGATAATGAAGCTCCAGCCAGCCAGCCAGCCAGCCAGCCTGGCCCACCTATTAATCAACTTTCCCAGCAACTTTTGTTCGCCAAACATGTGCTCGTGGTGTAAGACAAGTTTGAACAGCGTATAATCAGCTCCAGCGGAGCAGTGAATGATGTTCCCTCGGAAGTTTTCCAGTTCATGACATGGTCGTAAGGATGCGTCGGAGGCAGCTGCGATGCCTCCCGTGCTATCCACCACTCCCTTCTGGTTATCCGTAGCAGATAAAGGCCCGATTAAAATAATACGCAGCAGTTATCAGCTTCCGGAAAACTCGCACTCGTTCCTCGCCGGCATGACACAAGTTATTACCCATTAATCGCACTCCTAAGTGGCGTTCTAGGCACGCCAGTCCGGAACTGCTCCGCATCCTCAGCACTGGTGGCTCTGCAGGCTGGGAGGGGGTTACGCTTTCCAAGTTGCTTCCGCTGTTTTGAGCGTGTGCGAAATTTGATTAATGAGTCTTCGCCCACAAGCTGTCAGTCAGTTTGTCAGTCCGTCGGTCGGTCGGTCGGTCGGGTGAAGGGGTAACTATTCGCCAGGACTGCCGTAAGTACATGTAAGCCGGTAGAGATTCATTCATTCAATTTGCGTTTTCATCTTTAATATACAACTGCCTCTGGCACAGACCGCCAATCCAGCCAATCCCGTCGGCTCCACTCCGCTCCAAATAGGCTTTTGGGAGCTACTCAATTGCCAGGAGACCAGAAACACACGTGCCCTGCCTAATACTTTGCGTGTGGAGCGTAAAGCCTGCGGAGCCCTGTTCTCCAGACATCCAATTAGTAGATTTCTGCCTGATTTGCGGGCATGGCATTCCCGGCGAGCTGCTGGCCACCACGGTGATGAAGTCGCCCCAATGCAGTCAGTTTAAATTGCTTGGGAACTATAGTTAACCTTTTGCCATGATGGGAGTCAAGTGTTTAATGTTGCAGCTCTAACTTAACTATACAGTTTTCCCATCCGTTTGTGGCACTTAGTTTCAACAATCACCTTGTCACGGTTCTCAAGACGAGTATAGGACATATACATAGCTGTGAGTGCATTTCTGACGTTTTAACTCTCATAAACCAATTACAGCTACATTCCACTCGAATTGCTGGAATGCCATTGCAACCGGATTCGTGGACTCGGGGCAGAACTCACCTTTAGTGTGACGCCGCCCAGGTCGTACTCGCGATTGTAGAGATCCTCGACGGTGGCGCGATACTTGTCCGTGTAGCTTTTGAACAGGAAGCGCTTCACAATGGAGCTCTTGCCCACGCCGGCGCCGCCCAGAAGCACGAGGCGAATGCGCTCCAGGTCCGCCATGTCGCCTGTTTGGAAATCGCTGGTCGTCAAGTGGAGCACCCTCGTCCCGCGATGGTTCAGCTGCTTTGGGCCTGAAGTGCGTTGGCTTGTATTTGCTTGTTCCGATGGCCTCAGCGCTGCATTATGACGGATTTGTGTGCTTGAGCCGGAGTCGGGGCATCATAAGTCCCAGCACTTGCTCGATTTCCGCTGCGAGCTCGGTGCTCCAGCTACACCTACATGGCAGTGGCCATGCCACTACGCAGCCAGCTAGACTTCCGGCCCGGCAACTTCCGCTTCCGGTCGCGAACTAGTGCGAAGTACTGCGAAGCTGTGGATGCAAGCAAATGGGGTGAACTTTAGCTCGATCTGTGATTAACTACAATTTGCTAGTACTTTTAAATATTGCAAATATTTCAAATATTATTTAAATATAGTTAAGGTACTAGAAAGTGCTTCAACTCCAAACCTCCGCAGGAAAAGAAAACTTCGAGGCAGCAATGTAATCGCATTCAAATCAAGCATCAAAGCTGCAGTTTTCATAACTCAACCTACCCGAAGCGATTTGCATCCGAAAATGTACTTTCTGTTTGCCGCCCCTGATTGGCTTCACCAGAGGATGCACCCGAATTAGATGCTCGCAGTATCTGAAGCTGCAGCGGCATGCAATCATAATCTGCCCACGTGCTCGCTCGCAAATCAGAGGAACGCACGGCATCTGGCTACAAACATTGATGCAGCCAAGCCCCTCCAATGGAGGCAGCAGCCGAAACCCATGTCAGTCCCATAAAGCACCAGACAAACACAGTGAGCGGTGGAGTGGCAAATGCACCTTTCGGCCGCTCGGAGTTTCGTCCTTTTGGCCTTCCAGCTTACATGTGATGTAATGTGCAGGCTAAGTGCTGCCAATTCAATTTGCAGGAATTTTGCATTTTTTCTTAAAGCCAGCCAGCGGGGCTCCATTTGCACCTGTGCCAAGTGCACCCGGGCCATCCTGCGGCGCTCTCTGTTCCGTAATTGCAACTTAATGTAATTAGGTTTTCCAGCAAACGCAATTTATTGCCATCAACTGCACAGGTTGCCGCCGCTCATGAGTGGGCAAATTTGGTTAGATGCCCAGCTGACTGGGCTCCGTACCGCGCGCAGATGATAAGGATCAATTTAAGTGTGCAGGCTGCACCGGCTGCTAATTATTCCGGGGCTAATGAATCACAGTGAAGACTAGCAAACTGGTGGTCCAATCACCCAATCACCCAATCACCTGGAGGATGCAGTAATGGCCGGCTCGTTTGCACTGCCCGTGCTTGTGTGCCAGTGGTTTCAGCAGATGGCAAGTATCCGCACGGATTCAGGACTTTCAGATCTGGAAGTCGGAGCGCCTAGGCACTTTCATAATCATTCGCTCGGCACTGAAGACTGAAGTGGGATTTGCTATTCCGCCCATGTTTGCTTTAACCTGGCGGGCAAACTTACGGAATATCAAATGCATGTGGGGCTGGCCGAGACTTAGCACTGTGTTTTTAATTTCTCGGCTCGTCTGGCCGAATCTCGGAATGCAAAGAGCACCTGAACTTGTAGGCATCCTTGCAAATTCACAACTATTTACATTGTGTTCGGCATAATTTTTAATGAAAACCCAGCAGCCGGAAGATTTAGTTTGTTGTGCCCGGCCAGCAGCAGCACAGAAATGCATATTAATTTGCATCTACATATTTTGCGGCAGATTTTCATACGCCCCGTGGGACAACTGTTTGCACTGCATAATGCCTTGTGGAGTGGAGTGTGGATGTGCTTCAGATGAGCTGAAAGCGTGCGGATAATGATATAACTGAATGGAGGGGGAGGGGAGGGAATTTCCCACGGGCAGAGTAAATTAGAAAATTTAAATATCAATATGAAAACCCAGTGCTGTCGCCGATCTGCCCCCATGAGAGCTCTATTTTCAACATATTCCCGATTCCCGGGCAACGGGCGCAAACTTTCGCACACGCAGCAGCCTTCGAAATGTTTTTGTGTACAAAAATTTAATTAAATCTACTAGGCCCAGGCCAAAGACAACTGCCAACAGCTGTGGAAAACATAAAAGAACGGCAAGCCCCGGCCAAAAGTTTCCGCTTTACATTTTAAAGCAAGCCGAGAGAGCCGAACTTGAATTAATTTTTCTGTTTTCCGCAAATAAAAGCGCTCCTGTTGTTGACATTTTTGTTTTATCATCCCGACTGCGGACCACGGACCACGGACCACGACCCTCGGACTACGGACTACGGAAACATGTCATCAACAACTCAAAGGGCAGAGGAGCTCAAAACTTTTGGGAACGTGTTTGCTCGAGCAGTTAGGAAATGCAAGGTTGCCATCACAACAGACGCACAGAAAAAGAATGAAAATATTTGGCTCTGACGTTCCCTTTTCGCTTTCCTGGAAATCAATTTGTGCTCCTGGCCCTTCCATCGATTATTGCGAATCTGCCCAGCTCTGCGCAGCTGGCCCTTGTGGCGAAAGTGAAACGGAGTCAATCCCAAGCCAGGATTGGGCGGCCTATATGACAGATCGGATGCATTCCTGCGCCCGAGGCCGTTTAAAATGTCATCAAAAGCACATTTGCCTGTTGCCGCGGCATTGGGACGCTCTGCACTCGTTGGCAATGGCAAGGATAGCATATGACACGACAACAGGGGCTTAAGGACTCCACTGGCCAGGGGGCGGGGCCAAAGAGGGGGTCGTTTCTGGCCAGCCAGAGAATGCTGAACTTTCATATGTGCGGAAGCAGGCGGACCACGTCAAACAATTTGTGCGGGGCAGCGTTTACGAGTATAAATATTTATTAGCCGCATACCAATGCGTCCTGCTGCGTTGCCAGTTGATTAAAATGCCTCAAATGCCGCAGGGGTATCAAAAGTTCATCCGGCATATCACGAAAAGCCGCGAAAAATTGCCAACTCTGGATCGGCTCCAGGGACTTTGGCTTGGTTCGGTGGTGAACTACTTCCGCCTGGACGCACCTAACATCCTGCTAGTTGGCCGCCTTTGTTGCAGATGATGGACGTGTGCGTTAAGCTCCAGCCATCAGCTGTCACACTGCGAGAAATGCTTGCCATGTCTGCATTTTAAGCCCTGTGATCAAGGGAACTGCTTATGTTGTGATGTTATGTGATGAAAATACGACGGATTAAATGTCAATATTTTTGTACTTGCTATGTCCTGCGATACCTCCATTAATTTGAAGACACCGAGATAGCCAGAATTTAGCAGAATCACCTGTTTTAGCCTTTTTTTCAATTTCTGCCCATATTCCAGAAAATGCTGAAATTTCTTCCACCAGCTGAGGTACTGGTATGTGATAGTAGGGTATGTGATAGTCGACTACAGCTATCTCTCTCGCTAAATGTATATTTATAATATTTTGAAAATTAAGTATATTCACATGCAACCCTGCATAAACATTTATCACTTATTACTACTTTTAGATACAAATGAAGTACAAAGGAAGTGTTGTATCTTCAAGGAACTATGAGAAAATCTTAGCATTATATTAATCATATGAAACAAGTTCTTTCCACACTTATTGCTGTAAAAGCTGCGCTCAATGCCTAGTGAGACTTGTAAAGTGCTTATAAATACACAAAATGAAGTAATTAAAATGTATTTATTACACAAAACCCGACGCTCAACTTGTAATTGCAAAGAGCTTACGCTTTCAGTTCCCTTGAAACTTCAGTGAACCCAAACTTCCTAAATGACTTGGAATTCTCCGGTTAGCCACTTCTCGACCACAACTAATTGCAGTGGGTTCTCGTTCAACTTGATTAGTTTGCCGTTTGTTAATGTAAATTCAGCAACACAAAATACGCAAAATACATGTACAGAAATTTGGCAACATTTTTGGGGTTGAGGGGCCCGGCTTTTGAGCGCCATTAAGCATTACGCTTTATGTGCGATTAACACTCGCAATATGCTTCTCGTGCTGCGGCTGTGAGCTGTGGCCTTGTGGTGCTTAAATCATAAAACAAGCTTTTATGTTGCATGCCAAACGGCGCGTCATTTGCCATCTGCCACCAAACACCAAGCCCATGCATGGGAAGGAATCAGCTCTGTTTTCGCCGATTCGGGGATTTATGGCGCTGAATTTGAACTACTAATGGGCCTGAAAACAACCTCGGCGATAAACAAATGATTTTATGGGTATAATTCTGGTCAGGACCACGCAATCACTGCCCCCAGCCCTCGGTTTCTTCCAGGCCAGGCCAGTTGTAGTTGGCTGCAGGACCAGCTAAACGATTACAAAGTGGCGACGCAGTATCTGGGCCACCAGGCGATGCCGTTAAACTGTTGATTACTGCGATGATGACAGCTCCGGATCGTCCATCTGACCTCCGACCCGCAGTGCCGCACACTTGCCACACCTTGCCACACGTCTAGGGTGGTGTAGCCTATATTAATCTCTGAATCTCTGAGGCACGGAGCCATGCCATAAATTCAATTTCGGATGGAAGCCGCGCGCCTTCATCCTTGGATGAGCAGGTAACACCGAGGTGGACCACAGTAAAATTCAAGTTTTAAAACAACTCACTACTTTCTTACAGTAAGGATTCAGTTGTTAGTCCTCCCGCGATAAGTGAGAGGTTTGGTTATATTATTTATATGCTTAATTGCAATGTTATGGTACTAGTACTGCAAGTACGTCGCTTTATAAAAAAAAAAAAAATAAAAAAAAAAAAATAAAAAAAAAAACAGTAGAAGGCGAATTTTTACACGCTCAGCCTACTAATACATGAAATCGAACACAAAACGTTAAAAAAGGAATTTATTAATATTTCCTAGCCAAATGTGTTTCATATAACTAAATACTTATAACTAAATTCGCATCTTAGTTTGTCTTAAACTTTCGACTTTTCCTTGAAATAGTACCCCGCCTTCAGGAGGAAGCAGATCAGAATATTAGCTTATATTCCTTATAGTGTGGAATATATGCTTGATACTTGATAAAAAAGAGGTCCACCCTAACAAGCTCATATCTGTCCCCACCAATTCCATGGCATTAAAGCCTTTTTCCTTCTGGCTCAATGGCGTGCAGAAAATAGGTCACTAACAGTTACTTATTTATACTAATCGCGGCAAATGGCTGGGAGTCTGGAGGGCCTGTCCTGGAGCCAGGTCTCGAGGTGGACGAGTACTTGCCACATGCCCTGAGTCGGCTGAGGAGGAGGACTTGAGTGTTGTGAATAACTTTGTGGAGGTATCCCAATATGGAAGGCAATGGCAAGGGCGCGGACTCGGACGAGGTTAAGGTCCTTTTGCCCGCTTGGGGTACGTGATGAGCCA